TAAAAACAAGCTACATAAAAAAACCAAGAACAATATTTGATCAATATTTGATCCTTTGAAAGAAATATTTCCTTTGCTTATCTTTAAATATTGTCTTATATATAGTAAATAAGGTGTAAATATCATAGTTAATGGTATTAAAAATCAATGAGCCCACTTAGAGTTGTGACCTCTAAACATGTTAGTAACATTTCAAACTCGACAAAAACAGAAATACATTATTGAAATACACAATCAACAGCTGGTGATCATCTGGAATGTTTGTACAAAATCTGATATTGATATAAAGTGACAAGCCTACTTCTTACAATACTATAAAAGGAAAGTCTGTGTGACATCACTATGTTGTCAGTAGTCAGATATGCCAAGAGGGATGACACTTCAGTACCTTGTGTGGGCACTTCTTCCACAAATTTCCGCATTGATTCTCTTATGCATATAATTCATTAAAGATATTGTTCCATTATTCTGTCAATCCTGAAATCAACTGAGCATTATTAGTTGTAGGATTCTAACATTTTCTGATACACCAATCAAGCTCACACTCAAATGGAGATATGTCAGGGCTATATTGAGGCTTCAAGAGGCTGAAGAATGTTTGTTGTGAGAAAATCACAACAGACTCTGGCAACATGGTGTCAAGCATCGTATTGCTAAAAAAAATGAGATTATGATGTCTATCAAAAGGAGGGAAATATGATTGAGGAATTTTGTCTCTGGGTCATGACCACTCAAGGTGATTTTACACCAAGAGACAGGCCTTCACAATCCATTACAGTAGCTCTACTGTATCTATCACATTCAATCGCACATGCATAGATAAAACACTAACCATGTATGTGATATACTCTTTTTTTTCTTGTTTGAACAATACAGCACATGCCTCCTTTGATGTATCTCAAACCAAATTGGATTACCTCTGAGCATCCAATCAAGATGCACAGTGGTGGCCTGAAATAATGTAGGTACACAATGATTCTCTTTCGGCAGTTTGAGCACTGATGGTTCTACAGGAGTGCTTAAGATATGCCATGCAGTCTCTGCAGCACAGGTGCAACAACTGCATTACTCTGTCTTGTCATACTTTTGTCATATGTGGACGACTGCTCCTGGAACAATCAGAAACTGACCGAGTAGAATGAAAAGAGTAGCATCTTAGTCAGAGGCAAAATCAAAACGTCTGCAGAAAATTGATATGACCGAAGTCTCCATCTGGCTAAGCTTCATAGGTCATGTGATTCAGACTAAAGAAGCATACAAAACCATACAATGACTTTGCCACACAAGGGTTATTTAAGGCCAGGATGTCCAGAAAGGAGATCATCCATGTCATAATACCTGAGCAAATATTTCATTTTTTTTTTATTACAGACTAAGGTGTTTTGCAAGGGAAACTTTGTATTTTTGTTTTTGTCAAGTATGTAAACAAAATTGGTCATAAAAAACAAAATGAATGATGATCTACAATACATCAATTTTCCTTTGTTATGGTACATGAGGTGCCCTATAAAGAAGTACAACTATAGTAGCAACCTGCAGTAAATTAGCAATTGTAACTAGTGTACAAGTGAATCATCATAACTCACAAATTATTATCTACATAGAACACAATATGACAGATAGAGATACTAAACATCAACACCATTCAAATCTCTTAACTTTTATAGTCTATGTGACTCCTGATGGAATGTTTTATTGACAGCACATTTTTAGGTGTACATATTTAACTGATAATCCTAATTCCAATTATATAAACCAGGCAGTTTGAGTATGTTAACATTCAACAGGTGCTCTATAATAATTATAGCATTAAAAATAACAGGTGCTCAATGATTATATAACATTAAAAATAACAGGCTCACCATGATTATATGAAGTTTAACAGATAATAAATACAAATTCCATAAAAATATATAGTTTTCAAAAATTTTCTTTTCACAAAGATTTTAATACTATATTTATCTGACAATAAGCCCATGTCCTGTAATAAGCCCATTCCCTGATTTTGAGTCCGGATTTGTATCTTACTAGCCCTCCACCACCATTCTGGGTTTATTGTGTTGTAATAAGCCCATTCCCTGATTTTGGGTCAGGATTTGTATCTTACTAGCCCTCCACCACCATTCTGGGCTTATTGTGTTGTAATAAGCCCTCCACCACCATTCTGGGCTTATTGTGTTGTAATAAGCCCACTCTATGGCTTTGAGTCAGGATTTGTATCTTACTAGCCATCCACCACCATTCTGGGCTTATTGTATTGTAATAAGCCCACTCCGTGACTTTTAGTCAGGATTTGTATCTTACTACCCCGCCCCCACCATTCTGGGCTTGTTGTCCTGTAATAAGTCTACCACTGACTTTGACTCAGAATCTGTATGTCAGCCCCCCTGGGTATTTGCAAGATAAACATGTTATGTCTACATTGTACTAACATAAGATTCAATTTAGAAGTTAATATTTAATGTCAGATATAGACTATATTACATCTGTGATTTATTATTAAGTCTTAATATCACTGCAGTCCTTCAAACCTTTATGTTGAAGGATAGATAGAGTAAATTTACATAATTTCAGACAAACCTTGAGAGATTTGATGATATATACAGTTACATATCGGAAACACTTCAATAACATCAGGGCGCTTCCCATTAAAATGAGCACTGTACATTCCACATGCTATAAACTCAGTGAGTTTGATTTCTCTGTGTAATTACTCACTGTTACACCATCGACTGTATGTAAACAGCCATGAAATGTACAAACATATAAATAAGGATATCTTAACCATTAATCACAAGCATTACATGATATGATATGTCTCACCTGTTCCACTTTGTTAGTAGATACAGCTTTTAAAGGAAATTTTAAAATACACTTAAATGTATATTTCTCCCCTCACAATATACTAAATTTTCCAATTTTAATTAATTTGAAGTGAATGCCAATAATATATGTATGTTGTTTTCACATTATAATATTGATGCATTAAAAAGCATGTAGTCAAAATGTAAATTCTTCAATTCTCAAAATTCATTGAAATATGGCATTTTCATCCCCCCCCAACCCCCCCCAAAAAAAATCTTCCTTTAGAGGAAGAGAAAAACTGGTGTTTTACATGTACTTGTTTCAAAATGAGTATAAATCTGAGTGAATAGAACAAGTCATAACAATTTTGTAGTTGTTGCTAAAAATCTGTAGTTTTTTTCTCCAAAAAGCATACACAGAAAGAAAGATCATGTATTTGGTGAGTCACATTTCTATATCACAATGTAATTATATCACAGGTTTGATTGGAATAGCACTTGTTCTTACATTCTTGAGAAACTGAGCTTAACACAAGACTTCTCAGCATCTCAAAATGTTACAGTATCTGAACTGTAAAATCTGGAAGACATGTAACTGATGTGTTGAAGTGTCCAGTAACACATAACACAATAGCCTCACCTCTGTGATATTTCATCACAAGTGAGACAAAAAACATCCAGAACACATCATTAATTCTAATCAATATTGGGATATGCCCTTGGAAGAACTTTGCAACAACATTAAGGTTATAAAACATAACAAGCTAAATAGATTGTCCCTTTGGATGGAAAGAAAAATTCTCATTTCAAAATTGATTTTAACTCTCTTTTATAATTAATTAGTTTGTGTATACTTTGTCCTTTATTGAATTCATTGTTCAAAGTTTAATTATGTGTATTTATCTAATAATTGTCATATTTTTGTGATGAATTCTTTAATTTTCAAAAAAAAAAAAAAAATGAAAAAAAATAATTAAGTGGGTAATATGCTGTAACTAGCTGAAGATCAACCAGGTAATATGCTGTACCCAGTAGTAGATTACCAATGTAATATGGTGTACCCAGTAATAGATTAACAATGTAATATGCTATACCCAGTAATAGATTAACAATGTAATATGCTGCACCCAGTAGTAGATTAACAATGTAATATACTGTATCTAGTAGTAGATTAACAATGTAATATACTGTATCTAGTAGTAGATTAACAATGTAATATACTGTATCTAGTAGCAGATTAACAATGTAATATGCTGTACCCAGTAGAAGGTTAACCAGGTAATATGTTGTTACCAGTAGTAGATTAACAATGTAATATGCTGTAACCAGTAGTAGATTAACAATGTAATATGCTGTATCCAGTAGAAGGTTAACCAGGTAATATGCTGTACCCAGTAGAAGGTTTACAATGTAATATGCTGTACCCAGTAGAAGGTTAACCAGGTAATATGCTCTACCCAGTAGAAGGTTTACAATGTAATATGCTGTACCCAGTAGAAGGTTAACCAGGTAATATGCTGTACCCAGTAGAAGGTTAACCAGGTAATATGCTGTACCCAGTAGAAGGTTAACCATGTAATATGCTGTACCCAGTAGTAGGTTAACAATGTAATATGCTGTACCCAGTAGAAGGTTAACCAGGTAATATGCTGTACCTAGTAGTAGGTTAACAAGGTAATATGCTGTACCCAGTAGAAGGTTAACCAGGTAATATGCTGTACCTAGTAGTAGGTTAACAAGGTAATATGCTGTACCCAGTAGCAGATTTTCCAAATGTTCTTATACAACTTAAATGACATGTGTTAATGTCAATTTGTAACATACAGGTCTGCCAATTTACTAAAATTTATTTCTGCTTAAATGCCTGACTATAAGGTAACAATTACCTTGTATTTTTGGCTTGATGTTCAAATAAACAATATTTGATGCCACTGTGAAAACTACAACCATCCTTTTCAAAAACTTACAAATTTTCTTTTAAAAAATAATATCACAGATTAATGCTTTTTCCATCTCTTCTAACAAATCAGAAAACACACTTAAATACAGGGTATGTTGTTGAGAGCAATAACTTCACAAATGAATCTCTTCACTTATAAACAATGAGAGAGTACTCATGAAAACCAACTCGTAAATTCCTTACTTTTTCCATCCAGTCATTTTTTCCCATAACAATAAATGTCTAAAACAGATACCTCACAAATCCAGATCTTTGCTGCTCCTTGACTGATCTAAGACATGCCTATCAAACAGGTACTGGAAGGCAATGTGGAAGTTCATCAGGGCACAGTCATGTTCACTTCCAGTCATGAATGGAGGCATCATATCAAGAATCATGTTTAAATGTGCGAATAGTTTTGTGAAAATTTCTGTATCCAGCTGTGTCAACATGACAATGATCACAGTAAGCATGTCATCAGCGCATGGCTGGTACACGGCACCATGGGGGGAAGCATTCATCTTAAACTTTGATACTTCCTTAGCAACAGACTTGAATGCTTTTGTTATATTCTTCATCTTTAAGTTGATTGGAGCAACTTTGATCACTTCCTCAATGTTAACGCTGAACCCTCTAATGGTCTCTTCTGAAGAAAGACAATGTATTCCATCACCAGGGGGCAGCACTTGGCCATTCCTCTTGGATGGATTTTCCAGCAGCTCAGATTGTGTACTTGCCATTGTGAATACTTCAGGGCTTTCTGAAATCTTAGAAACTTTCTTGTATGTTGGCTGGTGTCTAAAACCTGATACATCAGTAACTGGCTTGAACAAAGATTCCTCAGAAGATGGTGCAGCCACTGGCATGACTAATGCCTCCTCATATGGTGGCGGACTGGTTCTATCTGCCTCATTGCTTTTATGTCCTTTTGGTAGTGTGAATATGTCACTGCTGATGTCTTCATCCTCAGGCTCACTGAATGGAAAATCTATATCCTCCATACCCTCCAACTCATTATTGGCAGCCTGATAAAGCTTTTCTATGGACATGGCTTCAAGTTTGTTAGACAGCTTCTTAATTTTTTCTTGTCTTTTTTTTCCTCTAGTTTTATTGTTCCTCAGCTCTACTGAGTCCACATCACCAAACGGTTCTTTTGGTGTGGTGTTTTCCCAGTCGTTGGGTTCAGACACAATAGTTAGCCAAGGATCATCAATGCCAAGTTCATGCAAAGAAACCCCTTTAAGTTTCTCTGCCAGATTTGTTGACTTTCTCCTATATCTCTTCTCATACAACATATTAAGTTTGACATTAATTTTCTCATACAAATGAGATTCATAGCAAAGCCAAACACTTTTAAGTATGTCTTTATTGTTTTTTCTTGAAATCTGTGTGACTTTCGAATTCTCTCTCAGATCTTCCTGTCCAAGAGCATGAATTATATGCTTACACATTTCTTCCAAGTGCTTTTTTATCTCTGACTTAACAGAGTCCATGAGTGAATGAAGAGGCAGTGTATTTGGGTGGTAAACTTCCTTTGACACAGAAATCGCTTTATCACTATGAATGTTCACCACCAGTGTTGACTTGCAATCCTCTGAACATGGCATACTGTCTTTGTTTGTATTTGTATCTTCGAAGCTACAAATGTTTACAAATCCTTCACATTCTGGATCCTGGACATTTTCTGACAACTGGACAAACAAATTAGCTTCGTCCATAGATCCATCAATTTTCTGTGAAAGGATATCACAGAAATGATGATGATGATGCTGTGCCTCTCCACTGTTGATAATAGAAGACACTCTTTCTCCAAGGGTTGCCCATTTCTTTGGTTTAGTACTTAAGATGCCAACATCAGTTGAATTACTGGCTCCATCGTAAAGTGACTGCCAGCCCATGGAGTGCCCTACTGTATCCAATTCTCCTAGTGCTAAACAGATCGCTTCTCTGACAGAAGCTATTTTAACCTTTCGTAAAATTAGCTTGTGCATGTTTTCCTTTTCACTTTTAAGCCTGACAGTAATCTCCAAGTAAATTTCATGAAATACTTTTACACTGACTTTCCTAGACTTTCTTTTTCTAGATGGTGGTATTGGTTGACGTACAACTACATTTTTGATATTTTCTCGCATCATTTGCATTTCTGTGAGAAGTTTGTGTACACTGTCCCTCTCTTTGCGTGCTTGATCCAGCTGCTCTTTCTTGTGGTTGCCATGCATGTCCCTCAACTCATTGACCTTACCTTGACATGTTTGCATTTGCTCAGCTTCTTTTTGAATGTCTTTTTCTAAGTGAATGAGAAATGCTTTTAAGAAATCAACACTGCACTCCCTGATATAACTTTCTCTTTCAAATTTTGGATCTTTAAGAAAACTGTCTCTTTGTTTACGCAAGGAACTCTCAGTGAGTGAAATAGCTTTGTCTTTTTGAAGGATTTCTGTTTCAACATTTTTTAGGCAAACTTCAATACATCGGAGAGATGTCCTCAGAGATGGTGCATCATCAAGGTTCAAGTTAATCAATGGTAGAATATAGCAGTGCACCAGACGAAGGATTTCCTTGTAAAATCTAGATGGCAAATGGTCTTCAAGGTCTGGTTCAACACTGACGCACACGGAAGCCCCTGCAGGTAGGATTTGTGGATTTTCAAAAAAAAATTTCGCCGAATGAAATAGGTCATCTACCTCCGAATCAAATTCCATGCACCTACTCTCTACAGTCTCTTTCAGACCAAGTACCTCTAGTTGTTTGTTTGGCGACATTGACGCTCGTTCGTCTAACGACAATGGACATTGACTGTCGTTTGATTTAATCCATTGTAGAACTTTGAAATCGCAATCAACCAACACGGAGTCGACGACCAAAGTTTTAAACCAAATCCCTGGCTCTATAAATTTTAAGTCCCCTCCAACTTTACCGACCATCGGTAAATAGCCATCCTGGAGATTCACATCCGGGACAACTAAAGTCTTGCCATCAAACTTTAAATATATGTACATTTTGAACAAATTTGAATTGTTTTCTCACATTATAGCGCCTGAGTCACACAACTTGACCTCGGGGAAGTAAGTAAATACGTCGTTGATTAAAATAGAAAGTAGGAAACACGTGCCGCTTAAACTGTTATAAATATAATCATTTTTTTACCGAAATTCGGATAAAGATCAGAACAAAGTTAAATACTTATTAACGATTATGTGGAAGTATTGAAAAAATGTCATTGATAGAGACAAATGCTCATATAATCTTGTGTAACTCTTTCTGAATATGTTTTAACGTGTACCTAAGCGGCGCACTAAAGCTTCCTAGCATAGGACACAATGTACAATCGACTAACACATCTGTTGTAAGGTTTGGTTAGCGTTATGTTATAGCTTCGAATATATTCACGATATCATCAAATTACCAACACATATAATCGTGATGTGAGTTTCAATTGACATGATATGTTTACAAAGTAAGACCAATCTGTTCTGTCTCCGTTAAAGTAAAATATGCAGACTGAAGTGCATAAATGATCAGACATATATAAACACATAGATGAAGACAGTTCCTTTATGGATTTTTTGTTGAATTTTTGTGAAAAGTCAACCTTACTAGATATATCCACCAAGAGAAAACAGCCACCCTATTAATGGTAACTTTATCACGTTTACGTTAACGCGTTTGTTGTACACAAATGTTATTTTTACATATTACTTTTGATTTTTTTACAGGTGAATTCAATTTCATTTGAAGAGACATCACTAAACTATGGTATCCGAGTGACAGGAAGAAATAGTATGCCATCACACCTCCACTTGTCAGTGAATGTATCCAACTTTTCACATCCATAATACACAGTGACTTATCATAGGAAACTCCCAGACGTTTCTAGTTGAAAATCCATCAAATGTAGATGAGGTGTGCATATCAACATTTGTACCTGGAAATTTGCTGAGATTGTGTCCCAACCAATTCAGGAGATTATAGTGTATAAAATAAATATAAATATGGCTGACAACAGAGAAGATGATGAACTTAGTATACCAAGAGCTGCTCTTAATAAGATGATCAAAGAACTGATACCAAACATACGTGTAGCAAATGATGCAAGGGAGTTAATCCTCAACTGTTGCACAGAATTTATCCACCTTGTATCCTCAGAGGCAAATGACATTTGTAATAAACAACAGAAGAAGACAATATCTCCAGAACATGTATTAGCAGGTAATGAAAGTTCAGTTACACCATTGGATGTAACAGACATGTCCCCAGAAGATATATTACATGTATGATGTATGAGTTATGCTGTGAGTCTGTGGTATATGTAATTTGAGAGACATATCAGTTATTCCTGGCATCAAAGATGGTATGAGTTTTCGTGACATATAGATAAGTGACATATAAGTTATATTATGAGTCTGTTATGGTTTTACAGCTCTGGATAGCCTTGGCTTCAGTGGGTACAAAGAAGATGCTGTAGCTGTTCTAGAGGAGGCTAAAGCTGTTGCTGCAAAGAAACGTAAAGGGAGTTCTCGTTTGGAAAATCTTGGAATCCCTGAGGAAGAACTGTTACGTCAGCAACAAGAGTTGTTCGCTAGGGTAAGTTGGAATAAACTGATATTGTATTTCTGCAAGGAATTTTGGCCCATCTTTCCAAGCTCGCTTAAGAAAGAAAAAAAATAGAGAAAATTTTGTATTGAACATCAAAGTAGTGTTATATGATATGAATTGAAAACAATTTTGAAAATGTTTTTTTTGTGTTTCCATATTAGGCACGACAAGAGCAAGCTCAACTAGAACAACAGCAATGGCTACAGATGCAGCAAGCTTTACAACAACAACAGCAACAACAGCAACAGCAACAACAGAATGATGGTGATGATGATTACTCATAGTTATAATAACGTCTGCAGACCACAACACAATTGCAAAGACAGCTACACATACAGTCAGGAACAAATATACATACAGGCCAGCAGAAACAACTGGGATAACTACACATACAGGCTGTCAATCACAAGGGTGCATATACAGGCTGTCATGGACAATTACATAAACAGATTGTCAGGGACAACTGGACATACAGGCTGTCAGGGCCAAGTAAACGTACAGACTGCCACAACTGCACATAATGGCTGTCAGGGAAAATTATACAAAGAGACTGTCAGTCAAAACTGCATATACAGATTGTCAGGGACAACTACACATACAGGCTATCAGGGACAACTGATGTCAGATAAAATAAAACAAACACAATGACATCAACAAATACAATGTACATAACAGCAGATATGTATCCTGAAGATGACAGCTATGTAGATTCAAAAACTTTAAGCGGGTTCACTGTTCTGTGATCCAGGAGAAAAGATAATAGCCAAGAAGACAGTACTGTTGGTAATTCTACCACATGCTGGAATGAATTGATTAAAGGCTTAAAAGACTGCTGTTAGTTTCCCACATGGTTTACTGGAAATCTGCAAGATTTACTAGAAGTCTGCAACGTTTACTGTTACTCTGCAAGGCCTGATATTTATCCTTTTTAAAATTTAAGTAAGTCTTTAACCCTGTTATATCATAAAAGTTGTCTACAAGGACAACTGTAAGTAAACAGGACTTACTTCATGTCTTTTTAAATATTTATGGCATTCTTTGATGAAATGGGAATTATTTCTAGTTCTGATTTAAAACAAGGTGTGTTTCTTGGGTTTGACTGTATAAGAGAAGTTATACCACAGTACATGAGGATTCAGGCAGGTATGAAGTATACTTTAGTGGGGCATTTGAAACTCAAAATAATGTGAAATGTGTTCCAATGAAATTGAAAAACATATTTTCTATAAGGACATATCTATCTGCTTCTTGTTGGATACCATTGTATTGTAAGGTTGATTTTGTTTCTCAGATACGTGTGCATGGTCTGATTATTTTGTTGTATTAATTTGTATCCTTATATATTATGTCATTATTCATCATCAATAAATTTCACATTACTCATCACAGGCAACAGTTGTTGTGTTTGTGTAATATTGATCTCATAGCAGACAGCAATTGCGTCTGTGTATATGGAATAACTTCAGCAACAAACCTCACTTTGAAAGAAAAATACTACTTTTAGCTCACTTAAAACAAATCTGGTGTTAATCAGTTTTTTCCTGGAAATTGCCGATTGTCATGAACAACTGGGCATATTTTCCTATTTGGTCAGAGGTAGGACTGAAGGTACAGATAAATATTTTTTTGTAAATAGCAATTCTAGGTCCCTGAAGTCAAAAGGATGGGGTCCAGTAAGGGAATTTAACACATTCTTAAAAATACTTCTTCTGTACAAATGACAAGATTTTGTCCAAATTAAGTCTAGGAGAGGGAGACTCAATTTTGTTCAAATGTTGGGTTAGACACTTCCTATGGGCAGATAGCCAGACCCATGAGGGGAAATAGGAGCATGCTTTTAGTATTACAATCAATCCCATAGGATGAAGGTGTTTTGACCAAACTTAGAAGCTTCCTTGAGAAATTAGAATCAATTGGATGTTGGCTCAAAAGAGCCTGAAGGGTAGGCTTGATGCAGATGGGAAATATGATATATTGAATAAAATTTTTTTTTCTAGAGGAATGACAGGATATTGTCAGAATTTAGTCTGAACCACCCTTACATGGAGGCAGAGGGGCGGGCCCAAAAGGGAAATAGGGGAAAAAGTTCTTGAAATTTATTTGTAACATTTTTGAGAAATATGAATTAATTTTATATGAAGAGTGGATCTGACTCTTTAAACAACAGAGAAAAAGGCAAAAGTAGCGAAAAGCTTTCAAATCATTCTGATGGTTGGATGAAGGCATTTTGACCAAATTTGGTCAAAAGCATCCTTGGGGAAGGGAAATGGATTTTGTGAAGATGATAGGTCAGAGCCGCTATGGGACAGAAGGTTGAGGCCAACAGGGGAAATAATTGTAAGTCTTTAAATCTTTCACCTACAATATGGATAAAACCATTTTGGTCAAACTAAACCAAGTGAGTGAAACAGTTCCCATAAGCCTCTTTTATCATTGTGGATCTGACATGCCTAGAGGCAGAGAAATGGGCCCATATTGTTGAAAATACTTTTCCTTTCTTGGATTGAAGGTATTTAGACATTTGTTAGGAAACATCCTTTAGGGAAGTAACCATAATTTTGTGTAGTCATAATTGTTGGGTCTGAGCACCTCCCTTCTGTAGGACTGTAGGAGCAGGGCATTTGAGAAAATGGAAGGTTTATAAACCCTCCTTCTATAAAGATAAAAAGTATTTTCATCAAATGTGGTCTGCAGTATCATTGAGGGAACTTTTCCTATAAATTGCAAGTAATCATGAATAATCAAATTTGGTCTTAATTATACTTGCGGGAAGAATTTTCAAACCACTTCTTTCAATACCCAAAAGCCTCAGGGTGCTAATATTTGGACTTTAGCATGCAGGGATAAAGGGCTACCAAGTTTGTTTGTATGAATGACCTTGATCAAATTTCAAGGTCACAGGACGAAATCTTAAAACAACTTCTTCTAAGTAACCAAAATGCCCAGAGGGCCTGTCCCATGTAAGGGTGAAGGGGTACAAGGTTCTTTGGAATAATTGATATTTTCCTGCTTTCAAGGTCACAAGGCTTAAAATCTGTAAACAACTTGCTCTCAAAAACCAAATGGATCAGGGTTCTGATAGGGTTAGAGTTTGTAGCATACTGGGATGATGGACCATCTTGACATGATAAAATGTCACAAGGGTCAAATATATAACTTTTAATTTCTTCTTTTCAACACGCAATAAGTCATGTAATTTGTGTCAGCATAGATTTTGAAGTTAGCAGAAATTAAGTTATAGCAGACTGTCAATGTCTTCCATGTAAGCTTCAGAACTGGTGAGTGATTCAGGCCCTTTGGGCCTCTTGTTGTGTAAAGCGTACTTGGCGAAATGGAATTTGAAGTGCTCAGAAATTGACTTGATCAACAAAGTATTTGTTGAAGCTTCAAAAAAGATCGGGTCCGAAAGAATAAGACCTCTTTTTTAATAGTGGTGTCATGAGTCCCATAGGGCCATGATACTTTGTAAACTTTGTTAGGCGTCATTCCAGTAACCTGTATGCCGTGTATCATATGATTATAAGCATTCTTATTGATTAAAAGAAATTATTTGAGTGTTTCGGAAAAATTGACCCTGGTCGTTGACCGTGATATAATATGGGGTAATGCCACATTTCCCACATTTTGTGTTTGCTTCATCCAAGAAACCTATCAGTCGAAATATCATGATTCTAGACATTTTGTGTAACAAGATTTTATTTGTTTTTAACAAATTTTGACCACAGTGGTCTTTGACCTTGGAAACAGTCCAGGTAATTTCTTTTTGTAAACTTTGTTTGACTTCATCCCAAACACACGACTCTTGCCAGGTTGTCCATTTCTCTTCTATGTTATTAATACCACGGACTTATATACATATATGTGTATATAAGTCCGTGTTAATACTGAGAACCTAAACGCATGAAAATATTTATAATTAGACTCCAAAATGTTTCGGAGAACACAGACTGTGCACTTAGTCAACACACTATCATGTACCTGGTAAATGACACTGAATGAACGGTACTATAGACAAACACTGATTGCTTCGTTTAATTATTCATTATGTGATACCAACTGTTGCTAAAGTACACGTGCCGTACATGCAACCTTAATCATAAGAATTTGCTGTATCGAAAACACCGTTTAAAGCAAACGTATGATTGACGCGGATCGGGCACCTAGCAAACTAACAAAATGGCCGACGAAATACCTGTTATCCCGAAAGTAACAAGTTTGGTTGTTCACAGTGGGAATATTGTTAACTGGAACAGACTAAAACGGAAACCAAATCAGACATCGTCAGAGGAGGTAGGTTTACTGTTACATTCGTCTCAATGTCAAGGTGTCTTTACGTAGATATCACGATGTTTGTCTTGTGTGTTCAAAGTATCTAGTTTGTTTACATTACAATACAGCGAAATGTCTTTCTAATAACAAGGTATGTTATAATTCGGACATAATGAAATCCCATCGTATTGTACTGGAATTATCATTATTTTATGGGTTTAGCTGTTGTTTCGGTGACTTGGAACATGTTGTCTGGCGACTGATTGGCAGATAACCTATGTCGGTCTGGTTATTGACCGGGGTTCTGTAACTAGAACTACAGTATTATGAATAGACCAAATTTGTGCATGTATACATTTCGGATTTCAATACACTAAGCTTTTGACATAATTTACTTTTTTCTTTTCGTTTGATACTTGAGGTTACTATTACTATTTTTGGGATGGGCGTGGTACCGGTCTTGTTCCAGATCTTCACAGCAGGATGTTGAAATCATGACTGTGCACATTTTCATGTGTACATGACGCTTGTTTTTTAGGGATATTTCATTTAATGTTCATGAAATTTGTCACCAAACACCAGTCACTTTGGTTTGGCAATCGAGAAATATATATGAATGCTATCATATTATCTAGCATAATTGCTGTAGAAAAATCCAGAAGCACGAACATATATGGCGAATTATGGACTTTCCCTGTTGCTAAAAATAAATACATCTTTTTTCATGTTGTACAGAACTCGTCTTACTGCAGAATTATACACATTCAAACGTTTCATTCATGATGAAATATTTTCATTATAGTGTAATATATCACATTGTAATATGGAACAATCTTTGTAAAACATGGATATTTAGAACAACATTTATAATAAACTATTTGATGGAGTAGCTCCATCTACCTCTAGCTCCACTTTGTGGTGCAACTGAGTTTAACAAGAGTTGGGCTAATCCCTACCAGAAAGGTCTGCTAAATAATGCAATGGCATCTAGTGTCAGTTATCAACTGACCAAGGTAAAGAGAAGCTCACTTTAGAGAAGTGGTTCATTACCATTAAAATTTCCCAGGGTTACCCATCAACTTTAATTTTCTTGCTGTCACCCTTTCCCACCCAAGGAACAACGGGTAGAGACTATTTTTTTATTGTGTCTATGTGTCTTTCCACTAAAAGGCTATAGCTTCCATACTACTTGTCATTTGAACTGCATACTTAGGATTGGGGATAGATATGTTCACATTGGTGAGACTTACATTTTGTCACTGGAACTTCATGCTTTGGGTCATGCTGACCTTAATTTTGACCTTTGACCTTCATCATAGAAGAAGTTTGTGTATTGGCCCTGCCTTCTTCATAGCTGGTCACTTGAACTTCATACTTGTGTAATGGGTCTATCTTGGAGTAATGGGTACATCTTGGAGAGGCAATCTATCAGTGTAGGCAGTAATTTGAGAAATTGTAGTCATTCATTAGGAATGTCCTTTGAAGGAATGATATTAAGACTGTCTTGCTGATGTGTTCACTCTATTTATTCTGTTCAGGTATAAATATCAATGCTATATATACACATGAGAACTTTGTAAGTGTTTCATTGTTTTCTAGCTCTATATACATTATGTTATTTGATTTATATATATATATACATGTATATGCTGTGTACTGTAAATACCAGTCTGAAAGAGCATTTTATTTTTTAACAGCTTGTTGAATGCATGTCAAATTCTCTGGAGAGTTTCTTTGAAGGAGCAGACAAAAACAAACTTCAGGTAATAATCTAACACAAATGTAAAAAACAAATAAACAGGTAAGGAACAATAACAGAAGTAAGGAGCAAGTACACAGATAAAAAGTAAATCCACAAGTAAGTGGCAAATACACAGGTAAGGAGCAATTATACAGGTAAGGAACAATTATACAGGTAAGGAGCAATTATACAGGTAAGGAGCAATTATACAGGTAAGGAGCAAATACACAGGTAAGGAGCAATTACAGAGGTAAGGAGCAATTAAACAGGTAAGGAGCAATTACACAGGTAAGGAGCAATTAAACAGGTAAGGAGCAATTACAGAGGTAAGGAGCAATTACAGAGGTAAGGAGCAATTATACAGGTAAGGAGCAAATACACAGGTAAGAAACAATTACACAGGTAAGGAGCAAATACACAGGTAAGGAGCAATTACACAGGTAAGGAGCAAATACACAGGTAAGGAGCAATAATTACAGAGGTAAGGAGCAATTATACAGGTAAGGAGCAAATACACAGGTAAGGAGCAATTACAGAGGTAAGGAGCAATTAAACAGGTAAGGAGCAATTACACAGGTAAGGAGCAATTACAGAGGTAAGGAGCAATTATACAGATAAGGAGCAAATACACAGGTAAGGAGCAATTACACAGGTAAGGAGCAATTAAACAGGTAAGGAGCAATTACACAGGTAAGGAGCAATTACAGAGGTAAGGAGCAATTATACAGGTAAGGAGCAAATACACAGGTAAGGAGCAATTACACAGGTAAGGAGCAAATACACAGGTAAGGAGCAATAATTACAGAGGTAAGGAGCAATTATACAGGTAAGAAACAATTACACAGGTGAGGAGCAATTACACAGGTAAGGAGCAATTATACAGGTAAGGAGCAAATATACAGGTAAGGAGCAATTACACAGGTAAGGAGCAAATACACAGGTAAGGAGCAATAATTACAGAGGTAAGGAGCAATTATACAGGTAAGAAACAATTACACAGGTAAGGAGCAATTATACAGGTATGGAGCAATTACACAGGTAAGAAGCAATTATACAGGTAAGAAACAATTACACAGGTAAGGAGCAATTATACAGGTATGGAGCAATTACACAGGTAAGGAAAAAAACTAATAAGGAGGAAATACAATAATTGTTATGTATTGGAAACTATTTTTGTTATAAGGAATGTGCTATTTTCTTGTAATTATATAAGAAACTGAACAAACTAATTTGATGTAAAGACAGTGATATTTCTGTAATTACGAGCTGGCATGAAAACCTTTCGTAATGGAATTATATAAACAATCTTCAGAATACTATCGCTGAAAGTGAATAATTGAAATTAATTTTTGAAAAAAGATGATAGAAATGAAGAAAGATGTGTGGCAAAATATACTTAAGAGACCTGCTCAGACATGTTTATACTTTGTTGGATAATGTATAGTGTAATTCATCAAACTCTTAAAAGGTTTGGAAACAAAATCAACAAACCGAAGTGCTTTTACATATGGAAGAGACAGGGAATGTGTGAATGTTCCTTTGCACATGATGGCATACATATTTGTTAGGCTATATGATGTATAAGTAACCTCCTGTGTGTTGTTTAATAACTGATTACTGGACCCCAGGAAATTTCATTTAAATTAGACTTGAAAATGAAATCCTCATAAAAAATGGAACTTTTATGTTTACTTCATATACATTCAATCTTATCTGTGTTAATGACAAAGATTTGGTAAAACATGAAAGATGATTGCCTTCTTTCTTATAGTATGCTTCTGAGCTTGACTGTTCCCACTCAGAATTTAAGAAGACCCTGGCTATTAACAGTGAGCCGAGAGGTGATCTCAAAATAACAGGTAAATGCATTATATGAAGAGAGTCTAGTAATGCACACTTATTCCAATACTGTGCATTTGTAGGTGTCTTTATCAGTCCCCCTGTATTTCACATAGGTGTCTTTATCAGTCCCCCTGTACTGTGCACACGTACATGTCTTAATCAGTCTCCCTGTACTATGCATATATAGGTGTCTTTATCAGTCCCCATGCACTATGCATATGTTCTAGTAGGTGTTTTTATCAGTCCCCTGTTCTGTACACATGTACATGTCTTAATCAGTCCCCAGGTACTGTGCACATGAAGGTATCTTAATCATTCCCCAGGTACTGTGCACATGAAGGTGTCTTTATCAGTCCCCTGTACTGTACACATGTCTTAATCAGTCCCCAGGTACTGCGCACATGAAGGTGTCTTAATCAGTCCCCAGGTACTGTGCACATGAAGGTGTCTTTATCAGTCCTCAGCTACATTGTTTGTAATTAGTTTTACAGTACTGTACTCGGCACTGTAGTAAAGGTTGTGTATTCATTATTCCTTGACATTTCTACAAATGTACTCACTTATATTTCACATCTACCAGTGTTTAAATGTTTTAGTGTACTTACACTCAAATTTTCTCTATTTCAGTGAAAATATTCCTGTGCAGATTGACGTCTCAAGACGTCATTACACAGGCGGTAGACAAAGGTCAGTCTTTATATATATATATACAATATTGATCAAATGGATATAGACAACATTCACCACAATATCTATTATACAAATAACATTAAAATTGGCAAGTCAAAGATGCTTATCTCTAGTATCAAGATACTGTTTATCAGAACAAGCATGATTTGTACTTTGATAGTTTGATGGAATGGAAAAGAATTCTTGTCATACTTTGCTAGAGTTGGTAGAATTGAACTGGTTTTTGTTTTGCTTTGCTAGTGTTGTTGGAATTGAACATATTCACTGTTGTACTTTGTTAGTGGAATTGAACATATTCACTGTTGTACTTTGTTAGTGTTGGTGGAATTGAACATATTCACTGTTGTACTTTGTTAGTGGAATTGAACATATTCACTGTTGTACTTTGTTAGTGGAATTGAACATATTCACTGTTTTACTTTGTTAGTGTGGGTGGAATTGAACATATTCACTGTTGTACTTTGTTAGTGGAATTGAACATATTCACTGTTTTACTTTGTTAGTGTTGTTGGAATTGAACATATTCACTGTTGTACTTTGTTAGTGGAATTGAACATATTCACTGTTGTACTTTGTTAGTGTTGGTGGAATTGAACATATTCACTGTTGTACTTTGTTAGTGGAATTGAACATATTCACTGTTGTACTTTGTTAGTGTTGGTGGAATTGAACATATTCACTGTTGTACTTTGTTAGTGTTGGTGGAATTGAACATATTCACTGTTGTACTTTGTTAGTGGAATTGAACATATTCACTGTTTTACTTTGTTAGTGTTGTTGGAATTGAACATATTCACTGTTGTACTTTGTTAGTGGAATTGAACATATTCACTGTTTTACTTTGTTAGTGTTGTTGGAATTGAACATATTCACTGTTGTACTTTGTTAGTGGAATTGAACATATTCACTGTTGTACTTTGTTTGTTTAGAACATATTCACTGTTGTTAGTGGAATTGAACATATTCACTGTTGTACTTTGTTAGTGTTGGTGGAATTGAACATATTCACTGTTGTACTTTGTTAGTGTTGGTGGAATTGAACATATTCACTGTTGTACTTTGTTAGTGTTGGTGGAATTGAACATATTCACTGTTGTACTTTGTTAGTGTTGGTGGAATTGAACATATTCACTGTTGTACTTTGTTAGTGTTGGTGGAATTGAACATATTCACTGTTGTACTTTGTTAGTGTTGGTGGAATTGAACATATTCACTGTTGTACTTTGTTAGTGGAATTGTTCACTGTTGTACTTTGTTAGTGTTGGTGGAATTGAACATATTCACTGTACTTTTGTGGAATTACTTTGTTACTTTGTTAGTGTTGGTGGAATTGAACATATTCACTGTTGTACTTTGTTAGTGTTGGTGGAATTGAACATATTCACTGTTGTACTTTGTTAGTGTTGGTGGAATTGAACATATTCACTGTTGTACTTTGTTAGTGTGGGTGGAATTGAACATATTCACTGTTTTACTTTGTTAGTGTGGGTGGAATTGAACATATTCACTGTTTTACTTTGTTAGTGTGGGTGGAATTGAACTTATTTCTTGTATTTTGCTAGTGTTGATGTTATTGAAATAATATGTTTTTGTTTTGCAGTATTAACAGAGTTGGAAGCCTCCTCTTTGGATGTAGTTCTTTTAGCCTTCCCTGATCTGGATGAGGATGCCAATATACTAGATCTGATCTTGCCATACTGGCAGACTCTGGAGAAACTGAATAAGGAAGAGAAAGTCCATTCAATAGGCATATCGGACCTTGACAAGGCTGCTCTGGAGGAGCTGTATAACTGTGCAGAGGTAAACTTACATACTCACACAATAAACATAGATATCCTTCAGATTAAATGGATTTAAAAAGAAAAAATTCTGTAGTCATTTGTCTTATTGTGAATGCTATAGGTACAGTAAAGTTACTGAGTAGGAAACGTGGTAAATATTAACATTGCTCTGACATGAAGATAATAAAATTGAAAGGCTTAAAATGGGTTTGTAAGTTTTTCTTTGTGACTTAAATGTGAACGTGTGAAAAGATTGAAAAAGGTATATAATTTTTCTTAGTGACTAAATTGTAATCATATATTTCATTTTATAAGAAGTATTACATGTACAACTTAGTGTTATTTCTTACCAGATAAAACCAACCATCAACCAGGTGAATCTTGAATCGTGCTGTGTAATGCCAAAGGACCTGACTGATTATGCCAAAGAAAATGACATCCAGCTTCTGACACACAGTGACCCTCGAGGTACATACCTGGGGGGTATCTTCTAAATAATGTTTATAATCATGAGATGGTGGGCTATTCCAATCACTGGTGGTCTTTGGCCCATACTCATTGTCCTCTGTCCAATCATGAACAGATCTTGTTAGCACTACTACTTGAGAAGTACTGGATGGATCTTTTGCAAATTTTTTATGGTCATTGTTTTTTTTTTTTTTTTTCTTCAGCTGATCAGAAAAATAAAATGGCTGACATGTGGCCATCTTGGATTTTGGCAACGAAAGATTACTTTTCTTTTAGAGAAGTATCAGACAAATTTCTGAAAATTTATATGTAGGCTCCTGTTTTTCTCCATTTGTGCTCTTTTGATTTAAGGACAGATTAGGGAAAAGGTGGCTGACAGGTGCCCATCTTGGATTTTGACAATGAAAGATTGTTTTTTTCTTCAGAAGTAGTGAATGGATCTTTCTTGGAAATCATGTGAAGGTTCCCCTTGGTCCCTAGTTGTGTCCATCCAATTTTGGGATTTGGCAGTTAAAGACAATTATTATCATAGTTGTTTACTTTTGATTTTGAGACTGATCAGATGAACAAAATGTCAGTCAAGTGACTATTTTAAACTTGACAGTTAATAGGAATTTTCATGTACTTAGAGAGCAAGAAGAGGGAAATAATACAAAAGATGGAAAGGATCAAACTTTTAAAGAACAAATGAAGACCAAACAAAGATGGATGCCATGATCTCTCAAGATCTCTTGGTTTTATATTTTAATATGAATTATTGAATAAAAATGAAAAAAATATTTCGAAAAAAAACTTGTTCTATTAATGATCAGACTGTAATATAGCTTTTCATCCTATCAGTATTGCATCTTCTCTGTGTTTCAGACATCCTGACAAATGAGAAAATATCACAACTAATGTCAACCAGATGCACAGAAAAGGATGGTGAGGGATGGGACTCTGATTGGGCTGCAAGATTCTCTGTCATGTTTAAGTGTCGAGGCATCATTAAAACAAAAGGGTATATCATTCAAGCCTCACGAGACACAGCAAAAAGAAAGAGTACACAAGTGGTACTATAGACATCATACAAAAGTATCCAGTTATTGTCGCTGTCACTAAGTGTCAGCTGGGAGGGGGATTGGCGTTTCAAATCATTTTTAGTGTCCCACTCCAGTAATTACATGTAAATATTATGTAATACCTTTGTCATGTTACATTGTACACTGAAGGGATCAAGTGGTGTTGTGTAATATTATATCATATGTGATATGTTTGTATTGTTACACTAAAGTGACTCTTGATGATGTTGTCATGGCATGTTTCTTAAGAAGTTTTGTTTTGTATACAGGATTGATATTTTCAGCAACAATAAACATAATATCAAATTGAGATAATAGTAAGTTTCTAGTACACATAGAGCTTCACATTGAATGTGATTAATATTATACATTAACACTGACATAATATATATATCAATTAACGACAACAGGGTTGTTAATATTAAATCCGAATTCTGTTAATTAACTTTTGTTTTTACATGAAGAAGCTAACTTTCAGATTTTGTGTCATTGTTGTATCAAATGATTTTACATTGTCTACCTTTCTCTATGGCTAGATAACAGACCATGCTTTATAGTGGCTGTATTACTAAACAAAAATTTATTCATGGCACAGAGCCCTGTCTGGATGGAGGTCATTAATCCATTCTGGTCTATGTGGATAGTGACAATCCATCCACAGCACTATGGACTGCCAAAATGAAAACTGATCATCTGTCTGTGGCACAGTTGCCTGTCTAGATAGAGACTGATATCTCTCTACGGCACAGTGGCCTGCTTAAATAGAGACTGATGATCTCTCTATGGCACAGTGGCCTGCTTAAATAGAGACAGATCATTTGTCTACAGCACAGTGGCCTGTCTAGATGAAGACTGATCATCCCTCTACGGCACAGTGGCCTGTCTAGATAGAGACTGATTATTCCTCCACAGCACATTGGCCCGCCTAGATGGTGGAGGCTGACAGAAGATCCTTCTAGAGGACAATGGTCAGTTTAGGTGGAGGCTGACAGAAGATCCTTCTAGAGGACAATGGTCAGTTTAGGTGGAGGCTGACAGAAGATCCTTCTAGAGGACAATGGTCAGTTTAGGTGAAGGCTGACGGAAGATCCTTCTAAAGGACAATGATCAGTTTAGGAGGGCCGACAGTAGATCCTTCCACAGGACATGGTTTGTCTAGATGGAGGCTGACAGATGGTTCTTCCACGGAGAAGGAGGTCTACATGGAGGCTGACTGACAGTGTCCTGTGGATGGATCCTGTCATTTATATATTAATAAGTAATATTTTAAAGATTGCATATTAAGTATTTAACCATATTAAACAAAAGGCTTAAGAGCCAAATGATCTGAAGGTGTTTGCTTGTTTGTGAGAAAATCAACATACTGAATTTATACACACTGAGAACATGTCCAAGAAAAATCGATTAGAGAATGTGTTTCATTACTTTACAGAGCAATTCCTTATTTCTTCCTCGTTCATGTCATTCAAGGGCCATAAAAATAATGTTGGCTAATATAAGATGTAGTTGAGCTCATGCCATATCTTACTATCCTATGTCTGTTCTCAGTTTGTTATAGGATTCAAAATACAAAAAAATACCATAACTATTATCTGTTTTATCATTCTAAGTCAGAAATCTGAATTGGCCACTTCTCTCAATTTTTATTTACATTTCAAAGCAATTGTTAAAAATAGTTCAAACCATCATTAGTTTGAAATAAACACTAGAGCAATTCAGATCCAACAGACCTGAGACTGGTTCTTCATCAATAGAATTCTTGACCTGAGACTATGCACTCGTCAAGACCAGAGACTGGTAGCCTGGTTCCAGACCTAAGGCTAGTAGACTGAGTGATCATTACAGACCAGAGACGGGTAGCCTGGTTCCAGACCTAAGGCTAGTCGACTGAGTGATCATTACAGACCAGAGACTGGTAGCCTGGTTCCAGACCTAAGGCTAGTAGACTGAGTGATCATTACAGACCAGAGACTGGTAGCCTGGTTCCAGACCTAAGGCTAGTAGACTGCGTGATCATTACAGACCTGAGACTGGTAGACTAGCTATTATTTCAGACCTTGTTCTGCGCTAAGGCTGGTAGAGTGGTCCTTAGTTCCAGATCTGAGGCTGGAAGACGATCATCTTACATAAATGTACAACAAACAACACTCTTACTGTATACTTTATTGTACCCTATGTAAAAATTGCAGATAGACTTACCAGAAGTCAGATTAACAGTTTTCCACACAACAGGTATTTTTGTAATGCTCATATTTTTTGCATTAGTAAGATCCATAATTTTCTTATGTTGGTGATGACAAATATATTACTCTCTGACTTAATTGTAATATTCTTCACTGGATGTTTTAGTCTTCTCACATCAAAATGTGAAACAGAATTATTAACAAGACAAATTATAAAAATAGTTCAGAACAAAGATACTTTTTAGTAAAAATGGCATTCTAAACGATGCTACCAATATGATCCTGATACAGACATTTACCAATGACTTGTCCTGATCTATGTGCCTGCAGACAGGATATTTTTACACTTGCTGATTACCATCATTATTCAAATAAAAGTAGATTTCAAATTCTATATTATCTGTTACAAGTCATAATAACAAGTAAAGTTATTGTGATAAAGAACTCTTTTGAAGGAGGTAATTTTAGACATGTTGCTGGGGTAACTCTGTAAACAAGCAAATAAAGTAGATCAAACTACTCGTTGCTGCTGTTCCACGATCTCAAAATTATCTTCATATGCGTTTGATTTTGAATGGAAACATTCCATAAATGTGAATTTAAGTTAATGCTCCAATATTAACAATTGAATATTTGATAAAAAAATAAATCACAATTGTGATAATTCAAATTACAAACCCTGATGGAAAAGTGATGTCCGCGACTGACATTTTAAGATGTAATATAACGTCTTAACATTTAAAACACTAAACATTAAGAATGTATAGAGAAAAATTGTGATAAAAGTTTGCCTGAACTTTTGTTAGGTGATTGGGTTGTAAATGGCGTAGCCTCCCTAAAGACAGTGAAACAAGACTCGCCACAGGAAAGTCATAAAAATAGCTGGATGTTGTACAGATCATGGTTAAAGAAAATAAGGGCCAGTATGACAACTAATTAAGCTGATATGTAAAATACACCATTTCCTGGTTTTATGAATTATATGAAGTATGTAAGCTGAACACATAATACCAGAAAATATGAAATACTGTATACGTAATAAGCATTAACAATATTCTAGTTTTGCACAGCAATTATTTCCTTCTACCAGAGACAAAGCGTTTTAAACAGTCTTACGATGAGTGCTGATGTAGACATATAAATGTATGAAATAAGATAATTAGGGTCATAAATGAGAACAGAATGTATAAACAGTATACAAAATATTTCTTAACATCATGATTTAAGGTAATGTAAATTCCAGGTAACTAACTTGTAGTCTTTACAACTAAAATGTTACCCAGGAAACTTAATAATCATCCAGGTAAAAAAAACTAGCCCAGGTATTAGAGTCTTGAAATAATACCAACAAGATGCATGAGACTACATTATGACCTTTGACTCAGGTAAATGATACTCCGGGTAAATATACTGATATATAATAGCATCGATGGACATAAAGAATTAACATAATTAAAACTATTGCACTGTTATAAATGACAAGTATATGAATATCAATAATAATAATGATTTGTAATAATCCCCAAAAATTTACAATTATCATTATATGTCAATATTAAGATTTGAAGACACAAGTGTCAGTACATTTCTTAATTACAGGAGATTTTAATTTCATACCAAATTATTACACAAACTTCTGCCAACTGATTCTGTGTGTCCAAAACAATATGTACAAGACATATAAACACACAAAATCTCCCTCTGACATATGTTGCAAACAAAATCCATTTTGCAGAGGTTCAAATATTTATGCTATTTAATTTCACACTATAGACAGATTAGCACTAAAATCATCCATACACAGCATACATCATCAGACACTCGCCAATAAACCTCCATATCCATCAATCATAAAATGAGAGATATGGATTCTTGATCAATAAATATCGTCTTACATGGAAAAAGTCACATACATGAAGCACCTTGGTTATAGAAAGTGGAAGGCTAAGACTTGAACATCCTAAATCAGTAGGTTAACACTGATTAAGTGGTGGAAGACTGATCGAACATCCCAGTTATCTCTTGTATCTACATCAGATGATAATTAATTATCACTGTATGTATTTAGAGATTATTTAGAGATTCCAGCAAAAATATAAAAACAAAGAAGTTACAGTGTTTCAGGCACAATGTGACCATCAGGAATGTCAGAATGTGTTGGACATGATAACCATCAGGAATGTCCTGCAGAAGCTAACAGAGATATGTTCCTTTTCACTGACATGTTGCGTAGAGGTGAGAGAAGTGAGTTACCTCCCTTCTCGGGAGACACCGGTAACAAACGTTTCCCTCGTGGTGTTGAGATCAGCTTTTCAAGGTCTATGATTTCCTTGGCCTGTTCTATAAGAGCACCAGCAGCCAAGTTAACATCCTGAGCAGCAAATTCTAGTCTCTCTGTCTGTGAGTCTGATAACACAGACACATTGGTGAGGTCACTGCTACAACTTGTCTGCAGTAAAACACTGTTGTCCTGTCCAGACACGGCCATCAACTTGGCTGTTCCCTTCTGTATCAGCTCTGAACATCGACATACTTTACGCACATCATCTGTTTTACCTAAAAACAACAAGGTATAAGATAATAAATTAGTGCAGGATATTGTGATCAAACTACAACAAACAGTATAGAAAGTGAACCAACCACAGCAAAAGATTACCAGTATTCCAATATTTTCTTTCATATTATGTGATAAAATTTAGTCTATACTGACAAAGTTCATCAGCTCACTATAATGCTGCCTTACGAAGCTATATCAATCACAAGTTAATCAAACTTTCCCTCCATCATGGTAAGTGATGCTACCCAGTACAGTTACGGGATCTTTCTCTCCATTACAGTGAGTGATGCTACCCAGTACAGTTACGGGATCTTTCCCTTCATCACCAGTGTGACGCTCTCTAGCACAGTTATGGGATCTTACCCTCCATCACGGGTGTAACACTCTGTAGAAGCAGGCTGACTGTGTCCAGTAGGTTGTTCACTTGACTAATCATTCCTTGTGAGCGACGGTACCCCAGACTGTAATACTGGCTTGGCACATGATCACTACCCTCCTTCAGAGACAGATCCACCTCCATCTGATCACAGAGAACATTTAATCTTAATGAGAGCATTTGACATAGGTTACAGAGAATACTGGATAATATTGTACTGTACTGATCATGAACCTACAATTTCAACAACGATATAACCACTACCAAATTTTAATATTTGATACCATTAATGATACTAGATTATTTGATTTTATCTGAGTAGGCAGACACTTGGAAAGTTTTAACCTATGTACTGACACTTGGACACACCTACCTGTATAAAATGACACTTCAAGATATATACCTATGTATACAGACACTTGTATAGACTGACACTTGGAGAGATTTACCTGTATAGACTGACCCCTGGAATAACTTACCTGTATAGACTGACCCCTGGAATAACTTACCTGTATAGACTGACACCTGGAATTACTTACCTGTATTGACTGATACTTGGAGAGGTTTACCTGTATAGACTGACACTTGGAGAGATTTACCTGTATAGACTGACACTTGGAGATATTTACCTGTATAGACTGACACTTGGTGAGAAGGATTTTACAAGTAGATATTAGGATCTTCACATTCTGAGGTACCTCTTCTAGTTTCTGTAAAATAAAAAAACAAAAATCAGAATGCAATGTACAAGGAAGGTTTCAAATCAAAACTTCAACAAAATGATGTGTTTAAGGACACTGTGAGAAGATCATTTTAATACCTGATAAGGTGCTGTGGTTTCTGTGAATTCTTGTGCTCTCCTCTCATGGTCTTCCATCGTTCTTATGGCGCTCTGTAAACTTTTGTCCACCAATAAGTCACATCCAGACAGGAATGCCTGACAGATCTCTCCACATAGCTGTAATATAACATCATCATTATGTTCTTACAGTCCATCAACACACATAAGGTCCAAATGGCTGCTGGAAAGTTCTCATTCAATTATCGATTGATAAAAAGTGAATGGAAAAGATATTATAACCATTAACAGCTACAATATTAAAAAGTGGCTGTTTTTTTTTTCTTTTTTCCCCTATATCCTGTGAACATCCAATAATACAGAATTTTGTTTGTTTAACAATTTCAAGTAAAGACCCAAGTCTTGTTAGTCGTTACATTGCTATAGAAATAAACTTGTATAGATTTAAAATCTATGCAGTCCAATAGAATCTGTTTATCAATAAATGATCCAAGGCATGCGATACACTGTACCTGGTCTATACATTTTATCTGTCTATTCATTGTCTTGTGACTACACATTGTATCTGGTCTTCATGTTTCAACAACTAAGAATGTGTGCTGCATGAATGTTCTAACCAGAGATGGGCATGTTCATCCTTGTCCCAGTGCCTTTCTTTATAGCTAAGACACCATTCATCAAGTTTAAGTTTAATAGTGTGTAGTTCGTTTCCTAATTAATTCACCAATCCAACATCAAACACTGTCTAAGAGACATACCACCAGAGTAGTCACTACAACATAGTAGGAGACTTATCATAGGGTCCTGTCACACACACATTATGTACATTGTAGTCACTACAACACAGTAGGAAACTTATCACAGGGTCCTGTCACACTTACATATTGTACATTTTAGTCACTATGACACAGTAGGAGACTTATCACAGGGTCCTGTCACACTTACATATTGTACATTTTAGTCACTATGACACAGTAGGAGACTTATCACAGGATCCTGTCACACTCACATAATGTACATTGTAGTTACTACAACACAGTAGGAGACTTATCACAGGGTCCTGTCACACTTACATAATGTACATTGTAGTCACTACAACACAGTAGGAGACTTATCACAGGGTCCTGTCACACTTACATAATGTACATTGTAGTCACTACAACACAGTAGGAGACTTATCACAGGGTCCTGTCACAATTTACATAATGTACATTGTAGTTACTACAACACAGTAGGAGACTTATCACAGGGTCCTGTCACACTTACATAATGTACATTTTAGTCACTACAAAACAGTAGGAGACTTATCACTGGGACCTGTCACACTAACAATATACACAACAAAATAGTCACTACGACACAGTGGGGAACTTATAACAGGGTCCTGTCACACACACATTATACACAACAAAATAGTCACTACAACACAGTGGGGAACTTATCACAGGGTCCTGTCACACACACATTATACACAGGAATAGTCACTGCAAAACAGTAGGAGACTTACCACTGGGTCCTGCTCCTTGGCACATCTGTCCAGACTCAGCATGGTCATGTCTGTAGCTAAGGACATCTCCCCTACCAGGCGACAAACATCTAATAACCCGTCCTTCACCTTCACACTGGAGTCCAGCACAAGACGGTCAAGGTCATTCTGACAGCCTTGGAACAGTAGCACTAAGTGGTTACCAATAACCTTGACCTGGCCACGAAATCTGTCAGTCAGACTACTGATGGCAGCATACTGGCCAGCATACATGGATGACCACATTGCCCATAGGGAAGTCAGAGACTGGAGGAGATTGACCAGTTCAATACACGTTCTTTGTAAGGTGCTATTTTCATCATAGTCTGTAAAATGCATGAAAATATCACATAAGATATAAGTACATCATTCAATAACAACAAAGAAAACACCAACATGTAAATAGAATATTAATCCAAGCTCAAATTTGATGAAACCGGGCAAAGCATGAATGAAGGAAAGATTTACAGAGAGACGCCTGAATAAGTACAAGGATAATAAGACCAGGTGTTCGGCAAGGATAAACATCTCCTGCTTCATTGATGACACCCGCTGTGTAAATCTTGGTCAATCACGCTAAACAACAAAACTACACCAGACATACTAACAAATACTAAACATGTCTAACTTCATATCATAAAAGAAAAGAAAATATTTCCCAATGAGATCATCATGACAACTGTAAAACTTCCCCATAATCTTCGCCATCCTGCATCTCTCAAACCCATGTGTTGTGAGCTTGTCTGTCAGTTGCCAACATTTTGCACAATGTCAGCTACTACTTAATGTAAAATAATTCAATTTGGGACAAAAGTACAGTTCAAAGCAACATAACGATGCACTTTAAATATTGCCTTCTGTCTGAAAGGCTTACATCAGAATTGTATCTATAATATATCACTATACCTTTTATCATTGTATGTAGTTCAGATAAAAAAACTTGTTTCAAGCCTAAAATTCTGACTTTAAACAATTTCAATAATTTCAAGCATCAACATACTGACATAAATAAAATGCTGTTTGTGTTATACCTGTATCTTACCTGTAACTGTGGTCTGTATGTGATATACCTGTATCTTACCTGTAACTGTGGTCTGTATGTGATATACCTGTATCTTACCTGTAACTGTGGTCTGTATGTGATATACCTGTACCTTACCTTACCTGTAACTGTGGTCTGTATGTGATATACCTGTATCTTACCTGTAACTGTGGTCTGTATGTGATATACCTGTATCTTACCTGTAACTGTGGTCTGTATGTGTTATACCTGTAACTGTGGTCTGTATGTGATATACCTGTACCTTACTTGTAACTGTGGTCTGTATGTGTTATACCTGTATCTTACCTGTAACTGTGGTCTGTATGTGATATACCTGTATCTTACCTGTAACTGTGGTCTGTATGTGATATACCTGTATCTTACCTGTAACTGTGGTCTGTATGTGATATACCTGTATCTTACCTGTAACTGTGGTCTGTATGTGATATACCTGTATCTTACCTGTAACTGTGGTCTGTATGTGATATACCTGTATCTTACCTGTAACTGTGGTCTGTATGTGATATACCTGTATCTTACCTGTAACTGTGGTCTGTATGTGATATACCTGTATCTTACCTGTAACTGTGGTCTGTATGTGTTATACCTGTAACTGTGGTCTGTATGTGATATACCTGTATCTTACCTGTAACTGTGGTCTGTATGTGTTATACCTGTATCTTACCTGTAACTGTGGTCTGTATGTGATATACCTGTATCTTACCTGTAACTGTGGTCTGTATGTGTTATACCTGTATCTTACCTGTAACTGTGGTCTGTATGTGATGATCCTGTATCTTACCTGTAACTGTGGTCTGTATGTGATGTTCCTGTATCTTACCTGTAACTGTGGTCTGTATGTGATATACCTGTATCTTACCTGTAACTGTGGTCTGTATGTGATATACCTGTATCTTACCTGTAACTGTGGTCTGTATGTGTTATACCTGTATCTTACCTGTAACTGTGGTCTGTATGTGATGATCCTGTATCTTACCTGTAACTGTGGTCTGTATGTGATGTTCCTGTATCTTACCTGTAACTGTAGTCTGTATGTGATATACCTGTATCTTACCTGTAACTGTGGTCTGTATGTGATATACCTGTATCTTACCTGTAACTGTGGTCTGTATGTGTTATACCTGTAACTGTGGTCTGTATGTGATATACCTGTATCATACCTGTAACTGTGGTCTGTATGTGTTATACCTGTATCTTACCTGTAACTGTGGTCTGTATGTGATGTTCCTGTATCTTACCTGTAACTGTGGTCTATATGTGATGTTTCTGTATCTTACCTGTAACTGTGGTCTGTATGTGATGTTCCTGTATCTTACCTGTAACTGTGGTCTGTATGTAATGTTCCTGTATCTTACCTGTAACTGTGGTCTGTATATGATATTCCTGTATAACATTCACTCCTTGGAGGATTTTATCACAGCAGCTGAGCAGCTTGTCCCCTACACTCTCCTCATAATAGAATCCTGTTAAAATGACGAACAAGTTACAATGCTATCAAGAGCATTAAATTTGATATTAAGGTGACAGAAAAAACCTGAAGATTATGAAAGTAACCCAGCTGTAAAAGTGTTGATATCCCAGTTGTAAAAGTGTAGTCTTTTATAGTCTGAGATTTAAGACACATTTAGATATATTACAATATCAGATCAAACATTCATTTGTTTACTATTAATGGAAACAATTAGGCCTAAGACTCAAAAAACATATTTTGCATATGTATCCATGGAAAGGTCCAAACAAAATCTTTAAATGTAGAATTCAATAGGAATTGCTCAAGTCGCTGACAAAAATAAGTAAGAATTCTTCATGTATATTGATCTCTCAACTGACAAGGGGCTATGATAAATATTTTAGTAAAGCATTGGATATCTCAACCTCAGGTGTGCCGTTTGATCCCTAACTATGGTATGTTTTAATTTCTCAGGTAAAGATCTCAGGTGTGACGTCCCATATGATAGGGTTTATAACCCCCTCCCCCGGATATTGACTGCATGACAAATCAAGTAAACCTACAAAAACAAACTTACTGTGACAACTGTTGAGGTGGTCCCTCACAAGTTTGATACAGAGGCTGGCAGTCTCTTCTCCTGAGCATGTTTGAATCTCCTGGTCCACACTTGTCTGTATATCCCCTATGCTTGTCATGCCTGTTAATAAATCAAACCTTACATGAGAAATTCTCAGTTGTTTAACATACAACAGTACACAGAAATGAAAACCAGCATAAATCTAAATTCCAGCAATTTTCAGAGGTTAATGAAAATTATATCTTCAGACTTACTTCTAGATGTACTGCTCAAGCTAGAGACACTACAGAGGGTGGAAGACCGGTTCCATTGAGATGGGCTCAACCTTTGACCGCTAAATCGACTATAATAAACAAAAGACACAGTGAACATTTCATTTTTCCCAAAGAAATTCTGAATTTAAGTAAGATTTCTTATAAAGCATGCATGTTATCTCCTTTGAAAAACTTTTTTTTCTTATATATGCTTCTGCCTTTAAGTTGTAGGGTGTAACATTCATTTTCTATAAGAAATCTGAACCAATAAAGCAATCAAGATTACAGGAAAAATGTCTAACAAAAATACTCTTTGAATATTCCTCTGTTTAGAGAGGTTCATAGGCAAAATTAAGGTATACTTGTCAGGAAATTCACAGGGCAAGATTTACATATACCTGCGAGGAGATTTACAGGGTAAGATTTACATATACCTGCGAGGAGATTTACAGGGCGAGTTTTTCATATCATGTTCCCAGGTATCAGCAGGATCGTGGAAGACTTCATCATCTGCAGAATTATCTGCATCATTCTGCTTAAATAGAAAGTTTTAAATTAGCTGGGTTTGTTTGTTTTCAAGAGATTTAACATCCTTGCAAAAGTCAGGGTCATTTGAGGATACAAGGATAGGTGTCAAGAAAGACTACAAGAATGGAAATAAAAAGAGCAACATAGAGGATATATAATAATGTTGAGCCACATAAAATAATCAAGTCAAAGGTAATTCATGCAAAACAATCAAACACATTCATAGAAAGTTTTTCTCAAATCAGTGCAAAATATATAATTGACGGAAACAATCTAAAGCTAAAAATCAAGAGACTGCCACTAGCATTGGTATTTGATATTGAACCCAGGACAAAACTTTACAACAGATTATAAATGGTTTACTTTGCTACCATAAAATAACCAGCATAAAGTGTGCAATTTTGAAAAATCCAAAAAGTCCAAAGTGGGGAATGGGCACATTATTTACGTACAGGATTTTTTTTTTTTTTTTTCATGAAAGTACCCCATAACTAGTTGCCTATTATAACATGTAGTAAGATACAGCAAGTATCTTCTTTCCTCATCCCAAGGGTTAGATCAGTTGAGTATGATACAGATGTATTTGCTATGTATAATATCAATGTATGGATTCCAAAGTGACTTCAAATAAGGTTGGAGTACATGAATAGGTTTTGTACTGAGGGTAAACAGTACACTTTGTGACAATGTCATCCAGTCCGACACATCACGCTCACCTGGTAGAGATCCCTCATTTGCATAAGTTTTTCCTCAAATTTGGGTAGTGTCCAGAAAGTACAAACAGCTAAATTGGTGTCGGTGACCTTGATCAAAGTCTTGACATGGTTATTTTCCTCTGTGTAATCCTCCCTACTGAACTCCTTAAATCAAAAATGATCAATAAAATAAATTCTTAAATAAAATATGTAATCACAATTAATTGTAGTAAATTAAATTATGAAACAAGAAAAAAAATTACAATTGATGATGGGTAAATTAATTCTTAAACAAAATGGCAAATCACAATTCATTGTGGGCAACTGAATTCCTGAACTCAAATCACAAAATCAACAATGTTACAAACACCTCTTACAGTTTATTTAATCAGGAGTTAAGGTAAAAACCATTATTGATTCTAAAAGCTTCATTCCGAAGGCTAAAATATTGTGCTTACCATATTTTTCCTGAGGTATTGACTTATTCTATTTGCCTCTCTGAGCAGCAGGGCCACCTTATACAGGTCAGCTTTACCCGGCTGAACATCCTGGTAACGTTTAGATAGTGAGACGGTTTCCTGACGTTTCTGTTTGAGTGTCTCCAATCTCAGAGCTACTTTCTGTTTCTCCTCCTCCAGGAGGATAATCAACGGGGACTTCTGACTCGACACATGGCCAGCCACCTATTGAATCAAGCAGTGTCAACATCACATAAATCTAACAGGAAGTAAAAACGATAATCTCTTCAGTCAGAAAATTCAACAAGATAGGAAACAAGAAGAGTTTGGAATAAACTCTTTAAGATGAGGTTATAGCTGTTTCCATTGTTGAAGTTTGGTATAGACACCTACTAAGTGTTGCCAACATATATTTTGTTTACTACAAACTTTAGATGTTTATTCAAATTTGGAAGAAACTGGGCCATTTTTTTAAACATACAACAGGCAAAATGCAGGTAGGTGGACATCTTCTAATTGATAGACCTATTTTCTTAAATGATAAACACTAATTCAGGAATAATACAAAGAAAACGAGATCCAACATCCGGTCTGGTAGATTTAGTAATATTGACAGTCTTCCTAGGATGGATTCCTAGTGGAATACAAGTCCAGTTCAAAGATGTGTAAACAGCAAATATAGAGGACCAGATAACATTCGTAGGAAGAATTAAAACTGTTTAATAGTTGACATGTTTCGGCATGCCGTCCTCAGATGATACCTAGTATGCCGAAATATGTCAACTATTAAACAGTTTTATTTCTTTCTATGATGTTGTCTGGTCTTCTATATTTACTGTAATTCAGGAATAGTAAGGCATGAATTAATGAATCAGAAATTACAGTTGAACCTCTAGTCCAGAACAAAGGATCAGAACGAAGATGAGTCTTCAAAATCATCATTACTATACTACTTGTTTTCAACTGACAGTTAACAGTAAAATTCAGGCAAAGAGTTTGTAGGCTACAACACTATCAGCACACAACCAGATAAACTTTACCTTTTTAGCAACCTTTGCCTCAAGCTCCTGTCGTCTTCTGCCAGCGACCACTTCTTGTTCCAGCATCTGTAACAGGTAGGTCGTTGATGTCACATTCATACAAAAAAAAATTATGTCATAAATAATTAACATACCGTAATTCTGTATTGTTTACAATCAATAAGCAACACTGGCTCAATGTTTCCCAGAATCCTACCACAATCAAAGATTCTCTTCCCTCTACTTTTAATATTTTTTGTGCTCTTTTGTGGGGCCTCTGCTTCTACTATCTGTCTAGTTCTTGAGTCCCTCTGTACTGCTCTATCCTTTTAGCTGAACTATTTTCTATTTCATTAGCTCCGCTGTGACTTTTAACTTCCTATTTTCTGTTTCCTGAGTTCCTTGATGAGTCTCTGTACCTCCTAACTTACGATTTTCTGTTTTTTGAGTTCCTCAATGAGCCCCTGAGCTTCCTGTCGAGACTGTTCTGCACGCTGAACCTCCTGGGACTGATCCTTAACAACTTTTTCCAGTTTTTTAAGTTTGCCCTCATAGCCTGACTTCTGTGAGTTAAGGACCTGTTCTGCTTCCTTTTTTGCTTTTTCCACTTCCTGCATCATTTCTTCCTGAGCCTGGCGACGTGCTTCTTCGAGTTCTGCCTGTAGCCTAAGTGAGAGACAAAAAGTTGAGTTGAAATTGAGAAGGAAATTCTTCTACTGGCAGACAAATGAAAACTTTATGATGTCAACCCTTATCATTTAGCTTCAATATAATACAGACATTATCAACACATCAGACATCAATGTATATGTAATGTATAGTAATCATGTATTACAAAGCACTAGTTAATATGTCACTACTCCATCCCGATCTTAAGGTATTGAATTCAGATTCTGGTTTTGATCAGAAAATACATATATTAAACAGTAACATTCACTACAAATTACAGAAATGTTTAAATCCGAGACTACACACGTCTATGACAGGTGATAGTTTTACCTTGCTTCCTGAACCTGTAACAGCTCCTGTCTCGCGAAGTCAAAATCTTTCATCTCATGACTGGAGGCTGGCACCTTGTTTGTCACTTCTTTAGGATGGTTAAACCTGTACCAAGATCAATGATATTGTACATTAATTCTTCAAAAATCATTTAAAATCTTACATTTATGTTTAACCAAATAATTTTGTGTCATTTATTCATCTTGGTAATTTATCTTTGTCTTACAAAATCATTCAGATAAATGTCAGAAGTAAAACAGGTCAGAAAACTATTTGACATCTTTTGATACATTCATTGCAATTTCTTTTTAAATGATTTTCACAATTATTAAAATTTCTTTCCGAATCTTTTTTTTTTGATTTATCTAAATTTCTTACAAAAATTGTTCAGCATCTGAAACCCCATTACACTGTCTTAGAGTAGATACTCAAGACGATTCTCAGTGAATCAACATTTTTAACGTCTTTATCCAAATACATACATGTACATGGAAAGCAATTTAATAAACCAACAGAAAGTTGTCTGACACTAAGTGGAAACATACACACCAGACAACAAAAAGCTTTCTTGATTCCATCTTGTTAACCAAAGAGTCCTTCACCACTTAAACAGGTGGGAAGTTCTCAATCAGTAACCAGTGGGTCCATCACCACTTAAAGTAGCAGAAAGATATTGTACATTAACCAGTGGGGCCGTCACCACTTAAAGCACAGGAAAGTTATCATATGGTAACCAGTGAGTCGGTCACCACTTAAAGCACTGGGAAATTCTCATTCAGTAACCAGTGGGGCCGTCACCACGTAAAGCACTGGGAAGTTGTCATACAGTAATCAGTGGGTCCTCAGCCCTTCACCAACTACAAGTCCAGCAGTGGGAAGTGTGATTACCAGTTATTACAGAGTAATCAGAGCATTACAGAATTATATGTCTGAGATTAATGCTTAAAACACCATTCTATCTCAGGACTCGTGCAAAGGTCAAGATGATAATAATCTAAGATTAAAGAGGATTAATTATATACACTTCAATACACCAGTTATTTATAGCACAGTGGAGAAATGGTTCATAATGCAAATGTATATATGGTCCTGTAATGGGTCAGAATATATATGCATGTATTGTGTCAAGTGAAATTTATAGGTCAACAATATAAAGTTCAGTGAAGGGCCCACAGGTCGAAAACTTAATATATATAGTACAGTAGAAAGCTAAAAATGTAAGTCTCACAGGCACAGCTTCTCCTGTGCCTCCTTGATCTGCATGATCAGGATCAGAGAGAGAGACAGTCTCACAGACAGACAGAGACTCACCAGCCTTTCAGTCGGAAGTGACCCACTCTGCCACAAAGCCATGCTTTTCTACTGAAATATCACATTGTAGTGAAAAGCTTACCTGAAATAATGATCTCCTCCCAGTATCACACGGTCTCCCTGTAACAGAGAAATGTTGTGTTCATATGTCTCCAATAGACTTTGTGTCAATTAATAAGCTTACAGCTGCAGTTTTTGTCAGACTTTCATCACAAATAAAAACGTTTGTCAGTCAACATTTGATTAGGAGATTACTAGCCTCTAAAATATTACCAACATACCCAGAAATTAGGAGAGTCACAAAATATGCTAATTAGTTTTATACATAGATACAACTAATGGAGGTTTGACTTGCTGCCCACGGTTACAATGAGAAAATACCCTTTGTCACTAAATAAAAGGCTTCATGGTCCTCAGCCACATAGGAATGTAACCATTGTAGGAAGATTGTATGATAAAGATCATTAAGTCTACGGTGTTCATCATAAACTAACACTGTGTGTGAAGTGATGGAAAGACAGATTTAACTTCATACATTGCTTCTTCTCTATAGCTTTACAAATCTTTTATAATCATTAAAATGCTCAATATCTGTTTTCTGATTACAAATTTCGGCACTTCTCCATCAGGTTGTATATTAATTGTTTTAATGCAGATCAACAGATTCTAAAGAAGATGTTATTGGACCAACATATAATTAGTCTATTTCACTTCAATAGCAATTTTTAAACTGTTTTTCTGTTGTCCAGTGAGAGATACGGATCTCTGTTGATTTAAATGTCTAGTAAATGATCTAATCAGCAGACTATCTGATAACTGAGATAAGATGGGTATGCCCTCAGGTATTGGTGTTCACCTGAAGTGGATATGGACACGCCCCCAAGCATGGACGTGTGACTAAAGTGTGCTCAAAAGGAATAAGATGAGGTGATAAGACTAGGAGCAAGATTCTTCTGTTCAATGATCACAATGTAAATAAACAAATAAAGAAACATAAACAAACTACCATGTAAAGAGACGTGATATCTTTGTTGTTACAGCCTGCCGAACAAACATACATAAACATCTAACAAAATCCCACTTCTACCTACCAGATTGATCAATCTACAATCAATGTATGTTATAGTCCACACAAACATCTATACAAACACTGATGTAATATCAAAACATCTATCACAACTTCTACCTATCAGTAGCATTGCATGAGCCAAAGGCCTGTTTTCTTTGTTTAAGTACAATATTAACTGGTGGTGTGTACAAAATTATAGGTCACAGTTACAAAACTATACTTTGAATTTCCAAAATACATTTTGTACTTCACCTAGATATTGACTCTAAAAATTAATGAGATTTTCTTAATCCTTCTAACACTCATTGTATATAGATAACAGGGGGCTCATATGCTCACAAAGCGAGGAAATCAAAAGGCGCCATTAACTCACCAACTTTCTATGTATTACATATAAGGCTATAAATTTAGTCCCAAACAAAGCTACAGGTTTGAAATCATTCATCTACTGATACTGTAGTTAAGTCAGGAGTGATGTTGCATTTAATAGCATAGCAATATCAAATCAAGTTCCCACTTACATGATGGAGAATAGAGGGTTCTGATATACTGTTGCCATTGACGTACGTTGGTGCGTCCCCAATTGGAGTGACAGTGACCACACTGTCAACATTGTTGATGATGCTGTGAGGAAAGTACAAAATTTCTTTATTACAATACTGAGGGGAAGTGTTGCTGTCATAACGTTTTGTCTTCACAGGATAAATGAAATTAAATATCTCTCCTACTTGCAGCTCATACATTTTCTCAAGCTAACACAATCTTGAAATTTTGAATAACTCCCAATTAAAATTTTTACTACAAACTCATAAACCTGGTCAACCTTTGCAATTTATTTTGCTTCTGTCCAAGTAACATTACTATTTTTGGCTTATTACAAAAATGATTTATTTTTACAAAACTAAGAATTTCCACTGCTGGTAATATTTTAGGTATTCAAAATAAAAAGGGAGTTGTCCTACCAATGGTTGTCGGCAATTAGAGCACCACTGAGCTGTATTTCATGGTCGGAGCTGGCACACATGCGTCCCACTCGAGTCTGACCCTCACGAATGATGTACAATAACATCTCAGATAGCTGGGGGTCTTCATTTAGGTTCACCAGGTTAGGCTGCTTGTTATCAACTTTAAAAGCAACACCCGATTTCTGGAACAATACATGATTTCATTAAAACTTCGGTTTCTGATGTTGTGTACAGGTTTACAAAAGAAACAACACATAAATGTACACCAATTAATTGTGAGCGATTAAGAACTCACCTCCAGCTGTTTAGATTCAGCCACCTTTCTTTCCTCAGATTGTCTCAGTCGCTGTTGCCATGACCTGAAAGTTTTTCATCACTATATAGTCTATCAATGTATGTAACACTTACTGAAATATCCTTCACCAGCTTTAGATAGTCGAGTCAGACCTTGAGTTTATACAACACACTCAAATTAATGAAATCTTACATGTTAAACCTTATCCAAGTTAAGTCATACTATATCTGTCTCCTGTCTCAAAGTCATAAATAGTATACAATGTAGCCAGAATACAATTTTAAGCACAATATCACATCATTTACATTTCATCAAGCTCTTGTTCCTAAACAAACAATTATGAAATAACCTTTCTTTAAGTAAACTGCCAGCCTACCTGGTAATTTCTTCCATTTCTCGCTCCCGGGCAAGAAGCCTCTCTTTGAGGCTGGCAATCTCTGCAAGACTTGCTGTATGGGTGTCATCAGTCATATACACTGAATGGTTCTTCAGTCTTTCTATCTCCGCCCTCAGCTCTGAACACACAAACATGTTGGTAAGTAAGTACTACCATGTATCAGTTAAAAGGGAACCAGAGTGAACATTAAAACTGACTGATTGGTTTTTACAGTACACTGTCTGATTGGTCTTTATTGAAAATATAATCTAAAATTAGTACTGTGTATTTACAAAGGATCAACAATGAACTATAATTCGAATGATTGTATGTGTCTGGTGCTACGAAGAATTACTTTTCAGGGTAAATTTTAAAATGGTGGCTAGACCATACACAAGTCCTATGCTCATGTCAGTGTATTGCCCCTGATGTATTCCTTAACATGTATAACACCACTAAAGATAGGACCAATTCCGAATGAAAAACAACATGATAAAATGTCTTTGTGATGTAAGCTGACTTACCGCGGATTATCTTAGCCTTAGGATCCTCGTTAACACGTGCCATGTTCACAATGGACCTGGCCTGACTTGCGTATGTAGGCAAAGTTAAGGATAGTTAATACTAAAACAATTTTTGTGGAAATCAGACTTTCAAAGTAGTTTATATACATTCTTATGACCAAAATTAAGAGAATAACATTCATACAAAGGGATGAGGGGAATACCCTACTCATTAATCCAGTGAGAGCATAATTTCTGGGAGTCCATCTTGATTGTAAACCACAAGTAAAGTTAAGGATATCTCAGTGTGCTCAGTGTCTCCTCAATGTGTTGACAGGAAGGACTTATCGTAGCAATCATGGCTGTCTTTGAGTTTCCTCCTAGACTCTCCTTCAGTAACCTGTATGCAGTATAGAAGTAGGTGAGAAAACATGAAACCATGAAACATTCAACTTACATTGGCATTGGACGATTACAATACATCCCTAGTATTCTAGAATTCAAATGATAGTAAATATTTATATTTCTTTCCATCCTTGTTGAACCAAACAGACTTTTTCTGTAACACACTGCTTTGTTATGTGTGCACTTCAGGATTAATTTGAATAACTAATAGGCTATGGGAAACATTTGTGTATGATACTAATGGGGAGGGGGTGGGGTTGGGGTGTGGTTGGTGGTGGTTGGGTTACTGGTAAATGTTGATGTATTGGGTTTCTTAGAGAAGGCTACTAGGGAAGTACTAATAAATGGATTATTAGGGGATAGTTACTATGAAGTGTTGGTGTAGGGTTGTCTGGGAATGGTTACTGTGATGTGTATGGTTTTTCAGGGATGGCTATGGGGAAGTGCTGGAGTATTGAAAGAGTAGTTTAATACTAACCATGTCAAAACAGAATCCCTGTATGGGATGTAGGACTTTCTCTTTCTGTTGTTACTGAGAGCTTGATCTGACAGAGAGCTGATAACCTTTCCTAGGGTCAACAGAGACTTGTTGATATTGGCTCCTTCCTGTCATAAACAACACCATCATTCTTTATTAATTAAGTACTCAACAGTAAAATGTTTTGTTTTTCAAGAAAGAAATTCTCATGGTAAGTTTTATGACACTCATTGTTCAATCTTCTTTAATCTTTAATTTGTATGACCCTCTGACCTGCAGTAATTGACCAATGACCTTTCACATAAACTTCAATCTTGCCTCTGACCTCGTATATCTCCTCTAACCTCTGACCCGACAGCTACACTTTCAAACTTGGCATCTAACTTGAGATGTTGGCGTCTTACTTTGTAACACCCGTCCCAAGATATTGAACACTGCCCTTTAACCTCAGATCCAGGGTTTTGGCATCACTTTTGACCTCAATTGTCAGATAGTCACACTTTAGTCTGAACTGACTTGACACACACTTCTCAACCTATGGCTTGAAATGATTGACATTCATAATTGACCCCAGATCGAACTTGTGTGACACCTACCCTTAACCTCTGACCAGATGTATTGGCCTGAGATTGACGTTCACTACCAGCAAGGTCGACCAGGTTTATTTTACTGGTGGTTGAATGGTCATGCTCTTCCCCTTCAAGTTCTTCTGTCTGGAAAAAAAGTCATCATTCTTTAAAATTTTACCAAACCTTAGGATGGCTCTTTTCTTGATATACCGTAGGTACTAGATAAAAACTTAATAGTATGAAGTTCACATTGTGTGTAAATTTTACAAAGTTCAAATTTAATTTATCATTATGTATTTTTTGTGTTTTTGTTCTACTATTAAGTAATACAATATCAACACACTTACTCGTGTCTGTGTAAGTACCAAGGTAAAGACAGAGTGGGATCTACTACTCTTATCATTCATCCCAGTAGCGGCGGTGGCACGATTCTTATTCCCCAAGTTAATCCAGCCCTGTGAGTGAAATCGTAAAAGTTAACATCAATAAACAACTGACAACAAAACAGGATATATTAGTCAGTAATAAAACTGATAGCCAAATACACATTCTAACTACTTTGTATGTTCTGTTATTGTTTAAGTCTGAGTTATCTCCCCTGAGTAATTCCATGAAGAAGCTATTACATTGTTCTTGTACATAGGTCTTTCCTGTCCCATGTTAAGCTAGTCTTAAGTTAACCTGGCCACAAATTTATCTAGTCTAAATTTTATCCAGACCCAAATTTAGGTAGCCGGAAGTTTATCCAGCTCTAAGTTAATCTAGTAAAAAGCTTATCTAGCCATAAGTTAATATACTCTCAAGTTTATTTAGTCCAAAGATCATTCAGTCTCAAGTTTATCAAATCCAACTTTATCTCATCACAAGTTGTAATCTTATGTAGTTTGAAGTTTATCCTGTCCTAAATTTGACTGTTAACACCTCCTTAATGACCTAATGAAGTAGTTTTAGGTCAAAGCCCCTTAAAAAGAGAACTAATTAATCAAAGAACTAGAGATTCAATGCCTGCTAAACCATGTTGTTTCTAAGATAAATCAAATGCTCTTTATACAGTTATATGTATTCATGACCACAAACCTCAACATCTTCAAATGAGTTAGTGACATATGTTGATAATCCCTCTACGTAGGGGCCAAGGGAGGGATGTTCCCGAACCTTCAGCTGTAAAGTATAATATTAATTTTTTAGGTGAACCACATGTAATCAACTCACATTTCCACTTAAAACACTAATAATATGAAATTCACAAAATCATTTTTCTCATATTTTTCAACGATAGATAAGTAAGAACTGTAACAATCACTACTCCAACATTAAGTATTGAATATAAACTAAAAACGGTTCAAAAATCATTATCAATCAATAATTTTTATAAAACAATCAATCAATGTTAAATGCTTGATCATATATCATACAATAAATACTGTTTTTTACTGCAAATAGGCCCCCTCCCACAGACTTATCACTTCCGGGTCACTGATAAAGTCTGGAAATAAGTTTTTACATCTTATAGGTTGAGGCTAACTTTTTACATGATGTAATTTTCAATGAGTAGAGTTCTAATGGTTCATCAACTTGAATACAATATCTATTTCTATCTATTGTTTCATAACATCTAACATCATCAACATGATCATCATCAAACAGGGATATACTATATTTTAAATAATAATAATAGCAGGTATCTTTGGTTGAAGTAAGGTACTACAATTATCCAAGACTGTACATGGGGGATGCTTACAAATAAACTACCTTCCTACTTTTGGTTACTGAAAGAGAGGGCTTATTTTGCAGTAAACTAATGTAGTTTCAGAACATTCTGCCCTTACTGGGCTGCTTGTGTCCTTGAAAAATACAGTTTTACAGTTTACTACCTTTAATCATTTTGTGAAAGCCTGTTAATTTTTAATGTTCTGAGTGGCAGGCTAATGTCATTTGTGTTCCGCTTTGTCAAAACAGAATCTTAAGTGGAAATATATACCGTAGATTGGTAGTCTCAGTTTCATGATATTCGTGGTGACTACTGAACTGTCAATCCAAATCCTTCTATTTCTCTCCTGAAAATCTACCATACCCATTTCTGATTGATAAATGATTGAAAAAAAGATTATCAATCCTTGATGAAATCACTTACTTGGTACACTATAAACAGTGAACTATTGATAATGACGCCACTTCAAATATTCTATTTATTGTTCATTAATATACCAAATTATGTTAAACATAATATCACACTTACTGTAGGTTTCTTACCACCCTTGTCTTTGTAGGATGCTAGAAGGTCATGGATTTTCTCATTGTAGATCTCAAAGAAACTGATTTCCACATTGATCTTCACCTGGTGTGAAATTTAAAATCAAAATCATTAAGTAGGAACATTTGCAAATAATTTTCACGAGGAAAATTTTCAATTACAATTTTAAACACATATAGGTTTCGATATTTACATTGTTTGTGATAGGTTACAGCTGACAATTCTTCTCGATGACTTCACATTGTGTCACTTATCAGAAGTTCAGTATTCATCACATGTTGCTCAGTGTTACTACACAACTAGGCGATGACAATAGTGACCCTGGCAAGTTGTGACATAGGAGACATGTTACCCAGGAGAGTTGTTACTAGATGTGTGACCCTGATAATTTTATGATCCAGGAGATGTGTGACCTTGGATAGCAGTGACCCTGGAGATATGTGACCCTGAAGATCTGTGACCTGGATAAGCTGTGATCTAGGACACCTGTGACCCAGATGAGCTGTGACTTAAAAGAGCTGTGACCCAGATTAACTCTGATCTAAGAGACATGTGACCCAGTATAAGTGAAATTCTGGAGGATTGTAACCCAGGAAATCTGTGACCCTATAATCTGTGACCCAGCAGCTGTGACCCTATAGTCTGTGACCCAGCAGATGTGTGACCCTATAATCTGTGACTCAGCAGATGTGTGACCCTATAGTCTGTGACCCAGCAGATGTGTGACCCTATAGTCTGTGACCCAGCAGATGTGTGACCCTATAATCTGTGACCCAGCAGATGTGTGACCCTATAATCTGTGACCCAGTAGATGTGTGACCCTATAGTCTGTGACCCAGCAGATGTGTGACCCTATAATCTTTGACCCAAGGAGAGCTGTGACTCAAGAGATCTGTTCCCTGGAGATCTTAACCAAAGGTTGCATTAGTTAGATGCTATACTGATTGAGCTATGGTAGCCCCTGTTTCAGTTGTAACAGTCAAATCTATAATATTTAATGTACTCTCATTTTTTTATGCAAATGGAAGTATTCATTCAATTCACTGTAACACACTACAGAACACACAACATGTTCAGTTGAGACCTTTGTAGTAACTACTTGTGTTGAGTAAAATCCACATTTAAATATCAACACAGGTGTTCTTTCCAACCCAGTGATCACCTGAGGAGACGAAGACAATGATTCTCTGTTATCATTGATAAGTGTAACAAGTCAACATATAACTGAGGAACAATACCATTACAGAGCTTTCCACACCTGTGGTGTTAGTCGTTACAGGTCTAACCTACTCTAATTACATCTCGTCAACAAAGCTTTCAATACATGATTCCCTCTAGTCATATATTTACCCTAATAATAATACCCCCAGTTCAGAAAATAACTCTAGAATTGCTTCATTTTTCTCTGAGATGAAATGTGCCTTTATTTTTATTATCTATGTACACAAAGTTGTAGCCTGATCCTGCTATTCTAGTTTGGCTAATAAAGAGGTAAGTTTGTAAGACTGATCACATTGTTATCAACACCTGTCTTAGATCCACAAAGCAAACACTGTAAGTAACAGGTGGCGCCTTACCAATGGACAGTGGATTAGGACAGCTCTATCTTATATTCATATCATCAATATTGACCATATTGCCTAGACCTCTGGACGATATTGACCAGTGTCACGGAATTACAGGCATCAACATATCATCAATATTGGCACAAACTTTTGTTATAAAATAAACAAAAGACGATCTAATTTCTAAAGGATCAATACATCCAGGTTTCTACAATGATTACTCAACAACACAAGGAATTTCTCGTTCAATAATTCATTACAAATATTCTGTAAAAAATATTCTGCAGTAGGGTTAATTATAAATAACAGACAAAAATAATGGAATGATGGATATAAGTATGTGTCTTTTAAAAAAAATGTGGGAAGAATAATTACTGTATAACAAAGAAATATTGAAAGGGTAAATCATAAGTAAGAGATTTTAACATAAGTTTGAAGGGAATTGTGTGTGCTCAGATAGCTTGTGTAGGTATTGTATACTTAAGTAAATATGCGTGAATAGTAATCATGAATAACCTTTTAAACCTCAAACAATAAAAATAAATATTATTCCACTATAGCTATCAATGGTTCCACTAACACAAGTAACGGGACCTGTTGGACTAGACTGACGGTCGGTCTACCAGATATAATCATATCAATGGTTCCATGAACACAAGTAAGAGGACTTTAGGACCAGACTGACGGTCGGTCTACCAGATATAATCATATCAATGCTTCCACGAACACAAGTAAGAGGACTTTAGGACCAGACTGACGGTCGGTCTACCAGATATAATCATATCAATGCTTCCACGAACACAAGTAAGAGGACTTTAGGACCAGACTGACGATCAGTCTAAAATGACACAAATTGTTACTAGATCAATATCAAAGATTAGCACTGATGACTCTGAACTTTAGGTGTAATTTAAGATTTGTGTTTACAGACTTAGAGCCACATGATATAAATTTGATTTGTTTCTCTTTACCTGTAACAAGGAGTAGCCTATTTTGTCTGTTAGGATGTGTAGTACTTATCAATTTCTATATCAATTTTCAGTCTTAAATTACCAGCCTAATCCCATCAATATTACTTATGTGAGATTCAATTTCATAGCCTCCCCTTTCAATATATGATGTTATTGTTATCATGTGTACCTAACAAGATACATTATATTACAGAAAGCCATCAAAGTGTCAGCACTTGACAGATATACAATAGATACTGAAATGAATAAAATGCAAGGATCCCATCGATACTGATACATTTGTAGAGTAAACAAGACTGACACAGAAATTATAGGGACTATAAACGATGGCATGTGTTATGAGCCGAGTAAGTGTTGTTAGTGGACATGTTTTATGTTTGATTGCCAGAACGGACGAGAAAAGGTAAGGGTCACCTTCCCGACCACACAGGTTTTCCTCTGGATACTTCCCACAGTTATACACCTGGTACATTTTTCCACCCGGGCGAACAAGAGTGATTATTATCAGCTGATAGCTTGTTCAAAATTGTTGAAAAATAAATAAAGTTTACATCACATTATATTATATAATAAGCGATTGTATGTGTAATGATCAGCATTAGTGTGTGTAAGAAGGTTTTGATGTTTGGCTCTATAATACAATGACTGACTACCAGGACAGATTACAGCAGAGTGACAAAGCTTCCTAATACATGGGATCCCACTAATAACAATCAATACTTCCGTCCATCGACCAGTAAACCAATAATTTATCTGATATACCTTTCCCTAAATGAAAATTACATGTATTGATTTACAGTAAGCTGGAATCTATGGCCACTTTTGGAGTCTCATGATTCCAATTTTTTGTGTTTATCTAACATCTAATTTTCTTACAAACAAATTCAATTCCAAATGAATCTTTATAGTTGATGTCTTTTAACTTTCTAGATACGATAGTTTTCAGAATTCGTGGTATAGTGTAAGATAAGGTAATAAGTATTACTGGGACAATATGGATCTACTGCTTAAACTTAATAGAAATCTCACCATTTAAAGAGTTGTAACTAAATAGAAGCTAAGTAAGACAGACAGTTAAAGAAATTTTGATACACAGGATTCCCTTCTTTCATAACAGAGTGATATTGGCTAGTACTACTTTTTCAGTGTATGTGACTTTTGTAATAACTAGCTTATCATGATTTAAGAGCAGACAGTAAACCATCTTTACAGTCTAACACTGTAGCATGTTCACATAATTCTTCAATAGACACTTGATGTGTACAGGTGTATTACAGAAGTTGTAAAACAATACCTTATATAAGTAAGCAACCGCAAGACAATTATCAAGTGTTGAAAACCATTGTATCAGTTATAGATATATCACAAATTCTAGCCGCCAAAACATCAGCTAGACAAGAATGACTGAGGGCAATACGTAGTTGTTAGTGTGAAACACAGTACTACCTGTTTTGATGATAAAGTTTTAAAGAGACTGGTAAAAGACCTTAAGAAATCTATGGATAAGATAACAAGAGGTCCATGGGGTTTAACAATCACCGGACTATTGAGACAATACAGACTTAATATAAGAGGCTCATGGGCTTAAACCCCTAACAATCACCTGACTATAAAGACATCATTGATATAATAACAGTATTGGTAGTATGAACATATATTTAATGATTCAAACAATTCTGAATTTAGAAGTAAATGTAACAAAAACAACAGCACTGTTCATTTCTGTTTCTCAAGATTTCCAGCTTAATGGCACCAGTAGAACTTGAGGGAAGTTCAATTTTTTTTCACCAAGATGGTGACCATGATGGTGGTCAATAATAACTGTTGGTCCAAACCAACTAAAGATCATTTAAGGCAAGTTTGAGCAAACTCCCAAAGGTGGAACTTAGGAAAAGTTTGAAATAGGTCTTTTTAGGAAAGTCCTGATTGCACAATCACATCACAAAATGGCCACCCTAATTGCCATGTTGAAGTCTTGATAAGGCTCAAAAATAACAACTTTAGACCAAGTGAAATAAAACTGCTGAAAAACAGGACGAAACTATGTGAAAAATTGTGAATTCAAAATACAGCAAAAACAAAATTTCATGCTTTAGTAATTACTTAACCGGTAGAAATAATAAATTCTAAATAGTGTTGCAGAAAACACAACAAATCTCTTGGTTATAAAGTCTGAAAGTGATATTACAGAATCATTTAAATCAAAATGCCATTCAGGAAAATGCAACTTCATGTTGTGAAAAAATATCCTTTTATCCTGGTAAGTTTCTAAGAAGTTGGTTGAAAACTGTGAAAGGAGAAGTTTAAGACAAACAGATAATGCCATAGCATAATATGTCCTGATAAATCTGTATAAAGTTTTCAGCCAGATTTGTTAATACTGCCTGACAAATATCAGCTCTTACAGAAACCTATTTCATTAAACTTGCTTGCAAAGACTTATTAGAACACCGATATATTTAAAGTACAATCATTCAAGCATTAACTGGCAAGTCAGTGTATAAGCAGCCACACATAATACCAGTCTATTGAATTCAGAACACTCGAATTTCTAATTAGTAAGGTTTGTTTTCAATAGTCCAGTCATCAATAACTCGGCCATTTACTGGTTCAATGGCCATAGTCTTTTATTGGCATCCCATTTAGACTGAGTACACAATTCATCTCTGTCACTGAGCCCACCTCTTTAAAACTGTCCAGAGATACAATTGGGCAGTCAGTAAATTTGACAACACATCCATACCACAATATATGTTGTTCCTCTACTCAAGTTATCATTGCATTAATTATGAATTACAATTTATCCCTGTTTTGTTAGTATAGAAATTTCAAACCAAACTGCAAATTACCCTAAAAATTTATCTCTTTTCTCTCTCTCTCTCTCCAAAATATCAAATTTCCACATTGAATTTAATTAAAAGCATGTAAGCACTACAGATATGTTGTTATCAGGTTTAATATTGATGCACTGTAAAATAAAATGAAAATTTTGCAAATCCTTTCTCTAATTAATTCTCAATATTCACTCAAATATGACATGTTCACCCGAAAAGCATTAATCTTCTCACAGAATGAAAGGAAATCATGACAAATATTTTACAGCACTGGTGATTAATTCAACATGACTAAATCTTGTGTGAATAAAATAAGTTATTAAGATTTTGTTGAAAAAGAAAATAAATAAAATTTATGTAATCTTGTTGGTTTGTTTAGATATCTATAATACAACTAAACACTGTAATTATTGTATCCAAGGTATTTTATGAGAACCTTGGCTAAACACAAAACTTCAAAATCCAACTTCTGAGCATCCTTAAATTTCAGAATTGCTGGACCATCAATTAACAAAGATAATTTGTCAACGATGCTAAAGTATTCACTATTTGATCTCACTATTTTTCAACTTCCACTTATTGTTGTCTAATCACAACAGTATAGACTTTAAAAGTGAAATGTTGATGATCCAGTCATCACTAGAAGTGACAACATAGTCTAGCTTGTGATATCTGAGGGTTATATAGAATATCTAAGGTCATAAATGAGTATTCCTTACCTTGTCCGAGTCCCTGGTGACATCTGCCCTACAGAACAGCTCCTCACAGAATCGGGGGATAATACCAACCTCATTGCCGTGGCCCATAATACTACAATCAAACAAAAGTATAAAACAGTGATTATCAATGATAATTTTCATTTCTTCAATTGTCAAATTTCATACACTTCACAAAAAATTGGTGCCATTAATTCCAAGTTTTGCCTAGTTTGAACTTCTCTACTTTAAAAATTACTTGTAAAAGACTTTGTTTGAAAATCGATGAAAAAATCAGAACCATGAATGGACAGATTAGAGCAGATATTTACATTATAACTTAATTAGATATGTGGAGGGCTTATTCATCCAAGAAGTTTTGCTGAGAATGAAGGATTACCTGTAACTCTTGCCACTTCCTGTCTGTCCATAAGCAAACAAGCAAGTGTTGTAGCCCTCAAAGGCCTTCCCTAACAGAGGCTGGGCGAGCAGACGGTACACATGCTCCTGACTAGCATAGTCACCCGAATTACTGTCCAGAGAGTTGAAGGCGTAGTCGTAAGCAAACTTGTGGAGGATACCAGATGCTGTTGTCACTAAAGCTTCATTTCCAGACATAGAAACTACACACCTAGACAGCTGATCACCAATTTCTCTGTTAAAAAGAAATCACGGTTCATCACAAATCACAAAATATGTGCAAAGGCTATCACATGCATGTACACTGAAACATAAGTCTAAAATGACAAATAAATTAATGTAAAAATGTCAATATTATATGTCATTCTAGTATCTTAATTGTAAACTACAGCTTAAATACTAATGGATTTAAGCAAAACAATTGTTTGTGTCATATCTTGAAGTCATAATTTAGTCAGAATCCTTAAAAGTCATTGACCTAAACAAGGTAGCTTCTCTTAGACTAAAAAATAAAGCTAAACCAAACTAAACACTTGGTGCCTTCATATCAGATGAGCATGAGAGCACTACAAAAATGGACATATATTGTGTATATATATGTATGCTGTGCAATAACACCATGTTATAAGTCTGGGAGGCTGACACATTTGAACTCACAGTAGACAGGACAATATAGTACTTGTTGGTGCTTTTATACTACATATGGATGGTTTATAACTAGATACAAGCTTTCGGTCAGAAAAAATTGGTACATTATATTGTAATAATAGCAATAGAAATGACTATCTGTATAAAATATTGTAGTATGCTGAAGTTGTCATTTCTTGTATAAATGACTGATACTGAATTGACATCAAAATGAAATGTACTTTAATATGTCAGCACATACTTCCTTTGCCACTGTTAAGTACAGGCATGTACATTACACATAAAACATGCTGGTATGTATATATCCCTTGGCTAGTTATTGGGTAAGTCTAAGCAGCTTACAGTGTAATTTACTACGGGTATATCTTGACCAGTCTACTATATTATCAATAGGGTGACCACTGTCTATATACACATACACCACTAAATACATAATAATCAACACTTCAATGTATCACATTCATAAATTTCATATCATTACTAAACTTCAACACTGAATTTAGAATTAATGCTGCTATTTTGAATTGAATGCAGGAGCTGGGTGTTTTCGTTTGTCTCACATACAATAATTTTTAAATGTATGCCATCTATTTTCATTCAGACAATTACGATCTACTATGTTTACCCTGGTATGATTTTTATGTTTACATAAACAATTAATGTCATCACATCTAAGTTATTATCTCACTTGATGATTTTTTGTGATATGTCAAATTTAATGCTTGATGATATCCAGTAAGCCTGAAAATTTTAGTGAAACACAATATTTGTCATGCTGAATTCATATTTCAATTACATAACATTTTACAAACCTCTGTAGAAATGGTCGGACCCTGACTGCTACAGTAACACTGCTGCTGTCTTCATCATCTAGTCCCATCAAATCCCCATTAATGTATGGCATCTGGTATCGTGGGAGGTCCATCTGTACTGTAGAGTAACATTCTGGGGTGCTGAGTAACTTGTTGTCCAATGTGAACCTCCTCACTGGTGTCGACTTCATTCCTGGGCTACAATCACCCACAATACTGGTTGTATCTACATGTCCCTCTACTGTAACCCTCCGTGGCTGTTTTACTGGAGTTAAAAAAGAATCAGTGTCTGGAGTTTTACAATAATCAGATCTTATTTCTGCAGTTGTTGTCCATGTATCATTCCTAGAAACAGTTATTTTTGCATCACATTCATCCTTTCTGTACACATCACTTGTAGTAATTGTGATTTTCTTATCACAAGTCTCATTATCTTTACCCGTGCTTACTGTTACTCTCTTTTCAATTTTATGTTGACTGTCATTTAAGTTTTGCCCATTATTAGGTTCAATATTTTCTTTACTGTCCTGGTCACTTGGGTCAATATTTGACAGTACTGTGACCGAACTCTTGTCTCCTCTGTCAATATACAGAGACACACTTATTGGGTCAGGTTTAATGTGACCGATCGATTTTGTGCCACCCACGGAAGTTTCCATTATTTCAGTGTTGAAAGAGACAGCTCTTGTACCAGGAGTACACCGGTCTCGCATGTCAGTTGGCAAGGTCGGCAACAGCCGTTTACCTCTTGTCTTGTTTCGTGGAGTATCCATATTTTCAAGAGACCACAACAGCCGTTTAATTTTTTTTTTTTTTGGCAAATCTATTTCAGGCGGTTCCTCATTGGTGGCAGATAAACATGCACATGTTAATAACAGAAGGCAAATACATGCATTGGAACTCTGAGTGAAAATTACAACAGTCTGACAGGATATCTAGCTACATCCCATTGAAAACAAGTTTGTCAACAGTTCGCTCCGAACAGTAAAGCGGACCAACAGGTGCCCGTTTTTAACACTAGGCTAGTCTACAGACACATGCATCTTAAAACATTATATTCGTCTCCATGCACTTTCTTACGCCTTAAAACATTCCAGCTCGAATGTTTCCGATTACTTCGGTGTATCAAATATGTTGATTTAATCCGATAAGGATTAAACTGTTTCAAATATCCCTCGTCGCCTTCCCGCTGACATAAATCGAATATAACGCGGCATTTGATTGGGCGATTTCATAGCAAATATTACTTGTAGCAAGCAATTTTCCACTGGAAGGAGTATCGTTATTGAACCATTTCAATCGTATAGTGCATATTAGTCGACAATTTTTCTCGGAAAACTAATAATTCACCCGTTTGATTTAGGAATAAAATGTTTCTAACTGTTAAACGGTCTTTCTTTCAAATAACATAAGTTTAAAAAATGTTAACGCCTTTCTTTAAAGTATAACTTACTTAAGTATTTAAAGTAATTATAAGATTAACCTCAATATTTATGTAAGAGTACATACATGTACATTTTGTGTTTAATAACATTTAATATTTTCCAAATTCAGTCGTCTCGATGTATTTAAGTCCGAGTATTTCGAACGAATTTAGATAAAGATTAATGTAAAAAAAAATGACTTGATATTTCCACCAAGCAGTTTTCCAGTATAGACTTACCTTTTCGAAAAAATCTTGGCGGTCGTAGAATCTGATGGCTGTGTATCTCCTTCATCATGAACTATTAAAAAAATGTTTCTTAGACACATGTATGTCCTTGTGTTACATATGTATCGCTCGCGGTGGTCACATTAAAACTGAGTAAAACTGCCACCAGCTCTTTGCTTTCTTTCCTGGAAACCCCGGGGTATTGTCATAAAGCTAAATGTGAATTGTCACCTGTCGCCATCCCAATTAACTTATCTGTACACATCCCCTACCTTAACACACGTGTTGGTTGATTATTAGATATACAGCTGCCATCCTGGCCAAAGTGTCCATTTAGAGACCTACCCAGGCCATTAGCGTAAACTTATCTATTACCAAGATTACACGGCTACCTGTGGTGCGAGATACTGGCCGTTATGACGTAACAGATAATCAATGACAAATTAAGTCAGATTAGGGGGGGTCATCCTGGTCGCGTGGACGTCTAGGGTAGATCACACCTGTACGGAAATCACTAAGGCGTTTACAGTTTAAGTACATTTATTCATAATCACACCCATTTCCTTCTCAAGCTCCACACACCATTTCAGGGTAAAATTGAATTCATGTTTGTAAAAGGTGTCGATCTCTAAGCCCTACTGTATACATACCAGATTCAGAAGGGACAGGAATACGTTCTTGGTAAAAACAAGGGAAATGTTGGAATTCAACACTATCCTCTAATTTCGTCCAGTTTAACTCAGTTTTACTGAAAAATAAGTAAAAAGATGGATTGGACAAAAGTTATGATACCTTACGTTCTTTCCGGAACAAAATAAATATACGAAAAATTGACTTCTTTTTTAGACAATGTTACTGAATCTTTATGTTATGTTGGAGTTTTCAGGTAGACGTATTAATCTATTTATAAACTAAAATAAATTTCTACTTTGATGCAGGTCTTTGAGTTGAGGACACAAACTAAACGAAAATCATTTCATCATTGGAAATTGTATGCATTAAGTAAAATTATGTGTATTGTACTTTACTTATGTTTACTTATGTTGTATCCGCCTGCATTACATACTGGTCATCTTTAGGTAGCTCTGATAACAAGTAATCATATATAACTAGTCCACGATCCTTCCGGTAACAGGTCCTTACTCTATGTTGAAATTATATTTCATTGGATGGTTCTCCCATAGTTTGTCAAGTCTGTTTTCGAATTGATGGGTATTTGACGATCTTATCACATGTTCTAGCAGACTGTTCCATATATCGACTACTCAAAATGTGAAAACGTACTTCCGTAAATCTTCCTTGCAATGATCTTTCATTAATTTCAATGAATTCCCCATGGTATTTTTCACTTAGTATTTTAAAAACCTCGTACTCCCCTCATCATATTATCCTTTTTTCTAATAACGGAAAAAAACACGTTGCCAAGATGAAGGGCCACAGACGATTTGTCGAAATCGGACCAATTTTATTACTGAAAGGACTATGTCATTTGTCAAGAGTAAAAACTGTATATGTAATAATATAGATCGTTAAGTTTATGATCTTGGAATTCAAATACCAATCTCAGTACTGTATTATAATCCAATTTTGAAGCTGCTGGTTAACGGTGACGTTTGTTCTCTTGGCTGGTCGAAACGTTTACAAATAATGGAGTACTGGAATGGCTCTGAAACTAAGGGTGGGGATTTATTAAAAACATTTAACTTTTATCATGTCAAAAGGAAAACTTAAATTGAAATGAAGCAGTTATGTAATAAATAAAATATGTAAATAAAATGTATCTCGTTTGCCATGGTAACAATCAGTTGTTCACAAATGGACTTTCACTCCTCGATACACGCTAAGGAAAATCTTCTTGTATGAAAAATATGTTTTTTTTTCCCGTGGGAAAACTTCAACCTATTAACCATGAAATTCTTTCAATAAATGATCCTTTTTTGGCAACTGAAATAATCACATTCTTTAATGGTGATGATCGTGAAATGCACGGTATTGTCTATCAGAAGTTCGAGGTGTTTCTAAATTTGAATATCTTACAGACTTGTTAATCTCCGGTAATAAAACAACATTGATAATTTCCGGAATGTCCAAATATCCATAAAGATAGTTTTAAGTTCATATTACTCGATACCACGGACTTGAATAGATCATCTGTTCTAAGTCCTTGACGATACCAAGTTACAGACGAGTAGACGGATCGTTACATGTGGAGTGCTGCACTAATGGGTTTAAAAAAGTCAATACTTTTGTTCATTTCCTATGATGGTAAGGACATGCTTAGCATTTTCAGTGTCAAAAGACCGGATTACAACTTCCGAGTGCCTTGTTCATTTTCTAAAATTGCGGCCATCTTGAATGATAAATTATCCTTTTCCTTCCTAAACTCCACTATCGTCCACAAAAATGGTGTAGTTATTGCTGGACCTCTTAACATGGCAGAATTATCCGAATGTTAGTGGTTCAAGACGGCTGCTTTTTCAGCCTTTTTTTTATCATTGCCGCTTCCGGTTGATTCAAGAAAAATGCCTGAACATACCTTTTTAACTTTAGTACTTTAGATGCTGCCGGTGTTCCTATTATCGTTTCGATTCTGTTACTTACACAGAGTTTTTCTAAATCATATTCTACTTGAAAATCCATTCTCTAAGCATGCTACTGTACAGGTCATTTATTTACTTAAAGAAAGAAAAGTTTAATAGTGTCAATTTTTCTAACCCCTGTGACCTTGAAAATATATGTACGCAGAGCCCAGCAAACACTTTTAAAAACACTTGTCCACCGCGCTAGTGACACCAGTAAACGGTATCCATTGACTTGTCGTAATGTTCATGTCTTACTGTGGAGAGATCCACCATGTCGTCATTGTTAGTGCAAACGTACGAGTACATGCTGTTGTTGTAAATGAATGACTGAGGTAAAGTGCATAAAGCTTTACAAGTACAATGGTAAGGAGAACATGCAGTTAAATTGATTGCTTTTGTATCTTTTGAACAATAAATGCCAACAAAGACATTTGGTACAGGAATGAAATTTTCAGTTTCTTCTCAAAAACCTCTGAACACATTTTAAAGAAATAGCCAAAGGCAAAAGTGAACGAACATTATGAATTCTGTGCACTCCCCCCATTCCATCCCAGACCCCTGCAGTAGGACGAAAAGGGGTCAATTGGACTCAAATTTTAAAATCCTTCTCCTACATCAGGAAAAATCAAGTACTCTTCATGGATGGAATGTCTCAATGTTTTTTCACCCTGGCAAGAGATAGAGTTTACTTTAAGTAGTAGATCAAAAGGGATCAAATTGATTTAAATTTCAAATTCTTTTCAAGACCCAAACATGGCAGATACATATACACTTCATGAATGGAAGTAGATAAAGGCACTGTGTATCAGCATCCATGTTCCTCATTTTTCCACTTGGGGAGTTAAGTTTTACTGTTATTTATACAGGAAACCTTTCAATTTTGAGCAATAGAAATGGGATGATACTTAAATGTTATGCACATTTTACATATCCATTACATATATCATGTAGTTAAGACATCTTTGTTAAGATGATGGATGATTTCTTTTACATATGTCACAACATTAAAATTCAGGTGATTGTTCAGGCCTTCAGACCTCTTGGTTGAATGACAACCTTACAAGTATGGCTTAATAAATGTACCTGCTGCCTCCACTGTATGATCTACGAGACGACTAAACATGGGAGATTAACATTTTCTCTTTAGATCTGTATCCTCTATAAAAGTACCACAAACAAGTGACAAACTTTTATATTTCTGGTTTTATTAAAAACAAAATCAAATCAAATTGGATTTGATTGCATTGTTTGATTTTAGCATTATGATGATTTTAAGTTGTACAAGAATGTAATTTCAATATCATGCTTCCATAGTTCCAGTCAAAAGTAAAACATATCTGACATGGCCATCATGTTACCTGAGCTTAACAACTACAAACAATGAAATAAACTAAAGGAGGAGTGCCTTCTGGTGACCATGACGAATACATTTAAGATAAAAAAACTAAAAAAAAAAATTTAGTTTGATAATTATTGCAATAATTATGAATTCGATCCCCCACTCGTCCCCCACCCACCCACTATAACAACTGAACAGCCTTGAGCTGACCTTAGATTAATGTCATGTCATAACCGCCTGACCTCAAGTTTTTAATAAGAAGTATTCATCATAGTCACCAGAAGGCCCAAACTGGCACTCCTCCTTTCTATGGAAGCATTTACAAGCAGAAAGAACAGTAGTTCACAATCCTTAGGAAATCTTTTTTGCTTTCTTTCCTCCATCATTGTCTAATGACTTTGTCCTTTTCTGACCTTTAGTCTTGGCCTTCTTTGGTCCAGCTTTCAGAACTTTTTCCTGGAACAAACACAAAAACAAAGACTGATATATTAAACAAAAAGGGATAAGGGGAAGTTAACTGCACTCAAATGTAAGAGAGAGAAGAACAGATCCCAAAAGGAACTTGCTGCCCAATATTTTTTAGTTTTAATTCTTTTAAAAGCTTGATTTTTTCCCTACTTTTCTCTTCTTTCTTTTTCTTTGCTCGTAATTATATGAAATTTGATAATTCCTCTGAAGAAATAGCAATGATAACCTTTAACTGTCATACAGTATCAGTGAAACTGATAAAATGCTCTCTGAAAATGACTTTATTGGACACAAAATTTCAACAAAGGGCAATGCTTCTATAATTAAGGGGTTTCAGGCACTGAAAATTTCAGCAAAGATGACTAACTCTGTAATTGAAGGGTTGCAGGCCCTGAATTTGATACTGCACATTGCTTTTGTATGATTGATGTATACATTACATTTCATTATCCTGTATTTAATGCAAGCAAAGTTATCCTCATGACACAAAACATTAAGAAAGGGCAGTAACTCTAAAATTAAAGGGTTGCAGGTCATGAATTTTAAACACTACACATCCTCACCAAGTTTCATTATCCTAGCTTAAATGAAAACATGTTTAGCTCTGGACACAAAAAGGTTTAGTAAAGGGCAATAACTCTGTCTTCAAGGGGTTGCAAGGCCCTGTATTTGGTACACTGTACATCCTCTTAGTATGACCGATGAATAATTCAACTTTTATTATCCTAGTTTTAATGCGAACATTATGCTCATGACACAAATTCTAAATTTAAGTTATATGGTTACAAAGGGGAAATAACAGATATATAGACTGCATTTCTGGTTAAAAGGGGAGATAACAGTATAAATCTTCTATATCTGGTTAAAAATGGGATGTAACAGAAACACAACCTTTTTTATCTTGTTATAAAAAAAGGAGAGGCAATGATGAGATTACAGAAAAACAACTTGTTAATCCGGTAACAATGGAGAGATAATTGAGACATGACCTGTATCTTTATATATTATTGGCATAATGACTGATATTAAATGTAATATTACCTTGGTGTCAGTTTTGTCCTTGAACTTTTTTAAATCTGCAGTAAACAGAACCTGAAAATATATAAAAAATCTCAGAGGGATCTTGTCATCCACCATTGTTTGATCTTCCTTTTTAAAAGTTGGATTTTTACACTTCATTCCAATTAATTGTTCTTAATCATAAGAAATATGAGAATTCTTTTAAGAAAAAGCAAAACATTTTTTAACTATCAAATCAAAGATTTTTGTCTGTCAGAAATTTTTGTTATTTTCTGTCCTATAATCAAAAGGGCATCCCCTAGGGAACATGAAGAACCTTCATAGGAAATTTGAGAAAGATCCATTCAGACCTTCAAAGAAATAGTGATTATAAACATGTATTGTCTGCATCCAATATGGCTGCCTGTCACTTGTTTTGTTTTTCCTCTCAGTCCTAAAATCAAAAGATCACAGTATGGGACCAAGAGGAATTTACACATAGAAACTGTAGAAAATTTTATCCAGTCCATCTCAAGAAAATAGTGAAACAAACTAAAATTGTCAAAATGCAAGACGGCTGTTTTTCAGCCACGATGTTTTCATGAAAATCAAACAGACATGAATAAGGACCTATGGGAAACTACACATTAAAAAAAAACCCTTTGAGTACTTCTCAAGAAAGATTCCAAGAGGGTAACCTGTTAGTCAATTTGTTTTCCTGTCTCAAAATTGAACAGGCACAACTAGGAACAAAGGGAAACCTACATGAGAGGTTTGAGAAATATCCTTTATGCACTTCTAAGTAGCGATAACAGGGATTGTTTACAAATGGATGACGGATAACAGATGTAGAGCAATTTGAATAACACAGAAGGAAGGAATCATAATCTGGTCATATGAAAGAAGTTCTTTTCCTACAGGAGGGTACATCCACAAAGAAAGATATCACACTTATACATTAATAAGACCTACAGGGTGAGCTCATCCCTCAGAGATATCATATATATACAGTAATAAGACCTACAGAGTGAGCTCATCCCTCAGAGATATCATATATATACAGTAATAAGACCTACAGAGTGAGCTCATCCCTCAGAGATATCATATATATACAGTAATAAAACCTACAGGGTGAGCTCATCCCTCAGAGATATCATATATATACAGTAATAAAACCTACAGGGTGAGCTCATCCCTCAGAGATATCATATATATACAGTAATAAGACCTACAGAGTGAGCTCATCCAACAGAGATATCACACCTTAATAGTTATAAGACCTACGGAGTGAGCTCATCCCTCAGAGATATCATATATATACAGTAATAAGACCTATGGTGTGAGCTCATCCCTCAGAGATAACACATATATATAGTAATAGGACCTACGGAGTGAGCTCATCCAACAGAGATATCACACCTTAATAGTTATAAGACCTATGGAGTGAGCTCATCCCTCAGAGATATCACATATATATAGTAATAGGACCTATGGAGTGAGCTCATCCAACAGTGATATCACACCTATATAGTAATTCGACCTTCCATTTCAGCCCTACTTACTACAGTAATCAAACCTACTGTGTGAGGTCAGTCAACACATATCAAACCTTTCTTGTTATCAGACCTACTAATTTCAACCTTCTGATATGACACCTATATAGTAATCAGACCTACCGTGTGAGCCCAGCCTGCCTTGTCTCCCCACAACTCACGGAAATGGTCACCTAAAAAAAAGACAATACACTGCATCATATGTCACATATTCTAAACATACTTTAACTATTATTAAAGTCAGTGGCTAGGTATATGTATAAATTATGTTCATAAGAGTTGCCTCCCTTCCCATAAGTTCTGTTTTATCCTAACTTGAATAATGAATGGGGAAAATGTGTCAAGGGCAATAACTCTGATGAACAGGGTGAAATTCTTCCTACATGCACATGTGTGTTATCCAACATATGACAGGAGGAAACTTGTGCTTTCTGGAGAGGTAATTCAAAGGGGCGGTAATTCCATCAATCAGAGCAGTTAACAACTTGTCATTTACATAGATACATTATATTTCTTTTTGAACAGAAAAACATTCACTTAGAAGCTTCATAAAAACAGGCATTTATACACATAAACCAACATATTTTTACAATATACAATGAAATCTAACAGATGTTGTAAAAGTTACACCTACAAAGCATCTGGAGTAGAAAGTGTCAAAAGTCATAACTCGATCAATATTACAGTTTTATGTATACTTGGATCAAACGTATAGTGTGTCAATGTAATAGATACCTTATGACTAGTGTAGTAAGAGTGACATACAGAGTGATTCATATAACCCACTCCTCTTGTCTGGTGAGATATACACACGACCAGGAGTCCTGTTGTTTAACGTGTCTTACTTACCTATCTCTGCATACAATTTGTCTGTGAGAGATTTGGCTTGTTTCAGTTTGGGCATGTAGTCACGGGCTGCTATCTGCCACACATGGGTATCTACAGGAACGGCTTCCAGCTTATCAAGCGACATCAAGCACACACAGTCTGCAACCTTCAACAAAACTATATTAAGGGACAACCGGGACACACAGTCTGTAACTTTCAGCAAAAACAATAATCAGGGACATCAGGTTTACACAGTCTGTAACAAAACTATATTCAAGGACATTTGGAACAGGTACAAACAGCCTGTACCCTCCAGGAAAACTACAGTCAGGGACTTCAGGGACACACAGTCTATAACAAAACTATATTCAAGGACATTTGGGACAGGTACAAACAGCCTGTACCCTCCAGGAAAACTATAGTCAGGGACTTCAGGGACACACAGTCTGTAACAAAACTATATTCAAGGACATTTGGGACAGGTACAAACAGCCTGTACCCTCCAGGAAAACTATAGTCAGGGACTTCAGGGACACACAGTCTGTAACAAAACTATATTCAAGGACATTTGGGACAGGTACAAACAGCCTTACCCTCCAGGAAAACTATAGTCAGGGACTTCAGGGACACACAGTCTGTAACAAAACTATATTCAAGGACATTTGGGACAGGTACAAACAGCCTGTACCCTCCAGGAAAACTATAGTCAGGGACTTCAGGGACACACAGTCTGTAACAAAACTATATTCAAGGACATTTGGGACAGGTACAAACAGCCTGTACCCTCCAGGAAAACTATAGTCAGGGACTTCAGGGACACACAGTCTGTAACAAAACTATATTCAAGGACATTTGGGACAGGTACAAACAGCCTGTACCCTCCAGGAAAACTATAGTCAGGGACTTCAGGGACACACAGCCTGTAACCAGGCACACACAATCTGTAATCTTAAACAAACCTATAGTCAGGCTTACACAATCTGTTGTCTTCAATAACTATAGTAATTTCAAATATTGAATCTATTCTATTTGTTGCTGTGGTCGATAGTATTTTGTTACAACTTTATTTGGTAGATGTGTATAGGTTGTCAAACCATCCTCCACTCACTCTCTTTATACATATCTTTGTTCCCATAGAGCTGCATTAACTCAGACTAGGGTTGATCGTGACACAAGTTCCTTAGACCTTTGAGTCATCCTTTTCTTTATACATACCTTTGCCCCCACACCACACAGCTTCATTAACTCAGACTTAGTCTCATTGTAAGGCAGGTTTCTAAGACCCATCAGCCACCTGTCGCTGTGATTCTCCTGTATGTACTTAGCAGTTAAACCAATGTACTTTGCCCTGTACAAAGAAGAAGGTAATACATGAAACAGACAGAACTAACATCAAGATTATAAAATAAAATTGCAACAAACATGCAAATTCTCAAACGGATCATCTTAAGTGATGAAGATGGCCAAGTGTGTAAAATTTGTCATAAAAGTGTTGACAAAGGTTTTCTAAAAATTGTTTTTGTGACCTTGACCTTACAATTAAGTCTAAGAAGCAACATGGATTATGGTTCATTAGAAGAATGTCAACTTTGATCAGACTTTCAATGAATGAGACAGCTAGAGTGTAACAAGGATTTTCCAAAATACAAAAAATTACCTTGACTTTGACCCTACAACCCTGACACTCAACCTCATCAAAGATATTATGGTTCTTCAGTGGTGTGTGAAGTTTGATCAAAATCCCTCATAGAATACAGCTGCTAGGGAATTGACAAATCTAGGCATTATTATGTATGTATCCCTATATTCCAACTGACTTTCAGTCATGTGGGGATAAATAAATTATGATATCAAACACAAAACTTCTACTTGTAGGATTTTTTTGCATTACAAGGAACCTTTTTAACATGATCCTTACTTTTATGATATTTACAACAATTTTATATAATGATGATTTACAATGATCCTTACCTGTTGAACATTTGCTATCATTAAAAGGGTCCTTACCTGTATGACATTTGCCACCATCACATGGATCCTTACTTTTATGATATTTTCAACCATTTTATATATATAATGATCCTTACCTGTGTGACATTTGCTACTATTACAATGATCCTTGTCTGTATGACATTTGTTACTATTACAATGATCCTTGTCTGTATGACATTTGCTACTATTACAATGATCCTTATTTGCATGACATTTGCTACTATTACAATGATCCTTGTCTGTATGACATTTGTTACTATTACAATGATCCTTGTCTGTATGACATTTGCTACTATTACAATGATCCTTATTTGCATGACATTTGCTACTATTACAATGATCCTTGTCTGTATGACATTTGTTACTATTACAATGATCCTTGTCAGTATGACATTTGCTACTATTACAATGATCCTTATTTGCATGACATTTGCTACTATTACAATGATCCTTGTCTGTATGACATTTGCTACTATTACAATGATCCTTGTCTGTATGACATTTGCTACTATTACAATGATCCTTATTTGTATGACATTTGAATGCATTACAGTTTACCGAGAATATTACCTGTAGCCAAATCCCAGACCACGGAGTGTGTCCTCCACATCACACCCTGAAAGACTCTTTACAGATGGGAAACTGAAATATGGCTCTCCTTCATACTCTGTGACCTTGGTCCCGTAGGCCTGACAAAGACGCTCCACCATTCCACTGATTCTAGAGATGTGGTTGTTAGATGAACAGATGAATGAGAAGAGATTTTCTACAGGATCCTGTCTGAGGATCCTGATTCCTGTAAAGTCTGTAGCTGTGCGTTTAAATACTGGATCAGAGTGAGACCAAGTGCTGTACAAGTCTGTAAGGTTTACGTCCAGTCTGAAATAGTCCTGTAAAATAGCCTCAAGTTCAGGGGTATCTTTTGTGTCTGTTATGTCTTTTTCCAGCTTCTCATTTTGATAATGACAATCTGTTTGAGTGGATACCTTCACAACAGAATCACTGTCTAATACTTGAGTAGCACCCTGATCCAATGACTTGTCAATCATCTCTGTATCATTTCTTTCCTTTTTTATGGGAAATGTTCTGATCTTAGACCTTTTCTTGGAGTGTTTTTCCACCAACTTTGCATGTGTAACAGTCTTTGTGTTGTCAGTAATCTGAAAAGGTTCTGTCTTGACAGTTATTCCCGCATATTTGTCAGCTGTGATATTGTCTGCGTGGTGTGGGGGAAGAACCACCTGATAAAACAGCTGTGTATCTGACTGCCTCAGATTCCACACATAACCAGCCAGAACACCAGTCCAAATCCCAGGTGTTCTCTCCTTCCATCTAAACAAAGGAAATAAATATCAGAACAAGGGTTTATCCTGAAAATAACAGTCAACTTCAAGGTTTACAGGTTTGACAATTCCCAGCAGTACAACATATACCTCTCCTATGGAGAAACTGAAGTCTGTAATGTTTACCACTCCCAGCTGGCTACAAGGTCTACAATGTATACCTCTCCCATGGAGAAACTGAGGTCTGTAATGTTTACCACTCCCAGCTGGCTACAAGGTCTACAATGTATACCTCTCCCATGGAGAAACTGAGGTCTGTAATGTTTACCACTCCCAGCTGGCTACAAGGTCTACAATGTATACCTCTCCCATGGAGGAAATAGTGAGGTCTACAACATTTACCATTTCCAGCCTAATCATGTTTCAGTATCACAATCATTAGATTGCTCAAGGATACATATCTCCCCCATTTGTATTGAATTCCTATACTTCACAAGAATCCATATAAACAATTTTTAATTGCTGGCTCATCCAGCTGCTCAACTAAGCCTTTGTCGAAACTATTAACCTCCATTCTTAGCAATATCAAATCTCGGTTATACTCTTATTGTAATATTGTTTACTCAAGAAGTGGAATTAATAGTACATACGTATATGAATTTCTGAGAACTCCCTCCAAACAACTTTTGACCAATCTTAAATACCCTCTTCTAAACCTTTTTCCTCTATATGAACAATTAATTTTTTTACTCTGTTCACTAACATATGCCATCCTAACCTGAAAGAACACCTTTGTTCTCTTGTTATAATAGATTTCTTTTCCAAGAAGCAGTATAAAATATTTGAGAAGGATAAAATCATAAAAGTGATCATTTCTCTGATTGATACCACTTTTTGTGAGTTTGATGGCAAGATTTAGACCATTGGCATACCTATAGAAACTAACTCTGCAAAAGGGCAGAGTTAGTTTTCATGACTTGTTTTTGTTTTCATACAAGGCTGCATTTATCAAATAGCTTAATAAGGTCACAAAGATCGTGCAAAGTTGTTTAATTTCACTCTGAGGTATACTGATGCATTTTGTTTTTAAACATGAAATTCATTGACTACGTCCATTGTATATATCTACCAGAATTGAAAATCAAGGACACTGTAGACTTTTTTTACATCGGCCACTTTTCTCAATCTCAATGAGAAATGTTCAAATTCCTTTGTGTGATATGATGGTCGATGTTTAACGCTTGTTGGCTTGCCTATTGATTCTGTTGTATATCTTGTTCTCATAGGAGAATGTGACCTTAAATACTTGGATTGATCAACATTTACATATCGCTTGTTGTCAATGAAGCAGAAGACGCCTCCTCTTCCTGAGCAATCGGTCTTATTCTCCTTGTACTTTTTTCAGAAGTCTCCGTGTAAATCATTATTTTGTTCATATTTTGCTTTAGTTTCATTGAAATGGATTTTGGATTATTATTATGTTGACATGTTGGTATTTTTTGAAAGAACAGACAATGTTAAACGGAAACAAGGGCAATTTGTCAATCAAGCTGAAAGCAAAACAGCCAAAGTTTATGTCACCTGAAAGATTGTCCACAGACAAGCGTTTTGTCCAGTCGCAGTTCTGTTATTTTACATGGAATCCATCTCCACGTGCACGCGGCCATTTCCGAGTGTAATTACAAAACAAATCGATAGGTAGGTGTAAAGTTAGGATGAATCTAGAGGATTTACGAACAAAGCATAATATTCAAAGTCTCGTCTATAACGAGAAAAACTCTGTTGTTCTGGGCAACATTTACAAATGGCCGCCCTTGGGGGCAATCCGAATAGAGTTTATGCTCGATAAACTGTTAGTGGCATTCCCTTGTTGTTTGTCTCCACGAAAGCCATGTGAGGACGAAACTGAAATAAGACACACATAATTATGGATTGTGGAGTGATAAGGATACTGTAAGTATTGTTATTTAACGTTTAGAAAGGACATATTGAGAGTGTATATTTTTGTTAAAGTTTCCAAATGACCAAGGACTCAGACGGTGTAGGATTGTATTCTACTGTAAATTGAAATGCACGAAAAGTAGTATTAAACTGTCATACCTGTCTCCTGCACCAGATATTAAGCCCATTCAAAAGCTGTCATTAACTCCCTGCATGTGCAGTATTGATGTCAATTGGATATAAAATCTAACTTAATTATCTCAACTATATCTACGTGTATTTGACAGGTATAAAATGTAACGTCTAGACATTGGTTCTGGACCGTTATGTATTTGGGAATGGTAATTATATTGAACTGTATCACTTGAATTATTGACTTGTTTGAACTCGCATGCAAATAATTTTGGTTGCTTCCAGAAATATTGAAAATTTGTGATTAAAGCCATTTACCATAAAAGTTTTTAGTATATATATTTTTCGGGCAAATCTGTGTAATTTTCTTAATACGCATTTTTACATGTCATCCTCTCAGATATGATGAAATAATTTATCAATCCATCCTCATATGCCAATGTTTTGTTGTAATCTGTCATGTGAATAAAAATTGACTGTGAATAATAGGCCACGCCCTCATGCAATTTTTTGGCTATAGAAGTCCAAAGCTGCATGTCATATATTGACAAATGATGATTTTTAAATGATCACCTTTGATGACTGATTTTTTACTTTGTCTAACTAGTGAGTTGTACACTTAGAGAGAAAAAACAACTTTCTTTAAACTTTATTGAGAAATATGACTTTTTTGAGAAAAAAGACTAAACAATAAAAACTTTAATCTGACCCTGTAGAGAGGTGCAGACATCAAAACAGACATCCACCATTTTCGCACAATTATTTTATTTTGATGTTTTTGTCATCAAAATATAGTTCCCATTGAAAAGATGATTTTATGTAAAACATGTGTACTTCTGGGTCACTATAAGCTAACTCATGCACCTGTGGGATTTAGTGATTTCATAAGAAATGGAATTGCAGTCGCATGTCTGATATACATGTCGACCATTTCAGGAGAGGGTAGATATTTTTTAGAAAAATACTGTTTTTTTAATGGTCACTTTTTAAATGAATCGTATACTATGAACACATTTCAAGTCATTAATGTATTTGTTTAGTGGTATTTTATTGACACATTAGATAGCTAAAATGATTGTTATGGGGTCTAAAACTAATGTACCAAGGATACATACAGCAGACATAGTTTCCTTCAAGCTTCACACTAGAGGGAATTTCCCAATGTCAGGGGTCTTTGGTTCAAATTCTCGATTGGTGCATTGCATTTTTTCTGTGTGAAAGAACAGGGAAAATGTACATTCCTGTCGAGTGCCCTGACCAGGAATCGAACCCAGTTCTCTGGCATGATAACCAACCAGCTCTACCAACAGAGCCAAAGAAGCATGCTCCATCAGCTGAGTGACAGAGACCATATTTAACACTTTATACAAACCACACCAACCCACTCCTATTACATCCGTTACATCTCTACTCTGCCCTTTTTTCATTAATAGATAGACTAGAACATATGAGAGTGATATCACCTCATGAAGTTGGACAATATTTTTTAGAAATAAATGAAGACATTTTGACAGAATCTACTGGTACACATAGGTTTTGTCAAAATAATATCTGATGTAGGAGCCAACGAAAACTCTGGCTAATCCATTAGTTTTATTCTTTTTGCCAAAATTAAAAGCAGGAAAAACCACAAAATAAAAGAAACAAAACCACTTTTGAAATGTACATTTATCAGCACATGGAATATTTCACTTCAAGTTCAAGCTGCCTTATATGACATAGCTTCGTGTGGTGAGATGATATTGTATTGTAACAAGGAGAATAGTGTGCTTCCACCTGGGTTCGATCACGCAATCTACAGGTCTCTACTTGGATACTCTACCAGTGAGCTAAAGGGAAATTCCCTCTAGCACAAAGCTAGAGGTAAACCATTATCCTACATACAATTAAAATCTGTCACAGTAGGATTGATGACAAATGTATTTAAGTATGAGCTTCAGACCATTTCCCTGTATTTGTCTAAATGGTTCTGATTATCTGTCCACAATTTATTTTGTCTTGGTCGCGGTTCAAACTACCATTATATAATGGGAACTGCAACGGGACCAAAACTGGCGCTATAATAGTTGCCACCCTACATAGCTAGAGAAGATCATTCTGTTTTCCCAGAGTTATCATGCTTGTAATGATAAAATCATAATACTGTATTTTCTATCTATAGAATAGGGTGCAATAGAGAAATGAAAATTGTGTAAACAAAACATTTTGTATGGGTGATTTCTAACTTGTGAAATCATGGTTACCAGATAAAAAGATGATAAGATATTACTAAATCCAACACAAACTACATGTGCACCTTTGATTTAGAAATCTATTTCTGAGCACCTGTCCAAAAGTGAACAACACTTTTATGTCAGCAAAGCATTACAGCATAAACATGTGTTGACAATGGGGAAATCCCACTTCTTTAAAGCTAGTTTTTGGTGTGTAGACTTATGCAAGACTGAGACTGTCCATGCAGTAATCTACAAACTAATACCGAAATATTCTTCAGAAATTTTCTAGTTGTGAGATTATTTCCATGTAAATTATATACCCATATATGAACATCCACAGACACCAGTTAGAGTTTGCTGTGTTTCAGCAAGCTGGCTGTGTGTCCAATTACACCATCTGACTGTATGGCCAATAACATCATCTGACTATATGGCCAATCACATCATCTGACTGTATGGCCAATAACATTATCTGACTGTATGGCCAATCACATCATCTGACTGTATGGCCAATCACATTATCTGACTGTATGGCCAATAACATCATCTGACTGTATGGCCAATAACATCATCTGACTGTATGGCCAATCACATCATCTGACTGTATGGCCAATAACATCATCTGACTATATGGCCAATCACATCATCTGACTGTATGGCCAATAACATTATCTGTCTGTATGGCCAATCACATCATCTGACTGTATGGCCAATAACATCATCTGACTGTATGGCCAATAACATCATCTGACTGTATGGCCAATAACATCATCTGACTGTATGGCCAATAACATTATCTGACTGTATGGCCAATCACATCATCTGACTGTATTGCCAATCACATTATCTGACTGTATGGTCAATAACACATCATCTGACTGTATGGCCAATCACATCATCTGACTGTATGGCCAATAACATCATCTGACTGTATGGCCAATAACATTATCTGACTGTATGGTCAATCACATCATCTGACTGTATGGCCAATCACATTATCTGACTGTATGGTCAATAACATCATCTGACTGTATTGCCAATCACATCATCTGACTGTATGGCCAATCACATTATCTGACTGTATGGCCAATAACATCATCTGACTGTATTGCCAATCACATTATCTGACTGTATGGCTAATAACATCATCTGACTGTATGGCCAATAACATCATCTGACTGTATGGCCAATAACATCATCTGACTGTATGGCCAATAACATCATCTGACTGTATGGCCAATAACATTATCTGACTGTATGGCCAATCACATCATCTGACTGTATTGCCAATCACATTATCTGACTGTATGGCCAATAACATCATCTGACTGTATTGCCAATCACATTATCTGACTGTATGGCTAATAACATCATCTGACTGTATGACCAATAACATCATTTGACTGTATGGCCAATCACATTATCTGACTGTATGGCCAATCATATGGGGTGTTGTGGAGCTGGTCTGATACTTAAGTAAGGTCGTTAGGTAGTTGAATCACTTGAAAATGGATACCATGAGGTATGCTGGGAGTGACTCAGCAGTTACAATAACCAGATATCAGGTAGAAGTGTTCTCAAGATTAACCGGTTTCACAAAATAAGTAGGTAGCATACTTTCATGCTTGCCGCCCGGTTTCGCCAGTTACAGCTTATCAAGGAAAAACTACAACAGGTTTCAGCCCCAGAAGGACTCTAAAAGTGGTACCCTTATCATGTGACATTATTCTGTTATGTGGACTTGTAAAGATAATCAAAACACGTTTGATCATTTAACTTATTTTCTTGAATAATGATGATATTTTTAACTGTTAACAATAATTAATATAACATTAGATACTCTTATATAATACATTATTAGCTGTAAATCAATATGTTCAGAGTTGCTGCTCCTATGACAATATATATGGGGCTGAAATTTGTTATAACGTTTCATTAACGATTTCTATGTTAGTGACTTTGCATACCAGTATAGTTTACAGTTAACTGAGACATCTTACCCCTAAATCAAAGTCATGAAATCACTGAGATTGACATCCAGAATGGGTGAATGTAAAGTGCAAAATCTGTTTTATATTTAGAGTCTGCATTTTTCTCCTTAACATATGATGATTCATTTTTCCACAGAACCAGACAACATTATAGACCACAGAAGTAGTATTCTTACCAAGTGTCATGTTCCTTTGTTAGTTTAATATCTGCTTAAGGATTTTGGACACCTTAAAAGTTTACAAAGTGCTTTCATTTTGTTAAGATGTAAAAAGAAATAAATAAGAATAAAAATCAAATATTTGAACAAATAGCAATAAAGCCATATACATTCTATAGGTTGTAGTATGCTATGAAGTGATTTGTAAATACACATGTGAAAGAAATATTTCCTACTGAGTATAAAAATTATGTTGGGCTGGAACTGTAAATTATAGGTAAGGCATAAGTATTGTAGAGTTCTTTATGTTGCCCTGTATGTCTTCGTCACTAATTGTCATTCCATCCTGTTTGTAACTGGTTTTCCAATAAGTCTTTCCCCTTGTTTTTCTCTCTATACTGTGTTATAACATTATTCCCATAAGTATTCCACACATATTTCTCCCTCTATATTATATTATAACATTATCCCCATAAGTCTCCCCCACATGTTTCTCCCTCTTTATATTATAACATTATCCCCATAAATCTTCCCCACATGTTTCTCCCTCTATACTATATTATAACATTATCCCCATAAATCTTCATGACTTGTTATGCTACCGGTACTATCAAATAATGTCCCCATAAATATTACCCACTTGTTACTTTGTCAATATTGTTCTATAATTTTTACTCTGTTTCTGTAAGTCTTTTTCATTTGTAACTCTTTCTATAAGTAACATTATGTCAAGTTATAGCATTTTCCCATATTTCTCCCTGTATACTATATTGTAACATTATCCCCATAAATCTTTTCCATGTTTCTCCCTCTATACTATATTATAACATTATCCCCATAAATCTTTTCCACATGTTTCTCCCTCTATACTATATTATAACATTATCCCCATAAATCTTTTCCATGTTTCTCCCTCTATACTATATTATAACATTATCCCCATAAATCTTCCCCACATGTTTCTCCCTCTATACTATATTATAACATTATCCCCATAAATCTTTTCCACATGTTTCTCCCTCTATACTATATTATAACATTATCCCCATAAATCTTCCCCACATGTTTCTCCCTCTATACTATATTATAACATTATCCCCATAAATCTTCCCCACATGTTTCTCCCTCTATACTATATTATAACATTATCCCCATAAATCTTTTCCATGTTTCTCCCTCTATACTATATTATAACATTATCCCCATAAATCTTCCCCACATGTTTCTCCCTCTATACTATATTATAACATTATCCCCATAAATCTTCCCCACATGTTTCTCCCTCTATACTATATTATAACATTATCCCCATAAATCTTCCTGACTTGTTATGCTACCGGTACTATCAAATAATATCCCCATAAATATTACCCACTTGTTACTTTGTCAATATTGTTCTAAAATTTTTACTCTGTTTCTGTAAGTCTTTTTCATTTGTACCTCTTTCTATAAGTAACATTATGTCAAGTTAGAAATTGATGAAGTTGGTAAAAACAAATAAATTTTCATGTAATACATATATAAAGTATAAATTAAGATTTGAAAAATGTTACTTAGGAATCCAGAGAATTACTAAAAATATTAAGATGTTAGAAAGAATTTGGTTATCACTTAATTATGGCTAGGAAATATGTTGACAAATACCAGAAATATTTCTAACTTGGAATCATGTTTACACCAGGATATCAGTGATCCACTTCTCACAAGATCACTTCCATACATCACTAAGAAAGTATTTGCTTAGTTGATATTTCTGAAATGGAGTTTAGTAAAAACCAGATTTCCTAAAAGATGTTAATTATTTGCTAGCTGAAAACTGAGGTGTCAGTGAGTAGGTAAGTGTGACTGTGTTGTAGTCTGGCAGTCATTGATCTATACACCATTAAGTCGGCCAGAACTCCAGTATACAGCACTGACAAGGCTTTAAACCAGGTCAATACAAGTTATTCATATCTTTGTGATTTGTTGAAATACAGGTAAGTTGTATTTATATTAATATAAGGTATGTTTATACATGTCTGGCATATGTCGTGTTCTGGTAGCTTGTTGTCACTGGGATTTAAACAGGTAGAGATATTTTTCCTTATCATTTAAAATAATTTCTTTCAGAAATTGAAGTCTTCAGCAAAGTTGCTAGACCACGGGTAGATCCAAGGAACGGTTTTCACCATGGTCAGCATTCCTGATTGGTCAAAGTTTGCTCGGGTGCAGGAGGGTCTCAAGGATTCCCGTAATGTGCACCTGAACAAATACTACAAACAGCGGGAGGAGGAAGCCATCCGCCAGGCTGAGGAGCGAGGGTACTTCAGGGTTCCCACACAAACCTATCTTCTTGAGGAAAATGATTTCCGTAATGGCAGGAAAGTGCATGAACTTGGCCAGCTACAGCTGGTGAAACTGGTTGGAGTACACCTTCGGAAGATTGGTGACATCGCTTACTGTGTAAATCTGCGTATCTGTATCCTCAACAATAACTTCCTCACTAAGATCGACGACCTTGCATCATGTCGCCAACTAGTCAAACTTGATCTGCGTAGTAACCAGGTGAGTACATAATGGAATACAGTAATGGAAACATACAATACTGTCCTCATGAAGACTTTTTATATAGTGATTTGTATGTTTATGGCCTTTGGTATATTGCCATACAGTTCTAGTTGTTAAAAAGGATTCAAACAACTATCAAAAAACTTGAAGATAATAGGCAATCACAACAAGCTCAGGATACCAAAATGATAATTTATTATCATTCGTCTACCGGTTTCGCCCGAAACATATGGGTTTCTTCAGGACCTTTCGGTATCCTGAGCTTGTTGCGATTGCCTATTATCTTCTAGTTCCTACTATTTTTCAATCGCCCTGCATACCTGGAGGTATCCAAGTAAGGGACCATGGAACCTATTATAACTTTACTAAAAGGCGTAGCCTCTACACCATCTTTGATATCAAAAATCTTGTAACATTTTTATATAAAAGATGAATGGACAAAGTATTCAGACCTAGGGTTGTTTATAGATTAAACAAGGATTAACTAAGGATGGATAGGATCAGCTGACAAGATTAGCTTATACACAACTAGAGCCACCTAATAAACATTTAGTTATCAATAACACAAATTTCTTGGACTTGTGCAGTAATTTGTCAAACTTGTAATTTTTCAGACTTGTAACTTGTCGCACTTGTATTTTATTAGACTTATGTTTCAGGCTGGTAATTATTCGGACTTGTAACTTGACTGACTTTAATTTTTCAGGCTGGTAATTTTGAGACTTGTAATTTTTCAGACATGAAATTTGTCAGACATGTAGTTTATCAGACTTGTTATTTTTCAAGTTTATAACTTTTCAGACTTGTAACATGACAGATTAGAATTTTTCAGGCTGGTAATTTTTCAGATTTGTCGCTTGTCTGACTTGATTTTTTTAGGCTGGTAATTTTTCAGACTTGTAATTTGTCGGATTTATAATAATAATGTTACATTACAGAATAAGTTCGTTAGGCTTTTGTGTCTAAATTAAATATTATGACTTAATGAAAAGACCATTATTAGATATTGGACTACAGTATGTTAATAGTAAAACTATGCAGGGGCCTTATTATATTAGCTGAAACATAATCAATATGCAGATCACAATGTTATATGGTGGTATTGTGGGAGATTTCACACATGATCTAGTCTCAATAGCGGCCTTTTATTCCCCTCAGACAAGATGTTAACATGAGTTGATTTAGGGAGATATCATCACAAAGCTTACGTCCTGATTATTATGAATGTCTATTAAAGCTCTCTCAATTATCTCTTTAATTCATCAAAGTTGAAGAATTTTGTCAAGTTTGTCGACGTTCTTAGAGTTTAAATTCCCACAGGGGGGCCAAAATATACTGCTGGATTTTTCCTGAACAGCTGAAAAAACGAATTGAACCAAACGTGATTGGAATTTTGTTCCTAACTGTGACACCAATGTAATAGTTATCATGATAATTTCCTGTGGGGCTGATTGCTGATATAAGTTTCTGATATATTAAACAGCATTTTATTTTTGTAGGTATATGGAATGAAATTGAGTTGTTGGTTTTTTTTTAAAATCATATCTGTTTTTTATATCTTATTTTTTCAAATTAATATTGATGGGTGAAAGGTCATACCTACTACATATTGAAGTTTTATGGATATTATCATTGATGTAAAAAAATACATTATAAAAAATTTGACATGTTTGAAGCCTGTGGTAATACAAGTCTTTATCTCGAGACAGGAGCTACAAAATTGTAGATGTTTACTTTTCATTACTGAGTCACACTGGAGTTGTATTACCCAGCTTGTGTATAGTTTGTGGTAATAATAAATATGCAAATCTTGGAGCTCACACAATAACTGTAGGACTGGATTATAATCATTAATAATGGTTTTGATGAAAAATATATCTTTGATCTGTCCTGTAGACAGTTTTGACTTTTTGAGAGACGGAAGGCTAGACTCACTGAGGTGTATAAAATCTCTATATTGATTAAGTGCTAATATCCTGGCAGCCCTTTATCAATCACCTACTGGAGATTTAACATCGGATCAATTTAAAGTATGTCATTCTAGAATTGAAAACACTTGAAAATAGATTAGTTTCCTTGAGGTTTATCATTATAGAGAAACAAGTGGAAGTTTTAATCGGGTAGGAACTCTTTAACATTGGCATGTAAATGTTAGATGGTGAAATATTGACCTTTAGAAACATTCTAACCATGAATATTACCAAGTTGAGTTAGCAGGAATTCCTGTACCATGTTGTACAGACCTTGGTGGCTTTAAAAACCAGTTGACAGATAATTAACATACATGAGTCTTTGTAGAAACCATTACCAAGTCTGTGTGTATATACTTTTGGTATATATCTAGTAAACAATTTATTGTCCTTTCTGTCAGATCCACCGAAGAAAATGTAGACTTTAAATACCCAGCTATATAGATCACTGCTTTTCTTGAATATGTTGAGTTACAATGAAGGTTTTTATCTCTTTGGTAGGAGTGTCATAACTGATAACTTTCTGAAAGCTTGTCACACGTACTGAGCGAAAACTTCACCTTTTGGAATGTCAACAGGTTAAAACTGTATATGTTATAGAGGTTATCATTTTTCATTTTTCTCAGGAATCGAACCAAGGACCTCTGGTTTACTAGTCTTACACTCTAACAATAGAGCCAAAGAGCGGTGTCAGTAGAAAGTGACTAGTTTTTACCTGGGTTACATTTATGGAATTTATAACATGTATGTAGTAAGAGCCAACGTCAGTTGTGAATAAGTGGGTATTAGGTGGGTACTTCGCTGTGAATATGGATACGACAGGCATACAGGGCGATTTAACAAGGAATAAAAGTATGTTCAATGAAGATATTAATCACAACATGCTCACGTATTACCTGTTAAGTTTAGTTTTTATTCTGTCTACTAGTTTTGCCTCTACGGCAGAGGCTTCATCAGGATAAAATTTCTCAGAATTTTTCCCCTGAAGTACTCTCAGGGAGGAAAAATGTTAACCGTGACCTAATGGACAATTGACCGGAACTTCTGTACTTGTTAACTTTTATAAGTTGGTTATGTAAATGACTATTCATACATTGAAATTAAAAATTAAACAGAAAATTAAAAATTAAGTGTTCATATTTCCATAAGAGAAATTGGTGTCAGTATCTGATACCTTTGGGGTTACTCTCATTCTATGTCCTTTGGTAATTGATAATGATTAATATCTTCATGTTTGAAGTTAGAAATAATGAATTAAATCAATGATAGAGGCACAATTTTATCTATAACTGTTCGGCTAGGGTAGTTGTTATCACCTGGGCATGTTACAGTGTTTCTTGTGTACTATACTGTACATAAATTAACATGTATCTGCAGTTATTACCATAAGATTAGTTGATGTAATTTATTCCGACTATAAAAAGATAAAGTTGGTTATCATGTAGCTATGTCATGTTAACTCTTTCATTTACTGAGCAATAAGAAATTTATAATTGTGTAAAGATTATTTTTTTAACTTCATTATCATGAAATAATTACCTTTTTTACACTTACTATCCATGTCTTGAGCAAGTATCGTAAAATTTCACACCCTGGAAAAATAAGCACCTATTAGCTCCCATGTAACAAAAATGGTGGTTAAATATGTTTTGAATGACAGCATAAGTTTCATCTCAATTTTGCATTAAATTTTTCACAGGAAAATCATATTAAGGGTGGTAAGCAACAGGCATCTTGTTACATTCTATTTCAGTTCACCTGTCATAATTTTGTCTATCGGAACTTTTGAGAAAACAAGGCACAGAAGTTCAGTCTTTGAATGATAAAGTAATTTTAATGGACACTTCCAACATGATTTTTAACCAGCTTTATAAAGGAGATAATTTGTATATTTGTATTACTATGTTTTTATTAATCAGGAGCTTCCCAACATCTGTTACAGCTCAGCAGTATCCCCGGAGTGGCATTCTGGTCTGGAATGAGGAAGCTAAAAATTATACATCTCCATGACAACCCACTTGGAAAGTACGAAACATTACAAAACTTGGCAACATGTCCGTCACTGATGGCGCTTACTCTGTATGACACACCACTCAGTCTGAAACGAAACTATCGACACCATGTTGTCAACAGTATCTGGTCACTCAAGGCTTTAGACCACCATGTTATATCTGATGAAGAAATCATCGAGGATGCCATCTTTGGTGGAAGGTTCGGAACACTACATCCAGCTTTCAGGACTGATCTATGCCCCCCTACATTGGAGGTAGGTGTATCACTATTCCTACAGGACTGATCTGTGTCCACCTACATTGGAGGTAGGTGTATTACTTTTCCTACAGGACTTATCTATGCCTCCTACATTTGAGGTAGGTGTATTACTTATCCTACAGAACAGATCTATGCCACCCTACATTTGAGGTAGGTGTATTACTTATCCTACAGAACAGATCTATGCCCCCCTACATTGGAGGTAGGTGTATTACTTATCCTACAGAACAGATTAATGCCACCCTACATTGGAGGTAGGTGTATTACTTATCCTACAGAACAGATCTATGCCCCCCTACATTGGAGGTAGGTGTATTACTTATCCTACAGAACAGATTAATGCCACCCTACATTGGAGGTAGGTGTATTACTTATCCTACAGGACTGATCTATGCCCCCCTACATTGGAGGTAGGTGTATCACTATTCCTACGGGACTGATCTATGTCCACCTACATTGGAGGTAGGTGTATTACTTATCCTACAGAACAGATTAATGCCACCCTACATTGGAGGTAGGTGTATTACTTTTTCTACAGAACAGATCTATGCTCTCTCCCCTCTAAATTGGAGGTAGGTGTATTACTTTTCCTTGATAAGCCAAGGGATCTGTGCCACCTATGATAGAAGTACTTACTCTGTAACAGTTGAAGATTTAATCTGAGATGCAATCATATCATTGTCAGTAGAATTACTGTGTAAAAGAAAGTAGGATGTTGTCACAAGAGTTTAAAGGTGGATGTTTTATTTACTGTAGGACTCCGACTTCCAAGAGGAGTTGTATACTGTTTATCTAGTGGAGGCCTACATCAATCATATCCAGGCACACCATTCTCCCGTCCTCATCATACAGCGCTTCATGAGAGGTTATCTCACTAGGAAAAGGTAAACACACAGTATATAAACTAGGAGTCATTTTACAGGGCCAGGATTCTGTGAAAATATAGGAATATATTTATACAGGACTGGTCTCAATGGAAATAAAGAAAATCAAAAATGTCAACATGAAAGAATCTTTCAATGAAATGGACAACCATGTTCAAATCTTCCATTATAAATACTTATGTAGGAACTGACCATTATTGAGCTATATGGGTCACCAAAATCAACTGAAATATACCTGTCTATAAAGAACACTTTTTGTTTGTTAATGAAAACACTGACATCTGTTTCTGAAAACCAGATTTGGACACCTTGGACAGAAGCTCAGTCAGTTGAAGCAAAGTGGTGACCTGTCATTGATTCCGTCAGAGCTGATCCCCCCACCCCCAAGCTCCTCCCCAGCGTTTGGTGCCAGTGCCAGCGGCCAGGAGGTAACCGTACCTGGAAGTTTAAGCATGGACTATGATTCTTATATAAAAAGCCGTCAACCTGACACTTCACCAGCGCCACCTAGTGAAGGAACAATCACATCTGTTGCAAAACCTACAACCTCAGAGGTAAGAAAACAGATACTGTAGTACAATTTTCTTTTGTACATTACAGAGTTAGATTACTGACATGTATGGCCAGTAACCTATATGACCTTTATGTATTCTACACATAATAGATATCTTATCTCTGTGACTTTCAAATGTAAAACTTTTGTTTGTTTACAGAGTATAATAACCAACCCATGTGACCTTTGACCTGCAAAATCTTTGTATAGCATAGAAACCTGACCTATATAACCTTTGACTTTTTGATCTTTATATGCTACAGAGAGTAGATAATAACTGACCTATATGACCTTTGACATTTTCATCTTTGTATGTTACAGAGTGTAGATGAGCCGCACCCAACACCATTAGAGGGTCAGACACCAGTCCAGGATGATGATATTGGCACACCAAAAAAACGGAAAAATCTTCTTATCAACCTCGCAAAGCTTCAAACAGGAACATTTTCAAGTTTGTACGATGAAGGTATTGCTGTAGAGACAATCTTGCCTGAAAACTCACGTGAGAAGCTTACAACTGCAACTGAAAAGAAATCACGTCGCAAGAAAAGGAAAGAAAATCCAAAGAAAGTGGTCAAAAGTGTTAAACAGTTTTTTGGCCCTATTGTTGAGTCATCCCCAGCCCAAGAAGAATCTCCAAGGGAGGAGGAAGATGACACACAAATCACAGAGTACCGTCTGAGGGGAATTAAACCTGATGTCATGTACCTTGATGCCACAACAGAAATGATTCTGTCAAAGCAGGAAGCAGGTCGTCTAGTAAGGGATGCAGAGGATGAAATTCACATGAGAGCAAGGGATCTACCCAAACCCAAAATCACTCCTCGCAAGTCTGTCAACACTAACCAACGCATGTTTGCTCGTGTGCACGGCACCATGGGAATCTCCAGCTTGTTGGCTGTCCATCAAGCATATCGTGATCGGGAAAAAGCTGAACAGACTGCAGCCAAAATGGAACACATACTTACAATGCGCGATGAACGTGATAGGGCAAAGGAGAGAATACGTCTTCATAATGATGAGAAACGTAATATGGCTCTGCGAAAGCGTGATGCTGAACGAAGCCAGATGCTGGAAATTCTGGAGAAGAAGGAGATGAAAAGACTAAGTTACTTGGAGAAACGTACGGATTTGAAGGCAAAGTCTTCAGACTATAATAGATCTTACAAAACAGACTTCGCTTTTATCACTGAATTCAACAATCAGCATACATCCGTGTCAAATGCTCTGATGCGACATGACAAGCAAGCCCGCACTGAGGATCACATCAATCTGAAGACAGACATGGTTCAGACACATAACACTGCCAAGGTGGAGCAGCAGGAACTTGTAAAGAAATACATGGAGCACCGTCAACTGATGAGGCAGACTGAAGCAGCTATGGCTCGGGCCACACTGGATACACGTATGTTACAGGAAGCCAATGACCGTCTTTTCGAAGCCAAATCTCGTGTGGCCCAACAAAAAGCACGTAGAGAGACTGTACAAACTTTCTACCCCCTCCCACAACATGTTACTCCAGCCCCTGGGGCCAGCAACACTGAGCTCCCTGCTGTTAGCCCAGGGGCTACGCGATTTGAGGCAAATATCATTATGAATCAGGGCCGTGTGGGTAAGCACCCCACTTTACTCACATGAGCATAACTCCAGTAGCAGGTTGCTGGCAAACTCAATGATGTAAACCAGGCATTAGACAGGGTAACCATAGAATTAAAAACAAGAATTTGTGAGATTAAAGGATCAATTTATCAAGGCACTTTTACATGATTTAGTTATTAATGATGAAATTTTAGCCCAAATTACACAATACAGCCATGTCAGCTTGTTATATAATCTTTATACTTTTAAAACCAATAATTTTTACTTTTTAGTAGAGGTGATGATGAAATCTGGTATTCTAACATACTTATGTCTGATTAATGCAGGTCCCTATATACACAAGTTCTTATCAAATACATTGCTTTTAGTTTAATAACTGGTCCCTAGTGATAGGTCAGGACACACACAAATTCTGATTTAATCTGAAGTCTGGGGTTGTACATCGTCCTTAGTAACAAGTCCCTAGTGATAGGTCAGGAAACACACAAATTCTGATTTAATCTGAAGTGTGGAGTTGTACATTGTCCTTAGTAACAAGTCCCTAGTGATAGGTCAGGATGCACACAAGTTCTGATTTAATCTGAAGTCTAGAGTTGTACATCGTCCTTAGTCCCTAGTGACGGTTTGCCATTATATCTATATTTAGAAGTTGCCCTGGTTGAGTGACAGATTTTTTAACGTAGACCTGCAGTTTAGCCGTTCTGTGATATACCTGATTAAAATAGCCACCAACTGCTGATTTAATTGTAAAGCTGTGATAATGAGATGTTAGGCTGCTCATGTTATGGTGCTTTGTCCATCTAGCATAGAACTGTTTTTTGAAGCAGTTTCCAATGACTGAGAGACACATGATGGTAAAGAAGAGCTATCAAGTTCGTTCATATGATTGGTGTCAAACTGTTAAATTACTTGTGAATTGCCAACAGCCGGGCAGAAATGACAAAATCCATGTTATTTATTATTTTTTGAAGCCTGTTTCAATATACCGTACCACTGTGATGTTACATCGGGTTAGAAGATTTACCAGATGAGCCATACAGGTCCATTGGACCTCTTGTTTAAATTTACTATGTGCTTTATAAATTTTATTATTTTATAGATCATGTTTTTGTATATACGTTTTTTACAGTCTTACTGAAATGTTATTGATATATGTGTTGTTTTCTGACTCAATCACTTAAACTAAATATATTTACTGTCCTGTGATCTCTACAGGATCTGTTGACCTCATGAGAGTATTCCATTAAACTAAATATATTTACTGTCCTGTGATCTCTACAGGATCTGTTGACCTCATGAGAGTATTCCATTAAACTAAATATATTTACTGTCCTGTGATCTCTACAGGATCTGTTGACCTCATGAGAGTATTCCATTAAACTAAATATATTTACTGTCCTGTGATCTCTACAGGATCTGTTGACCTCATGAGAGTATTCCATTAAACTAAATATATTTACTGTCCTGTGATCTCTACAGGATCTGTTGACTTGTGAGAGTTGATGTAACAATCACATAAATAAACTATATCTCTGAATTACGTTGTCCTGTTATACATTCACAGGAAAGGTCAGTAACGTCACATTTACACCAGAAATGTCCCAACATGTCCAATATACTGCAGTTTAAGGCTTTGACTCAAAGTGTTAAGTGTGTTCATAATCAGGAGGCTTTAATTGTTAAGTTCCATGCTTGTGTACATTGTATTGCATAAAAACATGGAAATGTAACTAGAATTATCCAATCAAAATGATGCTAAATAAAGCACAACATGTTTCGTTTAAATTCATTCTTCTGAATGTCACAATCAATCAGACTAGATTGATCAGGAGAGGAGATCACCAGTCAGGATAACTATACTGGAAAAAAGGGCATTTACTTCAAAATCAATGAATAAAAAAATCATGTTACATTGACAAAACAATCCGACATAAATATGTCCATTGATCATACGAGAACCTGTCAGGGACTCCATCAAAGTGAGATTTGGTGCATTGGCAAAACTGCTGTACTGGCAAACTGACTGGTCAATCAGTAGAATGGCCCTTCTCAATGTTGAGGAACTACTGTGGTAGAGTGGCCTTTCTAAACATCAAGGAGACTACCTGTGTTAGAATTACTCTACATCACTTATTTTTAGTAATTTTATGTTTTAATTGACCAAATACAAGTAAAACAACTACAGTTCAGAAACAAAGTTTATTTTTAAAAAAAATCAGTTCTACAACATGTATAGAAGACAAATGTAATGGATAAAAGCTTTCCCAAATAAAACGAGTTTCTGGCTTAATTGAAAACTGGTGACTTATCACTGACCATCATCAAGGATTATTTTTCAAACATTTGCTTCAGGTTGGTAATGTCTAGAATAAAATTTCTTACAATACAACCAGTAGAAGGTTTAGGTGCGATGTTTCGATAACTACACTGTCACCTTCATCAGAAAAATGACCAATGTGAAGTGTACAAAACTGATGTAGGCAGTTTACAAGATGGTAAGAATCAACCAAGATTTTCTGTTGTACTATAATCCTTTGTACATTAAGGTAAAAAGAAACACATCACCTATACGCTTACATGCTCTAATGCTACACCCAGCCTGTGCTCTACAACTCCCAATGTTAACCCCACACCTTGTACTCCTATGTCCTCCAATGTTAACCCCCCCCCCTCCTTCTTCTTATATTCTTTCACCCTTCAATGTTAAACCCCCTCCTCTCCCTGTACTCCTACATCCTCCATTGTTGCCCCCCCTCTCCATCCTTCCCTGTACACCTGCACCTTCCAATGTTGCCCCCTCCTCCCCTATGTACACTTACACCATCCAATGTTGCCCCCCATCCTCTACCTGTACACCTACACCTTCCAGTGTTGCCCCCTCCTTCTCCCCTATGTACACCTACACCCTCCAATGTTAGCCAGCCCCCTATCCTCCCCCTGTACACCTACACTCTCCAATGTTAGCCAGCCCCCTACCCTCCCCCTGTACACCTACACCCTCCAATGTTAGCCAGCCCCCTATCCTCCCCCTGTACACCTACACTCTCCAATGTTAGCCAGCCCCCCATCCTCCCCCTGTACACCTACACCCTCCAATGTTAGCCAGGCCCCCCATCCACCCCTGTACACCTACACTCTCCAATGTTAGCCAGGCCCCCCATCCACCCCTGTACACCTACACTCTCCAATGTTACCCCCTCCCCCACCTTCCATCCACCCATAATACTCCTACAATGTTAAAACCCCATTCTCTGTACTACACCAAGACAAGTTTATACAATTTGACAGCTGTAAAACCAGTCTCCTGTCATCAACAATACATTACTGCTAATTTGTATTACATGTACATATCTGGTAACTCTTTATCAGATACCCAGGTATTATAACAGAACTACTAAACTTGCAAAAAAATAAAATTAAAAAAAAAAAGCAATCAAGTCTGAAGTAAAAACATTTTATACAACATATTTTTGTTAATTTTGTGGGTACTCAATATCCACAAATGATATGTCACATACTGTTGAAATTAGTATGAATAGACTTCTAGTATTTTCTTGAAAAATCATGAAAACTTATCCCAATGAAAATATTGGAGTTTACAGATGCACAAAGAAATGGCAGATACTCAACACAAAGCTCAATTAAATGGTAGGTACTCGACACAAAACACAGAGAAATGGTAGGTACTCGACACAAAACACAGAGAAATGGTAGGTATTCAACACAAAACACAGAGAAATGGTAGGTACTCGACACAAAACACAGAGAAATGGTAGGTACTCGACACAAAACACAGAGAAATGGTAGGTACTCGACACAAAACACACAGAAATGGTAGGCACTCGACACAAACACAAAGAAATGGAAAGGGACCTACTCAAAACATTTATCAAGAAACTAGAGTATTTAAGAAAAAATACTTTTAAATCTATCATCTACATGCACATTGAGTAAATACAGGTAAAATATTGGTTATGTGTCAACACATAAGAAGGTCATCTTAAAAAACAAAGTGGAATATGACAAAAGTGTAAAAGAGACATTATCATTTCATTCTTGTAAAATACTGAGCTAGCTTAAGTGGATGAATATCAGTCTAAAAATCAACATGGATTTAATTCCAAACAGAAATGTAACCTTTTTTAGAGTGTCCATGTTACCCCTTGAATACAACACGTAAAGTTATTTCCCTGTTGCTAGTCATCTGCTGCCGGATACTCTCAGATGAATTTCTTGTCAGCTGGTTCTGTAGAGTGTGTGTCTAGTATCGGTAGAGTGTGAGTCTAGTATCAGTAGAGTGTGACTCTAGCATCAGTGAAGTGTGTGTCTAGTATCAGTGGAGTGTGTATCTAGTATCGACAGAGTGTGACTCTAGCATCAGTGGAGTGTGTGTCTAGTATTGGTATAGTGTGTATCTAGTATCGGCAGAGTGTGACTCTAGCATCAGTGGAGTGTGTGTCTAGTATCGGTGGAGTGTGTGTCTAGTATCGGTAGAGTTTTGAGTCTAGTAACGGTAGCGTGTGTGACTAGTATCAGTAGAGTGTGAGTCTAGTATCAGTAGAGTGTGACTCTAGTATCAGTAGAGTTTGAGTCTCGTATCAGTGGAGCATGTGTCTCGTATCAGTGAAGTGTGAGTCTAGTATCAGTGGAGTATGACTCTAGTATCAGTGGAGTATGACTCTAGTATCAGTAGAGTGTGAGTCTAGTATCAGTAGAGTGTGTGTCTAGTATCTGGATCTGGAGCCACTGGATAAAAATCCTAGTCTCTCTGAAAATTCATGAATAGAAAGACTGATCCAATGCCTGGAAATGATGAATCAGTTGGATTGATTAGAGCATCTATCTTTAGTTTGAAGGTTACATATGACCTAACAAATTTGTTTTAAAAACTATTGTTGGGCAGTCTTTTCTCAGAAAACATAACAGATCAAGATTATCAATAAATAGGACAACATTAAATCAACAATAATATGTGTATACTAAACACGATAAAAACTGAACACTTCTAAGGACTTTCTGAACTGAAATCTGTCAATCATCAGGACCAAAAATCATGATCAGGTTAAAATTTACACCACACTGGCATATGGTATATCCTGTTTTATTCAACCTAGAATACAGACATACCAGACTGCATCTTGCTATGAGTCTAACCATTGAAATTGGATCAGTTGAGACCTTGTTTGACTGTGACAAAATATTTATCATTAAGAAAGGTACTATTTGACCTTTACCTTTGACTCCATGATGTTAAGCACTGGTTAGTTGATACCTTATTTGATACCTTGACCTTCAGTCAGGCTCCTCATTTGTTCATTGCGATCAACTTTGGGTTATAATGCGATAGCCAATTACTTATCGCTGAAATATTCAAATTTTAACGTTGACCTTAGACCTTGACCTGTAGTCAAGTGTCTTTATCATAATGTAAAAAGAAAATATTTTCCAGTAAAACAATTGAAATCTAACCATGGCCTTTTACATGATGACCTTGACATGTGGTCAGGTCACATATGATTTCATTCAATCAAGTATCATTATATCATAGTAAATATTTACTATTAACATTGTTGTGTGACATATTTTTGCTGTATTTTCTTATTTCTGAATATGATAATGGTGACCTCAACCTTTGACCTATGAACACAAAATGCAATTGAAAGCTAGCACCTCGAGTAAAGAGACAATGGAAAAAGTCAGAGTGCAACCATCCTAACAGAACTATGTAATGATTTTTTGCAGAAACTGACTTATATAACATGAACCTTTAACCTCAGGACCCGGAAGCCACTCAGAAGCTGGCATTTCCTTCCAAGAAGCTTTAAGCGAAGTTTGAGTGCAATTGTTTGACGTGATGAATTTGACCTGTGACAAGATGACTTCTCATTTGGTCATCCCTTCAGGTAAAACTCGTCAATGGTCATCCCCTCAGGTAAAACTTGTTAATGGTCATCCCCTAAGGTAAGACTTGTTAATGGTCATCCCCTAAGGTAAGACTTGTTAATGGTCATCCCCTAAGGTAAGACTTGTTAATGGTCATCCCCTCAGGTAAAACTTGAAATCATCCCCAGGTAAGAAATGGTCTAAGGTAAGACTTGTTAATGGTCATCCCCTCAGGTAAAACTTGTTAATGGTCATCCCCTAAGGTAAGACTTGTTAATGGTCATCCCCTATGGTAAGACTTGTTAATGGTCACCCCTCAAAGTGAAATTCATAAATGGTCATCTCTCGAAGTGAAATTTATTAATGGTCATCCCTCAAGGTAAAATTCATTAATGGTCATCTCTCTTGGCAAAATTCATTAATGGTAATCCCTTTAGTGTAAAACACATAAACACACAGGTATAAGTATAGCTTACCGGGTATGTAACAACATCTCCAGGAAATCACCTGGTCCATTGTTACTCTTTAAACACAGCTTAAAAGGAGTTATTATCACATAAGCACATTACTGCCAAAATATAATATTACAGAAAACAACTTAACAAAGAATAAATATTTCCTTAATAAAATTTAGGATTTACAGAATAAACAACTTTATTGGGTGCTATTGTAAACATACAACAACAATGTTATCTGCAGTTTACTGGCCTAGCCAGTCGTTCCTTTCTGAACAACTCCAATGATAACAAATACTGATACTAAAACTGTATCCAGATCTTGAGAGGTAGATCAACCTTGACCTATAATAAACGTCCTTGACCTAATTTGTTGGCCTACATCTGGAGATGGTCGATGACAGCATGTGTGAAGTCACTGGTAGACGAGTAGCCGCCCATGTCTTTTGTTCTAATCTGAAAAAAGAAATGATGAAATTTATTTGTATGCAGTAATTAAAAATCTTTCTTGAAGGGTTTAAAGCCCAACACAGTTTTTCAACATTGACCACTCTGCAAGTGTTTCGCTGACTTTATGAACAATAACACCGACCTCTGCACATTCAATGGCATACCTTTTCTTATAGCTCATATCATCTGCAGACTAACTCTAGTTTAATCAAACAAGTTAATTAGGTGCAATACAGTCCCCCACTGACACGCTGCCTCACCAAGTGAACCCAAAGTATTAACGTTCCAGTGATTAGTTGTGTAGAAGATAGGGTCCAGACAATTTTTTTTCATTAATGTCGGTCAAGTCAAAATTTGAGTCAAAGTGATCTAAATTTTCATACTCAACACAACATCTCACCAAGGTTAAGCCATTTCTGTAGTATAAAGTTCCCATGATTAAAAGTGTGGAAGATAGTGCCTAGACAAGTTTTTTCTTTGATGTAGGTCTAAGGTCAAAATGTAGATCAGAGTGACCTACTTTTGATATGCCATACACTACCTTGCCAAGGTGAAGCAATTTCCCAAGTATTAAGTTCCTGTGATTAGATGTGTAGAAGATTTGGGCTGAACAAGATAGAACATGAAGGGCAGGAGGAAGGATGAGCAATAGGCCATTCAATGAAATAAACTTGGTAGCCTTCATCACAGCATGTTACAGAATCAATATCTGTAACCTGGTAATTTAGGCTATGGATGGGAAGTTATTTAAAAATTTTAACACATTTGACCCCATGACCTTGAAAGTGAGATGGAATCACGAATTTAAACAAACCTGGTAGCCCCCAATCACAGCAAGCTAATGGCCAAACAAAAACACCCTGAACTGGTAATTAGTTGTGGAAAAGAAGAATTTGTGTAAAGCCAGACAGATAATGGATGCTGCACAAAAGCATAAATTCGCTTGTCCTCAAGACAGGTGTAGCAAAGATAAAGATCATCATTTCATTTGGAAAATGTTTTAAGCTTACTCTCCTTGAGCGATAACCTCTTTAAATTTGATCTGTTAATTGCTGACCCTGAATACAAGGACCCTAGCACCTCTTGATGAATCTGGAGAGTGTGATCTCCGAGACTTAGACCAACTCTGAATAAAAGGACCCTAGCACCCTTGATGAATCTGGTGAGTGTGATCTCCGAGACTTAGACTGACCCTGAATACAAGGACCCTAGCACATCTTGATGAATCTGGAGATAGTGACGTCTATGGTTGACCCATGATATAAAGATTCGACATATGTGTAAAGATTGTAAGCTTTATGGACTCAGAGAGAGTAACCTCTACTATGTATCGAAAATCATTTCTTTGACCTTCAGATAACTTTACCAATACTGATCTCTGCAATTCCCCATAATTAAACACTTTAGGGTAATCTCTGAGATCTTAGATGATAATTACATGTACCTCTATGATCCATATAACATGACTTTTGATGATTCATGATAATATAACACCCTCCCTCACCTGTGATGAAGTGCGATATAGCACCCACCCACACCTGTGATGAAGTTTGATATAGCACCCTCCCTCACCTGTGATGAAGCTTGATATAGCACCCTTCCACACCTGTGATGAAGTTTGATATAGCACCCTCCCTCACCTGTGATGAAGTTTGATATAGCACAGCTACCTGGCCTGTGATGAAGCTTGATATAGCACCCTTCCACACCTGTGATGAAGCTTGATATAGCACCCTTCCACACCTGTGATGAAGTTTGATATAGCACCCTTCCACACCTGTTGTGAAGTTTGATATAGCACCCTTCCACACCTGTTGTGAAGTTTGATATAGCACCCTCCCTCACCTGTGATGAAGTTTGATATAGCACCCTCCCTCACCTGTGATGAAGTTTGATATAACACCCTCCCTCACCTGTGATGAAGTGCGATATAGCACCCACCCACACCTGTGATGAAGTTTGATATAGCACCCTTCCACACCTGTGATGAAGTTTGATATAGCACCCTCCCTCACCTGTGATGAAGCTTGATATAGCACCCTCCCTCACCTGTGATGAAGTTTGATATAGCACCCTTCCACACCTGTTGTGAAGTTTGATATAGCACCCTTCCACACCTGTGATGAAGTTTGATATAGCACCCTCCCTCACCTGTGATGAAGTTTGATATAGCACCCTTCCACACCTGTGATGAAGTTTGATATAGCACCCTTCCACACCTGTGATGAAGTTTGATATAGCACCCTTCCACACCTGTGATGAAGTTTGATATAGCACCCTTCCACACCTGTTGTGAAGTTTGATATAGCACCCTTCCACACCTGTGATGAAGTTTGATATAGCACCCTTCCACACCTGTGATGAAGTTTGATATAGCACCCTTCCACACCTGTTGTGAAGTTTGATATAGCACCCTTCCACACCTGTGATGAAGTTTGATATAGCACCCTTCCACACCTGTTGTGAAGTTTGATATAGCACCCTTCCACACCTGTGATGAAGTTTGATATAGCACAGCTACCTGGCCTGTGATGAAGTTTGATATAGCACCCTTCCACACCTGTGATGAAGTTTGATATAGCACAGCTACCTGGCCTGTGATGAAGTTTGATATAGCACCCTTCCACACCTGTGATGAAGTTTGATATAGCACCCTTCCACACCTGTGATGAAGTTTGATATAGCACCCTTCCACACCTGTGATGAAGTTTGATATAGCACCCTCCCTCACCTGTGATGAAGTTTGATATAGCACCCTTCCACACCTGTAATGAAGTTTGATATAGCACCCTCCCTCACCTGTGATGAAGTTTGATATAGCACAGCTACCTGGCCTGTGATGAAGTTTGATATAGCACCCTTCCACACCTGTGATGAAGTTTGATATATCACCCTCCCTCACCTGTGATGAAGTTTGATATAGCACAGCTACCTGGCCTGTGATGAAGTTTGATATAGCACCCTTCCACACCTGTTGTGAAGTTTGATATAGCACCCTTCCACACCTGTGATGAAGTTTGATATAGCACCCTTCCACACCTGTGATGAAGTTTGATATAGCACCCTCCCTCACCTGTGATGAAGTTTGATATAGCACCCTTCCACACCTGTAATGAAGTTTGATATAGCACCCTCCCTCACCTGTGATGAAGTTTGATATAGCACCCTTCCACACCTGTTGTGAAGTTTGATATAGCACCCTTCCACACCTGTGATGAAGTTTGATATAGCACCCTTCCACACCTGTGATGAAGTTTGATATAGCACCCTTCCACACCTGTGATGAAGTTTGATATAGCACCCTTCCACACCTGTGATGAAGTTTGATATAGCACCCTCCCTCACCTGTAATGAAGTTTGATATAGCACCCTCCCTCACCTGTGATGAAGTTTGATATAGCACAGCTACCTGGCCTGTGATGAAGTTTGATATAGCACCCTTCCACACCTGTGATGAAGTTTGATATATCACCCTCCCTCACCTGTGATGAAGTTTGATATAGCACAGCTACCTGGCCTGTGATGAAGTTTGATATAGCACCCTTCCACACCTGTTGTGAAGTTTGATATAGCACCCTTCCACACCTGTGATGAAGTTTGATATAGCACCCTTCCACACCTGTGATGAAGTTTGATATAGCACCCTCCCTCACCTGTGATGAAGTTTGATATAGCACCCTTCCACACCTGTAATGAAGTTTGATATAGCACCCTCCCTCACCTGTGATGAAGTTTGATATAGCACCCTTCCACACCTGTTGTGAAGTTTGATATAGCACCCTTCCACACCTGTGATGAAGTTTGATATAGCACCCTTCCACACCTGTGATGAAGTTTGATATAGCACCCTTCCACACCTGTGATGAAGTTTGATATAGCACCCTTCCACACCTGTGATGAAGTTTGATATAGCACCCTCCCTCACCTGTAATGAAGTTTGATATAGCACCCTCCCTCACCTGTGATGAAGTTTGATATAGCACAGCTACCTGGCCTGTGATGAAGTTTGATATAGCACCCTTCCACACCTGTGATGAAGTTTGATATATCACCCTCCCTCACCTGTGATGAAGTTTGATATAGCACAGCTACCTGGCCTGTGATGAAGTTTGATATAGCACCCTTCCACACCTGTTGTGAAGTTTGATATAGCACCCTTCCACACCTGTGATGAAGTTTGATATAGCACCCTTCCACACCTGTGATGAAGTTTGATATAGCACCCTCCCTCACCTGTGATGAAGTTTGATATAGCACCCTTCCACACCTGTAATGAAGTTTGATATAGCACCCTCCCTCACCTGTGATGAAGTTTGATATAGCACCCTTCCACACCTGTTGTGAAGTTTGATATAGCACCCTTCCACACCTGTGATGAAGTTAAATATAGCACCCTTCCACACCTGTTGTGAAGTTTGATATAGCACCCTTCCACACCTGTGATGAAGTTTGATATAGCACCCTTCCACACCTGTGATGAAGTTTGATATAGCACAGCTACCTGGCCTGTAATGAAGTTTTATATAGCACCCTCCCTCACCTGTGATGAAGTTTGATATAGCACCCTTCCACACCTGTGATGAAGTTTGATACAGCACCCTTCCACACCTGTGATGAAGTTTGATATAGCACCCTTCCACACCTGTTGTGAAGTTTGATATAGCACCCTTCCACACCTGTGATGAAGTTTGATAAAGCACCCTTCCACACCTGTGATGAAGTTTGATATAGCACCCTTCCACACCTGTTGTGAAGTTTGATATAGCACCCTTCCACACCTGTGATGAAGTTTGATATAGCACCCTTCCACACCTGTGATGAAGTTTGATATAGCACCCTTCCACACCTGTGATGAAGTTTGATATAGCACCCTTCCACACCTGTTGTGAAGTTTGATATAGCACCCTTCCACACCTGTGATGAAGTTTGATATAGCACCCTTCCACACCTGTGATGATGTTTGATATAGCACCCTTCCACACCTGTTGTGAAGTTTGATATAGCACCCTTCCACACCTGTGATGAAGTTTGATATAGCACCCTTCCACACCTGTGATGAAGTTTGATATAGCACCCTTCCACACCTGTTGTGAAGTTTGATATAGCACCCTTCCACACCTGTGATGAAGTTTGATATAGCACCCTTCCACACCTGTGATGAAGTTTGATATAGCACCCTTCCACACCTGTGATGAAGTTTGATATAGCACCCTTCCACACCTGTGATGAAGTTTGATATAGCACCCTTCCACACCTGTGATGAAGTTTGATATAGCACCCTTCCACACCTGTGATGAAGTTTGATATAGCACCCTCCCTCACCTGTGATGAAGTTTGATATAGCACCCTTCCACACCTGTTGTGAAGTTTGATATAGCACCCTTCCACACCTGTGATGAAGTTTGATATAGCACCCTTCCACACCTGTGATGAAGTTTGATATAGCACCCTTCCACACCTGTTGTGAAGTTTGATATAGCACCCTTCCACACCTGTGATGAAGTTTGATATAGCACCCTTCCACACCTGTTGTGAAGTTTGATATAGCACCCTTCCACACCTGTGATGAAGTTTGATATAGCACAGCTACCTGGCCTGTGATGAAGTTTGATATAGCACCCTTCCACACCTGTGATGAAGTTTGATATAGCACAGCTACCTGGCCTGTGATGAAGTTTGATATAGCACCCTTCCACACCTGTGATGAAGTTTGATATAGCACCCTTCCACACCTGTGATGAAGTTTGATATAGCACCCTCCCTCACCTGTGATGAAGTTTGATATAGCACAGCTACCTGGCCTGTGATGAAGTTTGATATAGCACCCTTCCACACCTGTGATGAAGTTTGATATAGCACCCTTCCACACCTGTGATGAAGTTTGATATAGCACCCTTCCACACCTGTGATAAAGTTTGATATAGCACCCTCCCTCACCTGTGATGAAGTTTGATATAGCACCCTTCCACACCTGTAATGAAGTTTGATATAGCACCCTCCCTCACCTGTGATGAAGTTTGATATAGCACCCTTCCACACCTGTTGTGAAGTTTGATATAGCACCCTTCCACACCTGTGATGAAGTTTGATATAGCACCCTTCCACACCTGTGATGATGTTTGATATAGCACCCTTCCACACCTGTTGTGAAGTTTGATATAGCACCCTTCCACACCTGTGATGAAGTTTGATATAGCACCCTTCCACACCTGTGATGAAGTTTGATATAGCACCCTTCCACACCTGTTGTGAAGTTTGATATAGCACCCTCCCTCACCTGTGATGAAGTTTGATATAGCACCCTTCCACACCTGTGATGAAGTTTGATATAGCACCCTTCCACACCTGTGATGAAGTTTGATATAGCACCCTTCCACACCTGTGATGAAGTTTGATATAGCACCCTCCCTCACCTGTGATGAAGTTTGATATAGCAACCTCCCACACCTGTGATGAAGTTTGATATAGCACAGCTACCTGGCCTGTGATGAAGTTTGATATAACACATCTACCTTCCCTATGATGAAGTTTGAAATAGCACCCTCCAAGACCTCTTATGACCTACCTTGCCAGCTTTGATCACCCTTGTGATAGCATCTTGTATAATCTTTGCGTGGTACTCCAAGTGCATGTGTTTCAGCATGTTACAGCCACTCAGTAACACAGCTGTAGGGTTGGCAATGTTCTTACCAACGGCCTCTGCATAGGCATGACGTGCCCCCTGTAAATACAGCTTATCTCATTGGTCGGTAAGCTATGTACCATTTAATGTGATTGGTTGAAGTGTGTGTTTCCTTTCTTCGACACAATCTTAAGAAAACTCAAAGAATTCTTTTTATGTCATGAAATTGTGATATTCCATGTTGTAATAAAATACATCATTAAATGGAAAATTTAATTCAAACAATTGAAACAGTGAGGTATAAGTCGTTACATTGTAATAACACTGAGCATGATGTTGGGTATAATTCCTTAATACAGTACAAAACAGACAGAATGATCACTGAAATAGCAATCATGGATGTAAGGATGATTTGATGACTTTTCATTAAAATGTTTGAAATTCAGTTCAAATGTAAAACATTAACATAAGACCAATATTGACAGGACGTCAATAGGTCACCTGTGTATTTTAGATCAGACAATCTTATAAAAACAAATATGGTTTTACTTTATCAGCAACCTTTACAACTCACTGTATTTACCAACTAGTAAGTCCATGCCTGTTAATAAGCCCACTCATATCTATATTGCTGCTTTTGCTACAAATGCTATTTCATCTTCGTGTAAGAAACCAAACCCTGGGGTCAGAAGTAATGTGTTAGCCCTTGTGTTTACAAAGTATAAGTGACTTGTGACTATATACATATATGTACAAGTAAGTGTCAACCACAGCTTTACAGAATAAGATCAATTACAATCTCACCTGCTCAAAGATGGCAACATCATTACTGAAGCACTCTCCGGGGACAATTCCAGCGCCTCCCACAAGTCCTGCAGCTAAGTTATCAACAATGTTACCGTAGAGATTAGGCATCACCATCACATCAAACTGATGAGGGTTGGATACAAGCTGTCAACAAAATCACCAGATATTACTTACAACAGAATCAGACGAAAGCATAAGTGTTGGCTCCATTTCTTAGGTTGTCTATCTGTTATATAAATGTTACAGGGCCTGATATCAGATCAGAAACTTAGATCTGCCTGATGAGATTTTTGAAGCTTGTTCTATCAGCTGCAGAATGACAAAGACTATACAAAAGATTTCATACCAGCCACACTAATCTGTGTATCTATATGTCATATGTATATTGACAACTGATTCTGTTGAACCTTACCATATAGAGTGTATAGGAGGTCATAGAAGGTCACACACATACCCCCTTTATTAACTTCACAGTATTTGTTTGGCCCACATTTTGAGTATTTTAGGAGAAATTTTTTTTACTTGAGTGTCCTGATGAAGCCCATCTGTTGACATTAATATTAATTACTGCAAGCTTGTTGCGATTGTCATCCTACTTAACTTATATAACAGATGTAGTATCTGAGGTCTGAACTGACACCAGGCCCTGTAACATGTATATGTATCACATGTAGTGTATGATGTCAGACCTGAAATCAGGCCCTGTGACATGTATATATCAGATGTAGTGTCTCATGTCTTAACTGCCACCAGACCCTGTAACATGTATATATCAACTGACATCATGCCCTGTAACATGTATACCAGATGCAGTGTCTGTTGATTGTCCTGACATCAGGCCTAGTAAAATGTATACAACAAGTGTAGTAAGGAATGTCTGACCTGATATCAGGCCATGTAATATGTATACCAGATGCAGTGTCTGATGTGTGACCTGACATCAGGCCCTTAACATGTATACCAGATGCAGTGTCTGATGTGTGACCTGACATCAGGCCCTCTAACATGTATACAACAGATTTAATGTCATGTCTGATCTGACATCAGGTGTTTTAACTATATAATCCAACTGACTCAATGTCCTATAACAGGTTTACAACAGATTAAGACTTGAATGTTTGACCTTACATAAGGCCCTGTAACATGTACATACCAAATGCAGTGTATCTGTCAAACATATCGTTGTGTCCTATCTTACCTGCATGCAGCAGTTGTCGATGATCATGGTCTCAAACTTTATCTTAGGGTAGTATTGTGCTACTTCCTCACAACACTTCAGGAACAGGCCATCACCCAGCTTCCTGTGAAACAATGGATACTGTCAGATATACTTTGGTTCATGAGTTACCATAGCAGCATTCTTATGGCTGTCATATAAACTCATCATCTGTACTATGAATACTACTGACGAAGCTTCACATCCTACTCTACTATTTTAGCATGTGAGAAACAAATATCTATGGCATCTACAATGCTGCCCTTTGTAGGGAAAGTAGCCATTATATTTTGTAAGATTCCAGATCACTCCTTCCAAACCTAATAAATGCTATAACCAAACATGTAATCCACATTGAACCTGTAGAGTTTGTTACAATAAATCCATGCCCGATGTTGGTGTACTATTCTCTATAAATGTGTAATTCTTTTTATGATAACATGGAAATATATAAATCCTCAGAGAATTTCATTTTAGCAAACATTTATTTTCAAGCATAAGAGTAGACAAATCTATACGAATCCTACCAAGTAAGGGGAGATAAATCCACAAGAATAATTCATATCAGGTAAGGGGAGATAAATCCACAAGAATCACTAATATTGCATAAGGGTGTGGTGGGGTTATCAACCAGAATCATGCATATCAGGGTAATTATCACAATTATCACTCCTATCAGGAAAGGGGAGATAAATCAAGTTGAATCACTTCTATGAGAAAATGGGAGATAAATCCTCCAAAATCACTTGTCCCCACTCCCTGTATTGACTGATATAATGTTGAATTTGTGTACTGTTCATCAGTATACACTGACTTACATGATGTTGGCTTTGTGTACAGCTGTCACCTTTTGTCTGTTATTCCGAGTAGCATAATCAAAAGCAAACTTAGCAATCCGTTTAGACTTCATCCTTGTTACAACTTTTAAACACTCTACCACTCCAGTGACGCTCTGAAAGCAAAACAAAGTTAGACTTGAACTGTCATCCTGAGAATAACTAATCCCCTCTCCCCAACCCCCTTCCACAGATGCAAAGAGTTGGTACAAGCAATGGATTATGATGTATGATGTTAAATTTCCATCCACTTATCCCATTCCCTTGCCATGCCCAAACATCAGAAACGAAAAGTGGCCTTTGGACCATTAAATACAAAAATGATGCTAAAGGAGGGAAATGTAATTGATAAGAAAGTAAATTAAAACATGTTGTTTTATGATATGTACATTGGTCAAGTAACAATACCTCCATTTTGACCAATCAGGAAACTCCATTATGTTTCCATAGTAACAATTATGTAAACATCTGATGTGTTAAATCATAGCCTTTGGTATGTTACCCAGTTCAACCAAATTTAAATATAAATGTGTTCCAAGGAATCATGAACTCTGGGTCATCACACACAAATCCACATATGGCCAATAACATTTTTGTATTGTTTTGGTAAAACTGGCTCCCAAGTTTAGATAAAAATGTCTGGCCAAGATCCTCCTAATCTGAGGTCTTTTTTGGTTACCATGGAAACCATATGACACTGAATGGTTTTGAATAGTAAAATTGTAATTACCATTCTTCAAAATCTGTATATTTCAATTTCCAGCATAATCAGTCAATATTTAAACTTCAACAAATCAAAACCTGTCTTTAGGTTCCCGTAGTAACAGTTCTGGAAACACCTGATATGTGAAAATATAGGCTTTGATTAGTTTCTCTAGTTGACAAAGTTTCATTAAAATTGATCTAAGGACTGATCAGCTAAGAGTCAGTACTCAAAAAACCTATGTAGAATGACCTGGTTACCATGGCAACAAAAATTTCTGGAAAAAAATTCTGTATGCACAACTACATAATATTACAGTGTCTAACATTGCTGCAAAGTTTCTATGAAACTGGTTCACAAGTTTAAGAGGAGTTATCTGGACAAGATTTGCAGACAACAGACTTCCAGACAGGGTGATTTCAGTATACCCAAGGATGCAGAAAAATAATGTTAAAATAAGTGAACCCAGAACACCTGGATCAGTTAAATATGATGAAGAGATTCTCTCTCTATATGTTAGATAGTGTCCTTTGTGACTCATATAAACAGTCCATTGCTGACACTACACAGTCAGTGATGAACTACATGGGATACATACCTCATGCTCTAGTGCACTATATTCTCCTTCTGTTTGTTCACGAATGATGACAAAGTCAAGATTCTTGTGACGGGTTTTGAAACCGGGTAAACTTTTGATGACAACAACATTAGCAAAAAGATCCAACTCTGCCCTGTTCAAATGAAACAGATTATTTCATCATTGGTAACAAAAGACTACATTATGATAGATCTCAAAAGTCAAAATAGCTTACAATTTCAGGTAATGTCATTATAAAACTCACCGATAACAGAGGTCATAGATTCCTCACAGAAAGATTAGAGACCTGACAAGTGAACCGATTTAACAGACACAAAAGATGTAATAAGATTACTTTTGGTTTTTACTTCACATGAACTTCACACCGAGTGTCTGGACAACACCTCTAAATAATCTCCCTTTCATTTGATCTTAATGTTGAAGGTCTGGAGGGCAACCCTCAACATTCTCCAACACATCGGTTCTTCATGTTGAGGGTCCAGAGAACACCTCTCAACATTCTCCAACTCACCTGTTCTTCATGTTGAGGGCCTTGAGGACAATCCTGAATGTTATTCTACTCACCTAATCTTCATATTGAGGGTCTGGAGCACACCCCCTTTGAAGTTGGATGGTGTTGTAATGATTCCCTTGAGCCCGACTCCATTACGCTTGAATGAATCCACCACTGTGCTGATGCTGGCACTTTGGGACGGCTGCACCTCACTACATAGTAAAATGATGCCTTTAGTGATTCAGCTATTTACAGTCACTATGTGACAAAAATGTTTTTCATCATGAATGCATGCATGAATGAATGTCATAAGTCCATATTTTGTAAACCCATCATATTTTGAAAATAGGATTCAATGTGCAAAACATCCTATCAAATTCACAAATACATACATACGATGGGAACAGATAATCAGATTGTAATGCCCAAAAATAGAAATGAGTTAAAAATGGGAAAAAAATATATTGATAAAGAAAAAATATTACCTAATGAAATATTCTTCAAACTCTACAGGAGCTCCAGCTGCCTGGAATACATCACGGACACTGCCCATGAGGTGTGGTCCTACCCCATCCCCTGGAACCAGGGTTACCTTTTGTTTCCCATCAGGATGTGAAACAGGCTCTGAGACAGACTGTAATCAGGAGTCATAATTGGCTCTCATAATATAAACATACAAATATGAAAGCAACATAGTATACTTTGAAGTGGATAATTTTGTGGCAAGTATGATATTTTGGTTTTTAACATTTATTTCTGAAATTTATATATGTTTAATAAAATCCAGATTTGGAAGACATAAACTATTATAAACTAATAGGAACTTATCGTGAAACCCCTACTGTATGCTTTATCCTCCAAACAATGAAACATTCAAGTCATTAACCAATAATCTAATTGAAAAAAAAGAATTTTCAGTTTGTAGTAATGAAAGTTTACAGACCGAGAGACCGCAATACAGCTAAAATTGAACTTACCAGGGCCTGGTGGGTTGGTGTGGAGCTTTGAAAATCTCTGCTCTGACACTGTTGGGTTGTCTGAAATATCGTTAAAATGACTAGGTATAATCCATTTGATTATCATTCTTTCAAATGCTAACAGCGACCAAAATTGGCAGCTGTTCAGATATACATAAGGGTTTTACTATTTTCTATCGTGAATTACAGTTTTAACATCAAATGATTTGTAAAAGGGCACACTTTATGCGAAAAGTGCGGAAGTTCTGCTCAGCAACAATCAACACGTGGGTTTTGACATGTGAATGAGAGAAATAGGCCAACACCACCGATATTTTTCCTGTATTCATGAATGGGATTTATATTGGAATTACAATTCTGTAACTACAAAATTGTTATGGAATACCTACACATGCCACAGAGCGCGGTATATGTTTACAGAGCTTGGAGAAAGCCGACCTTGTCAAGGAGGATGCCATCCTTATTATGACGTCACAGAGGGATTTTCCAACAACCGAATGTGAGTATTTTCTCGCTTGAGAAAAGTGCCGAGGGTTCCCGATTGTATCAAACTCCCAACAGCCGGGGGAGGTATCGTTGGTATGAGCACTTGTCGATTCACTTTTAAAATATAACAGTGCATTTTTTGCATTGATTAGTTTTATACAAATATATTAATTAAGAAGATGATGTAATTTAATCAAAATATTTTGGCGGATACTTGAGGGAAAAACATAATGGTAACTTGGTACAATGAACCCTCTATCTCAAGATAAGTGATTTGGAGTTGGACACGACGAGATGAATAGGATTTTAAGATCATCTCTGTCAAAATTCAGGACATTGACATGCGTAATTATATGTTTCTCAATTTTCACATTTATGTCCAAAATGCATTACATATCACCGCGTCTCTTTAACTGGCTGTTCTTTGCTTGTAAAGACACTCGGTGCGTGACAATTTTTAACCTACTGCTGTAAGTGTGACTTTGGGGCATCTTGGTTTCACTCTAGTTCCTCTCTTCAAACCGACAGCTCAGATTATTCAAGAATCACATATCTGTACTTTACTTATGAAAGTATTTAAAACCATACAATTAAACTGATAATTTCAGTCTCATTTTAAAACCAACAAAGTCAATAAAAATGTAAATATCAACAACATCATATATATGAATATTGGCATTTAATATGATTATTTTAGTGTCGGACATTTTCTGTCTACCATATAATAGGCCAGAATGTGACCATTCATGTCAAAGTAGACTCCCTTATGTATAGTGATGGTGCTTCTAAATCAAGCATACTGAGTATTAGCGGGTACCAGCACCCACAAGCTGTAACACAGTAATGATTTATAAAGATGGTGCTGTTTGGTGTTAGTTTGGAAAAAAGTTCAATTTTCTAAACTGTTTTTAAAATAAATATGCCATCATAATGACAATACTCAGTATGCTGAGGTATTGTGCAAAATATTGGTCAATTATTAGCAGTATGCTGAGGTATTGTACAAAATGTAGGTCAATTGTTAGAAGTATGCTGAGGTATTGTACAAAATGTAGGTCAATTATTAGCAGTATGCTGAGGTATTGTACAAAATGTAGGTCAGTTATTTGGTAGAAGATCACCAATGTGTAGTAATACACATGTATCATCTGTATTTGTGTGAAGTTCATTAAAATTCTGTAAGGAACGACGCTGCTAGAGCTTTGAAGATTTTCTATTAATAAGTACTGGTGACCTTGACCCAACTTACCTGAAATTCACACTTATCCAAGATAATTTGATGTTTTGTGAGTGTGTGGTTTGATGAATACTCCAAAGAATGAAATCTCTGAAGTGCTGTTGATTTTCAGAAAGTAGTAACAGTGTCCTTGACCCAAAATCCATGAAAATTGAGCTTGTATGAGATATTTTAATGTTTCAGAAGAGTGTGAGTTTTTAAGTTTGATCAGAATCCCTCAAAGAGTGATTGCACTAGAGCACTGATGATTTTTCTTAAAATAGTAAGTGACCTTGACCCAACAACCCTGCTTTGTTAATATGTGAAGTTTAATGATAATCCTTCAAGAAATGAAGCTTCTAAAGTACTGGCAATGATTTTCTATAGATAGTAAGAGACCTTGACCTTGACCCAACAACCTTGAAACTTAAAGGTGACGGAGATATTTCAATACTTTTTAAGTGAGTAAAGTTTGATGAGAGTCCTTCAACGAATGAGGCCACTAGAGCACTGACAAACTTATCACAGATGTAGGTACAGACAGAGGGATGGACAGACTTTGAGGTCGTGGGAGGTGGCATTGATCAGAAACAATTAATTTTTTTGTGATTTATTTTGTCATGTTAGATAAAAGTAAGTACAATTTTAGAATGGCCCCATAGGTTGTAGCTTTCAATGGTAGCAAGCTTTGGATTCTTTGCTCCTGGAAGTGTCAGTTGTGTTACCTACATGTTAGTGTTACCAATATGTTTTTTTGTTATGTTTTGGTCTGTGCAGATTTGCTTTTTAGTCTTTGGGGCATGAGGATACAAGGAAGGGGCAGATTCAGAGCTTTTATAGAACATTTTCACTTCAATGTATTAGTTTTGTGTTGATGGATAATGTATATTTCAGCTCCTTTGTTTTTTCCAAACTTGAAGATTTTGTTTTTATCTTATTTTTTTTAAAAATCTGAATCAACCCTTGATCTTAACTTTTTGGGATGCCAAATACTGGAAGCTGAAGATTTAGTCACAAGAGAGGAAATGCACTGTTTGTTTCACAGCTATTCTTTTGATGTCCTTATGACATTATCTGTACACTTTTTTATCTTGCTTATCTAAGTAAAAAACAGTTATAGCTAATTTTCAAACCTAGTTATTACTTGTACTTCAATACAGGTGTCACATCCACCCAAATACAGTCAACAATATGTCCACACTACCAGTGTCCAGTACAGCAGTCAGTTGGGAGGCAAGGTGACTGACTACAGTCGCTTTCCAGTGCCAGAACTTAAGGACCTTCCTGAAGACGTAAGGGACCGGCTAACTGAAGTAGAGGAGAAGGTTAGTACAAACTTTTAAACACTTGATGTGGAGCCTAACAAAGGCTAATTTAAACAAAATCACTGAGTTTTGATACATATGCAGCTACAAGCTCTATAGCCGAAAATGGATCTATCTATCAATATTATATTTTCTTTCCAGTCTGGTTTCATGCCAAATGTCTTCAATGCGTTGTCCTATCGACCTGATGATCTACGATGCTTCATGAACTATTATGATGTTGTGATGGGTGACCGAGGTAAGATCTTCCTGGATTTATTATGTTATTGACTACTTTTTATGTGGTATCGAAGGAAGTTTGTACCTCAAAAGGATGGAGGCAGTTTTAAGGTGGAAAAAAAGAGAGAAAAAAACAGGTTTTTTGACTAGACCATGCATGTTCTGATTAGGCTAACTGCTGCTTGTAGGTAATTTGACAAAGGCAGACAAGGAAATGATCATTGTGGCAACATCCTCTGAAAATGGTTGTTTGTACTGCATAATAGCCCACGGAGCACTGCACAGGATCTACTCTAAAAACCCACACCAAGCGGACCAGGTATGTATACCATGATAGCCTATAAGCTCTGCAGTGGATCTACTCTAAAAATCCTACACCAAGTGGACCAGGTATGTATACCATGATAGCCTATAAGCTCTGCAGTGGATCTACTCTAAAAATCCACACCAGGTGTTTATACCTCCTAACCTAACAGTTTATACCAGTAACTGTTTACACCTCACATGTTAGCCTACAAGCACTGCAATGGATCTACTCTAAAAACCCACACCAAGCGGACCTACTCTAAAAATCCACACCAGGTGTTTATACCTCCTACAATAGTCTGTTGAGAAATGCACCTGATCTACCACTAAAAATCCCACTCCAAGCGGACCAGGTATGTATAGGTGTTTATACCTCCTACAATAGCCTATTGAGAAATGCACCTGATCTACCACTAAAAATCCCACTCCAAGCGGACCAGGTATGTATAGGTGTTTATACCTCCTACAATAGCCTATTGAGAAATGCACCTGATCTACCACTAAAAATCCACACTAAGCAGACCAGGTATGTATACCATGATAGTTTACAAGCACTGCAGTGGATCTACTCTAAAAGTCCACACCAGGTGTTTATACCTCCTACAATAGTCTGTTGAGAAATGCACCTGATCTACCACTAAAAATCCCACTCCAAGCGGACCAGGTATGTATAGGTGTTTATACCTCCTACAATAGCCTATTGAGAAATGCACCTGATCTACCACTAAAAATCCCACTCCAAGCGGACCAGGTATGTATAGGTGTTTATACCTCCTACAATAGCCTATTGAGAAATGCACCTGATCTACCACTAAAAATCCACACTAAGCAGACCAGGTATGTATACCATGATAGTTTACAAGCACTGCAGTGGATCTACTCTAAAAGTCCACACCAGGTGTTTATACCTCCTACGATAGTCTGTTGAGAAATGCACCTGATCTACCACTAAAAATCCACACTAAGCAGACCAGGTATGTATAACTATTTATACCTCACATAATAGCCCATTGAACAACACTCCAAATCTGGTCCAAAAACCCATGCCAAGCAGACCAGGTATGTATGGTTATCTTTAAATATGATTTTCCTGGTGCTAAAGTGTGACTAGTAAGATAGAGTAAAGGAAAATTTTTCAGTATGTTGAACCTTATTGACAAATAATGTATAGAGGAACTTTTCTGACCTTAGTGACATTTTGGATATTTTAGGGGATTTCTTAAACTGAACAAAATGTTTAGGACAGTTTCTAATAAATTCCATTGATGTGGCAAAGAAAATGTTTTGGGTTCTTTAGTTGGCAGCAAACTGGAAGACGTCTGACATTGATGCCCGACAGTATGCTATACTGGACTTCGCTCAGGACCTCTGTCACTGTCGCCCCCTGTCAGAGGAAAAATTTGAAAACCTGTATAAACATGGCCTCACTAAGGATGATGCTTGGGATATCGGTGCTGTTGTTGCACTGTTTGCCTTATCTAATCGTATGGCCTACCTCACTAACATGAAGCCTAACAAGGAATTCTATCTGATGGGCAGAGTGAAGCGGGAAAAAAAGGCCTAGATCAACATTCATGGTGTGGTAAAACATCATCACTGCGTAACACATGGATAATGGTGGAAGAATTTCTGAGACCAACGCCAGTTGAAGTTTAATTTTAGGAAAATCATGTCTTGTATAAAATGCGAAATGTTGTTAAAGAACAGTTGTCTCACTACTAAACCAATAACTTAATGCTCAAAAAATGTTTGCAATACATTTGATTAAATTACATGGGTAGTCTTTCTGGGAATTATGACATAATCAGTACCAGGTATTTTCTGATATATCTGGTATCATCATTCAAAGTTATCTCATCCATTTAGATGTACATGTAGTTAGCTTTTCTTAATCAGTTTATATCAGTTTGTATTCTCCCTAATAAAGGAGTACACTGTCACAGAATTCTATTCACACTTGAGGAAGCTCAATCTCACAGTAATTGTATTCACTAAGAAATGTAAAGAAGATTACTCTCACAGTAATTGTATGCATTCATTTAGAAAATGCTACGAATGGAGCTTACTTCACAGTAAATGTAGTCATTAAGAAGTGCTAAGAGGGGAGCTTACTCTCAGCAGTTGTCTTCATTAAGATACACTAAGAAGGAAGCTTATACTCACAGAAATTGTATTTACTGAGAAGCATGGAGAAGAGAGCTTACACTCACAGTAATGGCATGCACAAAAAAGGGAGAGAACTCGCTCTCACAAAAATTGTATTCACAAATTTCACAGCAAATTTTATTCAGTAAAAAGCACCAAGAAGGGAGTTAACTCTTACAGTAGTTGTATTCACTCCGCAGGGAGCTCAATCTCACAGTAAGCATATACACTAAGTAGTTGTATTTACTCCTTAGGGAGCTCACTCTCACATAAAGCATATACACTAACAAGGGAGCTTACTTTCACAGCATTTGTATTCACTCCGCAGGGAGCTCAATCTCACAGTAAGCATATACACTAAGAAGGGGGCTACAGTAGTTGTATTCACTCCGCAGGGAGCTCAATCTCACAGTAAGCATATACACTAAGAAGGGGGCTTACTCTCACAGTATTTGTATTCACTCCGCAGGGAGCTCACTCTCACAGTAACTGAATTCACGAAGAAGGAAGATCACACATTCAGACGTTATACTCACTACAAGAGAGTTCACTTTCACAGAAATTGTATTCACTCCATAGTGAACTCACAGAAACTGTATCCTTTGTAAAATTGAGCTCACTCTTACAGAATAGTATTTGATTTTGTGGATAAGCTATTATGCCAACAACAGAGAACTGAGATAAAGCTATGGCATTTACATGGATTAGCTATTTTACAACACTGTTGTTGTCTTGGTAACTCACTATACAAAAATATGAACGAATGATAAGATTTCTTGATAAGTCGGTATGTTCTTTGGTGTTAATCGTTTTTTTTTTTATTTAATACATGTTTTATATAAGAAAACAATCAAACAGGGTATATATTGCAATTTACTTTATTTGATGAAAAACGAAAGTGTAACCAAAGTAAAATAAAAAAACTTGTGATATTGTTCTACATTAAAAGGAGGTAGCTAGACTTATTTGTGTGTAAATTTTTAAGGAATAGTTTTCTGTAAATGTACACAAGATATTTGAACAGTAAATTACATCCAAATAGATAGATTTTATACAGCCCTTCAGTTGTTGACATTTGTCTCTGTGAACTTGCTTATTTTGAGTTGTCTACCATGAGCTTTGTTTTACATTTTATAGTCAGTGTGCACTAGTCTTTTGAATGTTTTCCTTACGCGCTTCTTAATAACTTAAGTTGAAAATTTAATATCAATTTTAGATATGCTTTGTATTTTAAAATGCTTGTGTTATTTGTTTGGAACTAAAACTATATTTATACAAAATGCAGCATTAAGTTTGCTTAGTATTTAACATTTATTAACAGTTGGTTGTCACTGAATTCTGTGACGGTTTTCCGATGCTATACATACAGTTGTTATATATTTTTGTATCCAGATTAATCGTGGTTACATTAAAACATATCCGAATAACTAAATACAGTTGTTTGTGGTTTTTGTAATTGAATTAAGTCAACTTTTTAGGTTACCTTAAACAGAGTCAAAAATATTCTTCTCAAATCCTAAGTATGTTAGAATCAAGTGCTCTTGTAAATTTCATGACCCCAGATCTCACATTTCCCCCTTGAGATGGGGTTAAGTTTACTTTAGTTTATAGAGGAAAATAACTTTTTTTGAACATTATTATTTTCTATAGGAAATAGTCCAACCCTGGATAGAATTATTAGTTTAAGTTGACAACTTAATGAGATGCACATACTGACCTCGGCTGACCCCCAGGGGCTGATGGGCAGGGCGAAAAGTGGGTCAAATTGACTGAATTTTCAAAGATGTTCTACTGTTCCTGGGTGGAAAATTTTATATAGGAAAATTCAAGTCTTTAGTGAATTTTTTTTATTCGAATTTGGTTAGAAGCTTGGGACTGCACTTAATGTATACACAATTTACATTTTTGTTATATGAATAGTTAAAGTTATATTACTTTTCTTAACAAAATCATTTCTGTGACATGTTACAAGAACCATTGTGACTTAGGTGAGCGTAAGGCCCTTGGGCCTCAAGTTTTTTTTTAAATATTCAAAATTCCATTTCAAGCAGGGTCATGTTGTTTGGCTAGTGGCATACTAGGCTGAGGTCTGTCAAATTCATTCAAACAAATGGCCTTGACCCACATTCATGGTTAGACGGGTAAAATTTTGAAAACTCTTAAAGCAACTTCTAACAACCAAAAGTCAGTGTCACAGTACCATCCTACTGAGAACTACCACATCAAGTTTGTTCAAATGAATGACTCACACCAATTTTCATTTGAACAAATTTGATTTTAAAACGACTTCTGCACGACCATGATGTCGATAATCATCCCTGGTATTTGAACCTAGAGACAGTTTTATAGAGATATGAGCGGACATATGGGTTGTGTATGACTTGCTTCTTTCGAGGTTATATTTTTTATGAAAATACTAGGGCATTTGTGTCCCCCAATCACTGTCTATCCTTCAGTCGTTGAGTTATGAGGCAGACAGTTGTTGCTGTCATATTTCCAGATCTGCCTCATGTTATAGAGATAAAATTCTACAGTGGATTGAACGACCAAATGATACCACCAATGAGTAATGTGTGGTGGAAGTGTTCGTTGACTTGAGCCGGTTTTCTGGGATAGCTGGTTGGACTTGAGCAGGTTTTCCGGGATAGCTGGTTGGACTTGAGCAGATTTTCCGGGGTAGCTGGTTGGACTTCAGCAGATTTTCCGGGGTAGCTAGTTGGAGATTTATTGGAGAATTCACCATACAAAAGCATTGTTTTTTCAGGTGATAAGATGTGTGCTTGCTAAGCATTATACTAAACAGTGCAGGTCCTGAACTACTTCCTGGTGATTTTCAAATGTGGTTAATGGATTTTGGATGGAGGCATGTTCTAAATTCTTGTGTAAGACTAACAAAGGAAAGCCTATATAAACATTATCAGATCTTCCCAAAGACGAAACACTTGTTCCGGTTTTACAATCTTTCCGTTAATGATTAAAAAAGGGAAAAATCACTCAGTCCTGAACGTCTCCCGAAAAGTCTTTTTCATACGGGCATTTAATGTTATCACAGTGCGCCCGAACTTCCAAACTCAAGAAACGCCTTACCCTCCGGACATAGGAACTCCTTCAAATAAAGGTGAACTATGCTCGAGGCTATTTTGTGAAACCTGTTTCCCATTGTTCATTTATATGGCTGATGTCGATGAAGCAAAAGATGGCTGTCCTTCTTGAACACATTTTCTTTTTATCGTGGTACCATTTTAAAAGTCGTCGTAGACATTTTTTTTCGAAAACTGTCCTTGATTGATATTATCTTTAGAAAGAAACAAGTTCATGGCTATGTCCACTGTACAGGCTCCTTTAAACTAAGGATCTCAGATTATCTATACTTGTGCTGTGACGACATAAAAGCAAGTTGTATAAATTTGCCATCTACTGACAGCAGCATTTCAGCTTTCCCTATCTGTGATAAAAATATAACCATCGAATAAAAAACGACCGTTACACTGTTCACGACGATTCATCTAAAACTGGTAATCCTTCAAGAACATCAGTAATGCATTACAAGGATATTTTGAGGGTAACCAGGTCATGTATCGTGTTTTATTATCACTTAATCGACGACGTTTTTTTTCATTTGGTGTTTCGATACCGTCTCTGATTTACTGTTACAAGTATATTGATTGGGCTATAATACCAATGTACTGAACAGACCAGTATACGTCATATTTTCATTGATTCTTGCCAGCAGAAACGTTTGTGATTAATGACGTAACAGGTACTTCTGGTGGTACAAAATGTATTTTAAAGTGCTAAGACGTGTTTGCAGTTCTACCAACAGTGCAGTATATCTAACTCATGGGTATTTATTTTAATTATTACTTACGGCAGTCTTACAAATAAATTACAACTGTTACATGAAAGCGAACATGTACAGTATCTTTATACGAAATTGCGCACGTGTAAAATTGGACACGAAACGTCCATATAGACTGCACGCGAGACTCCTGTGTTACTGCTTCTCCACCATAGGGGCTCATATGTAACTTCGTGATTTACTATTCGGTTTTGATAAAAAAAATCTTTGTTAGTTTTATCTCGCTGTTATGAATGAATTATTATTGCAACGAGAGGCTTCGGACAGGATGATTCTCTGTCTCTGTCATAATACTGTTACTTAGAGCCAAAGTGTTCGAATCGAGCGGGACCACCCCTTCTCTTCATTGCTTTCCATTTTATTCTTTGTAGTGCTACCATTGATAATTAAAGTAATTCAGGACCAACCGGTTTATATTGACCAGTGTCCGTGTGTATCATGCACGTGATATGCCTTCCCATAAGGCCACTCTGCCTCATCGAACACCGATAAATCAGCTCGCGTGTTTGTGGTGATTATTGGTGGTATAAAACCTATAGGAAGTGTAAATCTATAGAACATTTAGGGTACAGTAATAATCACTCACTGTCGATCATTGCGCTTGAAAAATTAACAACACTAATTAATAGTAACACGTAATACTGCATCAATGTAATGCTGGGCAAGACATGCATTTATTGTTAATCAAAAGCACGAAGAAGGGGAGACATTTTCGCGAAAGGTTGACCACCCGTTCAGAAAATTCGACACGTAGCCTAGAAACATGATAGAAACGAGAAACCAAATGATCGCGACATTCTCTTTGCTTTTTGTTGTGATATGAAATAATCTTTTTCAAAATTCCGAAAATCACCAACAACGAGAGTCGGATAGTTGTGATGCGTAATGTAATGTCAGGTCCAGGAAGTGTCACCGTGTCCTGTCAAACAGAAAGAAGTGGACCGGGCAAATCGAGGTACAGGAAACCGCGGAAGACGTCTGCTTCTGTCATCGCCGACTTCCTGGAGAAATGGTAAGGACGACAGATAAGCTGTTTCTTGGTAAAAGACGACAGATGGAGACTGCGGCATATTGCCAAGTCAGTATGGTGTATTTGAATTTTCTGTGTCGCTATAGAATTCGAGAAAACAGGAATTTTCAAAGTCTTTATTTCCCTTTCTTTTTTTGCTTCCCTGTTTTTCTGGCAGAACATTTATTAGAAAAAGCCGCTCTTATGATAGAAAGTACACGTCTTTTATTTTACTAAAACAATATTTAGAAAACTACTCGTTTAGGTTTGGAAGGACGTGTCTACTTAATTTAACGATACTGAGACAGCTACTCGTTTAGGTTTGGAAGGACGTGTCTACTTAATTTAACGATACTGAGACAGCTACTCGTTTAGGTTTGGAAGGACGTGTCTACTTAATTTAACGATACTGAGACAGCTACTCGTTTAGGTTTGGAAGGACGTGTCTACTTAATTTAACGATACTGAGACAGCTACTCGTTTAGGTTTGGAAGGACGTGTCTACTTAATTTAACGATACTGAGACAGCTACTCGTTTAGGTTTGGAAGGACGTGTCTACTTAATTTAACGATACTGAGACAGCTACTCGTTTAGGTTTGGAAGGACGTGTCTACTTAATTTAACGATACTGAGACAGCTACTCGTTTAGGTTTGGAAGGACCTGTCTACTTAATTTAACGATACTGAGACAGCTACTCGTTTAGGTTTGGAAGGACGTGTCTATTTAATTTAACGATACTGAGACAGCTACTCGTTTAGGTTTGGAAGGACGTGTCTACTTAATTTAACGATACTGAGACAGCTACTCGTTTAGGTTTGGAAGGACCTGTCTACTTAATTTAACGATACTGAGACAGCTACTCGTTTAGGTTTGGAAGGACGTGTCTACTTAATTTAACGATACTGAGACAGCTACTCGTTTAGGTTTGGAAGGACCTGTCTACTTAATTTAACAACACAGAAAACTAATCGTTTGCTATATAGAAAGACATGCCTTTTTACCAAAAACAATGTTAAGAGAATTACTCAATTAGGATAAAAAAAATACTTTTTTCTAAAAAAAAGTATTTAGAAAGCCCGTCGCTATTGAAACAATGCAAAGAAAGTTACTCGTTTAGGATAGAAGTACGTATTTTTTTGTTAACCAAACCAATCTTTAGTGAGCTATTACTTTAACAATTATCATATTTGCTATACTGTATCAAATTTAAATTTGTGTTGAAAGGTTCTAGTCACTTGTGTGTACAATGTTCGAGACTGCAGGTGGTAGACACTGTTAGTGGACTTTTAGTCCCCGATGTTTTCCATAACTTGCATGCCACCTTTATTCATTCAAATTAATATACATGTACACTTAAACTGCTTTAAAATCATCAGACATTTATAATTTTTGCAGATTTTATTAAAGTATGGGGCTAGTGTGTCTCCCTATGATAGTATATATTGACTTTTCTTTCGATCAATTTTTCTTTCCCTCAGTTATCTCCTTGATTTCAAAATTTTGGCCTTTTGCATCACTGGCGAGTCCTAGCAGGACTCACCAGCTGTGTAATACAGTCCCATTCATAATTTAACTCGTACTATATTTAATTCTAAATTTGTATCCAAATAGGGAGCCTTAAGTTGGTTCATAGACTCTTAGTGCCGTTCAACAAAAAACGATATGTTCGCAAATTGACGCATGCTTGTATCTGAAACCGGAACAGGAATTGAACTCGCAAAATTTCAAATGGAAATTAAGACTACCATATCTTTTACAAACAAATCGGCCTTATACTCGCGTCAAAGCACGAATTAAGATGACATCATGCGAGGTGGACTTTTTTCGTATTGACAACATATATTTCGGAACATTTTGTAATAGCGTCGAGGAAGAGTATTTTAAAAAGTGGAACTTCTCATTCAACTCGTCAAAATGCTCTCTCATTTCATTCTAAAATTGTGTAAATGATTTCATGTGGATATTGAATGTGGCTGTTATCAAAGATGCTGACTCCGAGATACAATTAGGAATAAGTATATCATCGGAATTAGTATTCTGTTGCAATGCTGTTACACGCTATTACACTCGTAGGATCAGTCTGCAAATACAGCTCACATCTGTAAATATCTACAAGAAAGTCAAAATACCAGCAGTGTTTTATGGATCTGTGGAGTGACCTAACAGCGAAAGACAAACAACTAGACTTATTTCAACACTAAGCGGTTAAAATCATTATTAATGTAAGGAAGTCTTATGGAGGTGTGAAAGAATGCTCGGTATAAGTAAAATTAATTGCGAATTGAAAGTAGGAAATTACCATTTCCACATTGCTAAATTAATAGCCCTTTACTGGAGATAGAAACCAAAATGTATTATTCACTTTTAGGTCGTTTGTACAATCCTTAGGAAGGGACTGTCTTTCTACCTAAACAATACTTTCTGAACTACTGTTTCAGGTTAAAAGGTACTTGACTTTTAACTAAAACAATACTTAGAAAGCTGCACACTTGAGATAGAAAGCAACTACCTGTATACTTACACAATATTTAAAGTGTTAATATTCCAGGTTCGGCAGGGCCTGTGTTTTTTATTTCATAATACTTACCAGTTACTCGTTTATGCTAGACAGTACCTGACTTTTAACTTAAGTAATACTCTAAAAACTGAATGCTGTTTTTATAGACTCAAACAATGTATAGAGAACTATTTTCTGACATCTATAACTCGGTTTTTTAATGTGTACCTTTATGAACTGCAGTGACCAGGAAGACATTAAAAAGTTGTACCACGATTTCGATGATTCGTCTGATGACAATGAGGATATCTATGAAAACATAAAACTTCAGAAGGGGATTATTGAAAGTGTGAGGTATCAACCCTGGAGGATGTCAAAAAAACTCACTCTCACCAGGTAAATTATTACTAGAGAATGGCACAGAAACTCACTCTCATCAGGAAAATTATTACTGAGGGTGGCACAGAAACTCACTCTCATCTGGTAAATTATTACTAGAGAATGGCACAGAAATTCACTCTCACCAGGTAAAATTATTACTAAGGATGGCACAGAAATTCACTCTCATCTGGTAAATTATTACTGAAGATGGCACAGAAACTCACTCTCATCAGGTAAATTATTACTGAGGATGGCACAGAAACTCATTCTCACCAGGTAAATTATTACTGAGGGTGGCACAGAAACTCACTCTCATCAGGTAAATTATTACTGAAGATGGCACAGAAACTCACTATCACCAGGTAAATTGTTACTGAGGATGGCACAGAAACTCACTCTCACTAGGTAAATTATTTCTGAAGATGGCACAGAAACTCACTCTCACCAGGTAAATTATTACTGAAGATGGCACAGAAACTCACTTTCATCAGGTAAATTATTACTGAAGATGGCACAGAAACTCACTCTCATCAGGTAAATTATTACTAGAGAATGGCACAGAAACTCACTCTCTTCAGGTAAATTATTACTAGAGAATGGCACAGAAATTCACTCTCATCAGGTAAATTATTACTGAAGATGGCACAGAAACTCACTTTCATCAGGTAAATTATTACTGAAGATGGCACAGAAACTCACTTTCATCAGGTAAATTATTACTGAAGATGGCACAGAAACTCACTCTCATCAGGTAAATTATTACTAGAGAATGGCACAGAAATTCACTCTCATCAGGTAAATTATCAACGAAGATGGTACAGAAACTCACTCTTATCATGTAAATCATCACCGGATTACAAAGGAACGAACTCTTATCAGGTAAATGATTACTGCAAGACGATAATAGAAAGCAATTCTCATCCGGTAAAGTTATACAATTGTAGACTAGGAGACTTTTAACCTGAAAACTTTCCTTTTGATACTGAGGTGATGTGTGTGATAATTTTTTTTTTTTTTTTGCAGCTTTAAGCTTTAAATGTTTCTTATGTTGCTTTGTCATCTGGCAGGGCATTTCAATCACGGACAATTCTTCAACAAGCGACATCTTTCTGACATCAATTCAATAGTATGGTACTTAATTGGCATTGTTGTGAGAGTGTCGTATTCTTCTTGTTGGTCTGTGCAGACGGTCTGTCTTGGAAATGGCGGGATCGATCTTATAGAAAATTCTATGCCTAGAATCCCGAATTCTCTCCTCTAATGATCTCCAACAAAGACCTTTGTTGATAGTAGTGACGGTAGACCTACTCTCCGGAGCACTCAACACAAACGTTATTGTCCTTCGCTCCAGCTTCATGATATCTGTCAGATGATGAGGATTCCATACATAGCTCGCATACTCCACGTACCAAGGAGTACATTCTGCGTAGGAATACGAGTGTCCAATTAGCCTTGTGATTTAGTACCAAAGATTTGGTGACCATTCTCAGAGAGTAATTTGTCAAACTATGCTTTCGGCATCGACAGACCTGAAATTAAGGTGATGAAACAAAGATGAACGAAACAGGCAATAGGGTTCCGTTTGGACACCCCGCCCACCCTTTGTGTGCCTGTTGTTCAAGCTTAAATTCAAATTACTGACGTGTTTAAGAGGTGTGCGTTACTTTTGAATACTTGTTTTCCTTGTCTATTTTATTTTTTTATAGTTGTGCGAAGTCGTATTTGGAGAAACATGAAGGCCAACTCTCGAGAAGTAGGGGATACCGAGAGAAAGGTGCACGGGTAAGTAATTTATCGAGAGTCCTGGATACCGAGAGAAAAGTTCTCTAGTGAGTACAGTGTAAAGAGGGCCATGGGCACTGGAGAAGAGTGTTCAGTGTATGGAGGGCCCGGAAGTATAACGATAAATATTTTGTAAAGATACTCCTAGAAAATGCCCCGTCTGATGTTATGTTTATGTGAATGTAACCTACATCTAGACTGAAACATTTCGCCATTGTTTCAGCAAGTATGCATTCGCGTAATTTTGAGGATCTATACCAGATGTGCTGTGTATGTCATAGGGAAACGTGCCGCGATGCATTTTCTTGATGCATGTATTCCGGAACGATATGGTATCTTCAAAAAGGTTGTGAGATCGTAACGTGTGTTCCAGAAAACTCTGAGATCATGGCATCTGTTCCAGAAGGGTATGAGATCATGGCATCTGTTCCAGAAGGCTATGATATTGTGGCATCTGTTCCAGAAGGCTGTGAGATTGAGGTGTTTTGTTAGGACTGTTGGAGCGTAATGTAAGTTCAAGAAGGCTAAGAGATCGTGGTACATAATTATTTATCGTCATCTTCCTAGGTATGGCGACGATTGAGACGCCTTGTTACAGACACGGTAGCGTCTCTGACCCCCTGGGAGGTGAGAGTGAAAGCAATCGAGAGTAAGTACTACTTCTTTGAGTGTATTTTAATCCTGAACAACTCCAATACCATATGACATAATTATACAATGATACCAGCTTAAATATTTACAGCTTCAATAGGCCACGCGTCAGTATATGTAGTGGTGTAATTGCTAACAGTTATCAAACTGTTTATGGTGTCTAATAAAGCTTTATAACCGTCTTTAGGAAAGTGCTCATTACGCCTTTCAATGTCTTCTCCTCCTGTTTCAACTTGGCAATCCCCCAAGTATTGTACAAAAGACTTACAAGAGAATATTACGCTTTATTACAAGAAAATAGTTACAGTAGAGACAGACGATGCATTCAACTGCATCCTACAGCTGTTTGACCCTACTAGGACTCGTCAGTGATACTAATGTTAAGGGAGTAAATTTTGAAGCCTTGGCGGCGACTAAGGAAAATCCGAATCGATCGAAAGAAATGCCAAAATCTAACAAGGACAAACACTAGCTCATAATTCGAAGTGCAATATCTCTGATAAGAACGACAAGTACAACTTATAATCTGAACCATGCCACTATTTAAATGAATTAAAACATAGCATGAAAGTTATGGCAAAACTCTGGAACCAAACATCCACCAGTAGTTTTTACCTACTGCAATCGCGAATACTATAAAAGTCACACGAAATGGTAGCTGAGACATTGATCATATTATATATGAACAGGATGAAGAAAAAGTCCGACCAATAAAACTTCAGGTTATGTACTGATATCGAACAAGCACAGGGGAGACCTTTTATATTATTTCTTTCAATCGAGGTCATTTTGGGACGGTGGTGGCGTCTTATTTCCTGTTCCTGAGGTGGCTTATCTGGATCAACGTATATCTGATGCTTATACAAGTCTGCTTTGTCATTGTTCCGGAGGTAATGCATGATGTTAAATTCGTAAGCCTTATAACAAGAGAACGTAATGATACACGATGTAACTGTTGTGGAAAACAATGAAATTTCTCTTGTAAATACTATCAAATTTATCCAGGAACTTATCCAATGTACGTTGCGTTGTTTCTCGTCCGATCCAATTGACTTTTTGTCTATCATCCTTCAGCTAATCGGGGGTGATAGCCATGGAAGCATTGGACGTAAATCCATTCCGGTGTCGGAGCTGGGAACATCACAGGAATTGGGAACAATCTGGGACGCTGAGGTAAATGATGTCGAAGTTCTTCAAGTCATTCAACCACATTTTTAACTGCAATTCCAATCAAAAGCCGTCTCTCCCACAATTTCTGCCTATGCCTATGTTGCTTTGTCTACAAAGTGCACAGCGATATATTGTCACAGCTTTGTTTACTTGATATAACAAACATACCAACAATATTTCAAAACATTTATCTTGAACGCCTAGTCGATATTTTTTGCCATTTACGTATTAGTTATCTGCCCACTAAATTTGAACGACACAAATTCGGAAATAAGTTGTTTATAGGATTTATATGTATTCTTTATTTCCCACTCAAAATCCCATTGTGTGACGGGTGTCGTCTTAAGACAATTTACGGACAGCTTAAAACTTTACTCACGGCCTTTTTCGGTCGTCCATATTCATTATCAACTAAGGTCCTAGCGTTAAAGAGTTGAAATATATTTTATCTCGAAATCTGAACAATCCCTAAATACTTCTTCGTTTGCTATGTATCAGGTGCCGCTCATATCGTGTGTGAAGATCTGGACCTTAATACATGTAGTTTCAAATTAAGGTCCAGCAGAAAATTGCTTTGTGATGTGTGTAATATTTGTGGTTTCCTGCTTTATGTAGATATCAAAGAACTTCGTGACGTGCCTTTCATTCTCCAGCAATAGTGACGAGTTTTTCTGATTCCAGTGATAGTGGTTTGTTTAATACTTACGATTTTCTGTTCCCAGGGTATTGTCAAGTATTCGGTGATGTTTTATGGTTACTACGGCAGTGAGCGTGTGCTCGGTCAGGGATACCGACTTCCTCTGGCTTACCTTGTGTCCGGCTTCGCCACCTTTGCCATCAGTTTCTTCGTTGTCCTTAGAAAGTAGGTCCGAGTGCAGTCATCTTCAGCTTTCTTGTGATAAGAAAAACACAAAAGAAAATACCAACTTGTGAACATATTCATTATCCAAACTCAAATTCGAGAAAAACATATGAACAAAAGAAAAAATTACACGAAGAGTCGTGGAAATAAAAGGAGAATAATACCAGGTGTTCTCGAAGAGTAAGCGTCTCCTGCTACATCGACGACACCCGTCATGTGATCTCACGTTTCCAAGGGAAACTACAGATTTCCTCACAAATTTCCAACATATCTAATTTCATATTGCATAAGGAAATAGAATATATTTAGAAATCCGGTATTTTCACTTGCATGTGTTGTCAGTTGCCGACATCCTCTTCGACAACAAATCGTGATATTGATAACAAGCCTTTGAATATGGAATCTACTATTAGCATGTTAACACTATAGATTGGGGATGCAGGGAGGCTGCCACAGAAATTGGAAATTGAAAATAGAAAAATCGAAATCATTACGCTTATCATACTGTTTGATAAAAAAAAAACCAGTCCCTGTTAATTTCATATAATAAAAAAGATGGAGCTAATCGGCTGATGTAGAAGAGTATTTCACGCCATTGATTTGCGATTCGGGTGTGTATATACGATTCACAGTCAATAAATTGCTTGTTTATGGACAGGACTGCTACATATTTACCGAGCTGTTAAAAAGGCAAATTTTCGCGATGTTTTTGATATTTCATTTGTAGAATTTGAAATCAATGGTCCAGTGAATATTAGGGATGGAAAGCGAAACATAAATTTCGCATGAAGCTTTCTTTCTCAGATGCTATAGATGTTTTTTGTACATAATGATTCCCAGATACCTAAAATCCTTTTGTAGAATGGCGTCAAATTCCCGACTGAGTCGGCTATCGAATAAGGACGAGCAATACACCTTCTCCTGGCGCTTGTTCTGTAGCTGGGACTTCTCTATAGGCAACACTGAGACAGCCACCACCAAGACTGCATCTGTAGTGACAACATTCCGGGTAGGTAGGACAGCACTATAGACACCAAGTAGACAGCCACAACCAAAACTGATATGTAGGACAGCACTGTAGGCCACCAAGACTGCCTCTGTAGTGACAACATTCCGGGTAAGCAGGACAGCACTATAGTCACCATGTAGACAGCCACAACCAAAACTGATATGTAGGACAGCACTGTAGGCCACCAAGACTACCTCTGTAGTGACAACATTCCGGGTAAGCAGGACAGCACTATAGACACCATGTAGACAACCAACACCAAATCTGCACCTGTAGTGACAACATTGCGGGTAAGTAGGATAGCACTATAGACACCATGTAGACAGCCACCACCAAGACTGCCTCTAGTGACAACATTCTGGGTAGGTCGGTCTGCATTGTAGACCACCAAGACTGACTCTGTAGTGACAACATTCTAGGTGGGTAGGACAGCACTGTAGACCACCGATACTGCCTCTGTAGCGACAACATTCTGGGTAGGGAGGACAGCACCAAAGTTGTCCTCGTAGTGACGGTAAGGTAGAATTCCTAGATTGCAATAATCGCTATCAAATTAAAAACGCCTCACTTATAACAAGCTCACGGGTAGAGATGTCTTTACATAATTCGTTTCCGTTGTATACGAGATTCAAGTTCTCAGATGCATCTTATGTAAAGGCTGTCAAAACCGTACCTCACATCTGAAGCATGTGTCTATATAAAATCAATCAAACGCCGTACACTTTCTTTTTTACAGGAAGCTATACTAGAGGAGAAAGAAAAAGAAAAAGACATGAACAAGTACGTACAAGGTTGTGAGGTCGTTGGTTCATATCAATATGTTTTAACTTCTTACAATCAAAAGACAAGATAAGATATCAGTGTTCAAGTTTGTTTCACTATGTTATACATAATCATTGAATGAAATATGTTTGTGTTATGTTACCGACCGTTCATAAAAGATCTCGATCTAGATCAAACTTGTGAATATACGAAAAACTATTTTGAAAACATAAACAGCTAACACAGCGACTTTAGAAATGGCGTGGAGAACGAGGCAAAGTGTTTTACGGAGAAATAAAGGACATCGAATTTTCTGTCAATGGAACTTCTTGAACACTTACCTTTCAACTGATCAAAGGTGAATTGCCTGGTTTTCCTATTCCAGAAACACGTTGTTAGCAATGCATGGGCCCTGGCTAACTTGCCCTTTTGGTTTTACTGTGACCGGTTCAAGTTGCTGGCGATGGAGAGATTCTGGCTAACGTGTCCTGATTGGCTTTAATATTACAGGCTCTGGTTGCTGGCGATGAAGAGATTATGGCTAACATGCCTTGTTTGGTTTTGGTATTTCAGGTTCAGGTTGCTGATGACGCGGGTCCTGGCTAACGTATGTGTGCTGCTGATGCTGGGGGCAAGTACGTATGCCATTCAGCTATGTGTTGAGAGGTCCCGCCAATTGGACATCCGCAAACGGCGGGGTCATGTCGTCACGGGATTCTGGCAGGAAAACGAGGCAAGAAACATTCCTATTACGAATTGTTAAACAAGTGGTTGTCAGAGACTAACAGAAGTCCCTTGTTAAAGTTTACACTGAATTCCGAAGAATTGTCAGCATCCATTATCTAAGTTAATTATCCGGTGTTCGATACTGATGTCGTCCTGGTTGATTTTTGTTACTATTCAAAATGCAAAAACAAGTAACGTAGAATTTGAATTTTGCCTACTCGATTGTGCAGGGCAATTAACTATTTTCAGTTGTTTGTATGACGTTCCCCTATGTACTTTTTTCCTTTTCTACTAAAGTGTACGCCCAGTGATTCCTTATTCCGAAATTACGATTCACTGTGGTGTATGAAGGGCATCGGTGCCATGTGTTATCGTTGCAATGGTTCCCACTTTGTAAACATAAGATTTCTTTCCGTTTCATTTAAATGGTCATTGATTTTTTCCCCACTTTTCCTTTCGAACTGAGATTTTGTTTACACCTTCTCTCTTTTGTTTCCGTCAACAAGTAATCTTCGCTGTTTCAACGTCAATTTGTTATTGTTTGTTATTTGGTCTGCTCAACCTTTATTTCATAATCTTGATAATTGTATGTTCTACTTTTATATCTCTTTTTGTTTTAATTTATCTTTTGTCTCTTCAGACGTAATTAGATATTCATCGTTTCCATGTTAACTTTCTATGTGCAAAAATTATAACTGACTTTTCAGATGTTTGGTTTTTTGTGTCTCTTTAACTCGCACTGTACGTCATACTTCGTCTCGTTTTCCGGATTTTGTGAATTAAACCGTTCTTTATTTGTACTCCGCACAGCTAACACTGGTAATGACCATTATTTCCACCATCTTTCCCAACATCTTCGACATTTTTGCAGTCCTTGAGAAGTACCACCCCCGTATTACTCTCCGTTGGCAGTTAGCCAGGTAGATAATTCCTTGAAATCAATGTAATTATAAAAGACATCAACTATGTTTTGAACGAATGAATGTGGTTTTCTCGTAGCTCTTCGAAAGGATTAAGATTTGAAAGTGACCTGGATATCACTATGCGTTAGTATAATTCCTTTTATCTAATATCTCCTGCTTTTTATATGGTAACCTTAATGAGCCTTATTTACTAAACATAAAATGATAATATGTTTATGTGACCCTGGTCAATACCAGCCGTAATATTCCGCTTGGATACAGAAAGCTACAGAGCTCGATTGGTTGAGCGCAAGACAAGTGAGCTAGAGGTTACGGGATTGAATTTTAGAGGAAACACTGAAAATAATAATGACTTCTGTGACGTGGATTATAACCTAAATGATTTTGAGTTATATCATTTTGTTGTGCTTCTGTGTAAAAAGTTGCAAAGTTTTGAAATTATATATAAAGCAAAAACAATTGTAAATGAATTGGAACAGAACGATTGATATTTCAGGATCTTTGCACTGAACCTTTTGAATCTGTATACACTATTCATAGCGCTGTTCTGGAAGCAACAAGACATGGTGAGTATATTATACCTAGACTCAAGAATGATAACACTATCACGTGGTAAAAAGATCATTTCTCTTCTTGGCAGATGGATGTCAAACTATCTTAATAACTGTATGTATTCCTAATTTCATTTATTTGTATTCTTTTTTTCTCTCCATCATCTGATATAAGAAAATTCTATTCAATTATAGGGTTAGTTCATCTCCCCATTTAGATTTTGACTTTTCTTTCGCTCACTTTGGATTTTCCTCAGACGCCTCTTAGGCTTCAAAATTTAGGCGCTTAGTATCACTGGTGAGTCTGAGATGGATGGAACAGCTGTATGATGCAGTTTAATTAATTTTATGACTCTACTTTATTTAACTCTAAATTTATATTTAAAGGAGCTATTCACTTGTGTGTCTTTTGTATCAGGAAAGTCGCCCGTAGAAGATATTTTCCATGTGGTGGTTTTTTGTTTTGGACTCCTGCATATATTGCTTGTAAACTCGATCATTCTAAACATCTGCTATAAATTGAAGAATGGAAGCCACTCTCATAAATGCCCTTATTTACATTTGAAGTGTTTTGTTACTTTTTTTCAGAAGAAAGAATTGGAAGAGAAAATGATCAATGGCACTCTTACTAACTGCGAACAAACCACGAGCATCCTTCCGGTTAATGTTACTATACCGCCAGCGACATTTGGCTACAAACCCTCGATCTGTAACGGCACGGAGTCGGAGGAAATGGCTGCGAACTTGTGTTGGGAAACCATGATAGGACAGGTCTATTAGTTATTTGTTTTTTCGTGTGATCATTAAGATAAACTTTACCAAGAAGGACCCCTGACTTCTCGACATTGAAAATTATTAGTTCAAACTGCAGATTGAATAAGATTTGCGCGATGACCCTTTGAAAGAGGGCAAAAAATATAAAACCAAGTGCTCAGGAAGGGTAAGCGTCGTATGTTCATTATCGACATGAAATCATTGATCGATCACATTATGTAACGTTTTGAAATGAGGACAAATTTAACAGCTATGGAAACACCAGGCATGCTTTTGAGTCTCGAACATGCATAACTGCATATCCAGCAAGAAAAAATATATATATTCAAATGAGATCAGGATGGGGACCATAAAACTTCCATGTGTGGTCTTCGTCTCTTCTCTTAAAACCTGCCACCAAAACAGGTATGATTTTGAGTATTTTGACCCTGAACAGGAAGTGGTGAAGCTGACGTTGATGGACTTAGTGGTGGTACTGGCACAGATTATTGTACTCGACTACATACGAGGTCTCTTTGTTCGTTACTGCAACCAAATGTGCTGCTGGGACTTGGAAAAACAATTTGTACGTTCATCAGATAATATGAATCGCACCTCTTCTCTGATAAGTATCTGTGGAATATCTGTTGAAAACTACACCATGTGTGACACGTTTACCTTTCTTCCTAATTTCCTTAGCGATGGAATAAATACAATATTAAAACCGTAAGACATACACGATGAATGCTTATACATTTTGATGTAAAAACAAACAACAAAACAAAAAAAACGTAAATAATCATGTAAAATATGTTTAAGTAAATAAACCGGAATCAATCGATCATACGGACCAAATTTCAAAAATAATTGCCAAGATGTAAAATAAATATGTAAAAGAATCGGATATTTTCCCATCGTCGATGCAAGATATAGATAACATAGGGCATTGCTGTATTTTGTTCAACATTAGAGATAATTGTTTCAAGCTTTCGGGTAATTGGTAACGCGATTTCATCTTTCATTTTCAAGATTTTAATTTTGCGCTCAGTCACACTTATATAAATGTGAAACAAGAAACAAGGTCTCATAACAATGAATGGTTTTGTGTAGATCATAACGGAATGCCATAGAGTTATATCATAGTATCATTAGATAGCTAAATCCTCCCAAAACCAGGCGAGATACTCAATAAAGCGGTGATCAAAGTTAATGGAATGTTCACACCGTAAGTTATACGTTCTGAAAATTGTATGTAAACGAATAACCGGAAGTGATAAAAAATCAGGTAACACTGTGTGCTTGAGTTTCATATATCATCTGACCCATGTGTACCCCGAAGAACCCCTATCTTGATCGCCATGTTCAGACCTGGGGCTGATCATGAAACCGTTCTCGTGCTCAAGAATGAATTTCATGCGCAAGCCTTGTGTTTTGTTTGAGTTAAAAAATAATAAATAAGGCTGATTTTCCCAAAGATTTAAAACACAATTTGAAAGAACTTCAAGTTATATTCAATTTTTATATTTGATATTTGTATTATTTTTATATGATTTAGGCGAATTATAAAACATTGCTTGAGCACATAATATTTGCTTGAACATGATCATGATTTCATTAATACGGGCCTTGGTCCCCGACAGACTGCAAATTAATTAAGACGTTATCGTATAGGCTTCAAATTGAAACTTCGCAAAAAACGGGAATGCGTTTTTCCAAATAGAAAATATACCATTGTAGTATGTCTTTGGACACACTTGACGCAATATTCGTGACATATATACAGACAAGGCGATAGAAAACATGACAGCACAAGAAGAAGTTTTAACACTATTTTTGCAGAAGACACTGAAATCATTCAACTATAAAATTGAAAAATAACACGTGCAACGTTTGTTCTTTATTCCTGTTTTGATTTTGTATGTTGATAGCCGGAATACGCCGATTTTAAGACTGCTGAAAACCTGCTCCATCTCATAAACAACCAAGGAATCGTTTGGTAAGTTATGAAGTTGTCAACGCAATTCAAAACGAGTAATCGACGTTGAGTGTTCTCACAGTTGTATTAACGTTTGTAAATGATAATTTGCGACGGTATAAAATATTACATGAAGATGTATACATCTATTCCAGGTTGGGATTATTTTTCGCGCCTGGGCTTGCTGTTCTCAATCTTCTAAAGTTGTTCATCCTAGTGTATGTACGGAGTTGGTCCGTCATGGTGTGTAACGTTCCGCAGGAGGCGATTTTCCGCTCGTCACGCTCTAATAATTTCTACTACGCCCTATTGTTGGTGATGCTGTTTCTCACTATGCTACCTCCTCTATTTGCTATCGTTGCTCTAATTCCGTCACCGCACTGTGGACCATTCAGGTACGTCAATAACAGCACTCACCCAAGTTTAGCAATGTCCTAGTATTCTTCTTACAGAGTTTAATATAAATCCGTTTTTCATTTTCATATAAACCAGCGGCCAACAACAGATGCTGAGTACCCTGACCGACACGATTGAACAGGACTTACCGAGCGTGGCGGGGACCATTCTCGACTACTCTTCCTCTCCGATAGTTATCGTACCGGTCTTTATGTTACTCGGGTGCGCAACCTAGTGAACATGATACACTAGTTTGGTGAAAAAAATCTAGTCGGTTTTTTTCTTGTGAAGTTAAACAGAGGTTTGTTTTAGAGATTTCCAGTTTTAAGATACTGCTTCACTCAATGATCTTGCTGAAACAATAAAACGTTTTGAGGAATTCTTAGCATGCACACAGTATGCAAATAATGAATGTTTATCTTTTGTTGAGGACAAATTTTATTTGGTTTAGTATTAATATTTTCTGAGACAGTTTCACCATTCTCAAAGTGTTCATTTCTCGCCACAGAATGCTCATATATTACCTGACGATTGTGAGTCAGTCTCTCCGGGACGCCAACAAGCAACTTCGCATAGCGTTGGAATATGTAAGTTACTCAATACTTAGGCACCAGCAACAACATCTGTGTTCCAACATCACGATTTTTCAATTTATGTAAATGGTTTTCTTAGCTCATAGACAAAGTCATATGTATGCCTTGCTATTCTTTTTTCAGATCTGTAGATTAAATGTCAGTGTTGCTATAATTAGGAAATCCTAGACACAGCTAGTGGACTTTCGCCCTGAGTATCATGCATGCTATGATTTTGGGATGCGAAAAGAAGAACTTGTCTTGATGCATCATAGAGTTTTGAAATTTGGGTTACTGCACTTCCCCAAGTGTTTTCGGTCATTGATTTTGCCTAATTTTGACTTAACTCGGTCGCCTTATGGGTTTGAACAATTTGGAAACATTATGATATAGTTTAATTCATAAAAGTTTATACAAAGTTCACGGATTCCTTTGCTGATTCCATCGAGATAACAAATATTGTGTAACACCAGAAAATCAAGAGTTTCATTTCCACAACTTCTCAAAACTAATCTATCACACACACTTGTAAACATGTATGATAAAAAAAAACATGAGAATGAATTGTCACATCTTCTTGATAATTTGTACAATTCCTTCTTAATCACGTCATCAATCAGCACGAAGATCGATCGCGAGATTGGTAATTACTCTGACTCTATTCTAAAATTATCTGATGTATGGAAATTACGAAATTTATCTAATTATTGGACTGCTGCACCTCCCCGTTTATATTTTTACTTTTCTTTTGATCACTTTGGATTTTCCTTAGTCTCTTCCTAGGCTTCAAAATTTAGGCACTAAGCATCACTTACGAATCCACGAAGGACGAAACAGCTGTATGATGCAGTTAAATTCATTGTTTGGCTTTACTGTATCTCACTCTAAATTATAAACATGTGCTGTTCATTTTTGTGTCTTTTTGTACAATCTTTAAGAGACTATGGTTACGTTGAAAACATTAGAACAATATGACCCCGCCTTATCCCCCAAACAACTGTTCGAAGTAATATATATATATATTTAATTAGGAGCGGACCGAGGGGAAGAGAAAGATATATGCAATGGCAGATGGTGAGTACTCGCCTTTTTATAACATCTATCCTCTATCAATTTGCTTATAGTCGCAGCGGATGTTAACCATAAGCAACAATATCATCTAATATTCTTATAGAACCACGATTTACTTTCAAGCCTCTTCATCAGACGCAGTAATGTTACACTTTACGGTCACTGAAGTCCTTTATCGTACCTTTATTTCATTACAGCCACATGGGAGCTGAAGTCAGACGGCTAGTCAACCAACAACGCACGTGAGCGAAGTAGGCGTAATGTTTCGAAGGCGGAACCAAGGAAGAAACAAGGTGGATTGGGCGAAGTCGGTATGTAAAACTTGCATCCTCATTAAGGTTATAGAATTAACTACTGGTGTTGTGTCCTATAGGTTTTTAATTTTTTTTAGCCATTTCCATGCTCGCTGCGACAAGAGTGGCAAAGATATTATCTGCTGGTCCAACGTCTAAGGTCAGACCATCGACAGCTGGGCCCGCTTCTAAAACGACCAAGGGATGGAAGATCGCAGCTGATAAGGCTGGACCAAGTCAAACGATTGATCCTGGACCAAGTAAAATTAGCTTACTGGAGACAATATCTGACACAATGCGTGACTCCCAAACAGGAAAAAGACAAACAGCTCTAAAGATGGCCAAAACAACACAGCCGAAATCTTACTCTCATGTAGCCAAAACATCGGGGACGGATAATGAAAGACATCAGACGCAGGTGGCCGTTGTGCGAGCTACACAGAACTTCAGGAAACTTACGAGTAAAAGGTATGTCTGTAAGTTACTATGTTTATTTTGGTAGTATAACAGCACCATGTGATACATCTACAGGTGACATGTATCATTGCTAAAACATGTACTTTCTCAATGTTGTTCTAAAATTATCTGATATGTGGAAATTACAAAATTTATGTAATTATTGGGCTGCTACACCTTCTCATCTAGATTTTGCCTTTTTTTCGATTACACTATATTTTTCTCGGTCGCCTCTAAAATTTGGAGTCCTCGGCATCACTGACGATTCCTAGAAGGACGAAACAGCTGTATGATGTAGCACCACTGACGATTCCTAGAAGGACGAAACAGCTGTATGATGTAGCACCACTGACGAGTCCAAGAAGGATGAAACAGCTGTATGATGTAGCACCACTGACGAGTCCAAGAAGGACGAAACAGCTATATGATGTAACATCACTGACGAGTCCTAGAAGGACGAAACAGCTGTATGATGTAGCACCACTGACGAGTCCAAGAAGGACGAAACAGCTGTATGATGTAGCACCACTGACGAGTCCAAGAGGGACGAAACAGCTGTATGATGTAGCACCACTGACGAGTCCAAGAGGGACGAAACAGCTGTATGATGTAGAACCACTGACGAGTCCAAGAAGGACGAAACAGCTGTATGATGTAGCACCACTGACGAGTCCTAAAAGGACGAAACAGCTGTATGATGTAGCACCACTGACGAGTCCAAGAAGGACGAAACAGCTGTATGATGTAGCACCACTGACGAGTCCAAGAAGGACGAAACAGCTGTATGATGTAGCACCACTGACGAGTCCTAAAAGGACGAAACAGCTGTATGATGTAGCACCACTGACGAGTCTAAGAAGGACGAAACAGCTATATGATGTAACATCACTGACGAGTCCTAGAAGGACGAAACATCTGTATGATGTAGCATCACTGACGAGTCCTAGAAGAACGAAACAGTTGTATGATGTAGCACCACTGACGAGTCCAAGAAGGACGAAACAGCTGTATGATGTAGTTTAATTCATTGTATGGCTCTGCTGTATCATTTAAAATTATTTGGATATGCTATTCACTTGTGTCATTTGTTCAATCTTTTTATGGTACATTCTTGTATGCTACAGTAAAGATCGCATAGACTTCACAATAAAGGTTTCTGTGTATTACGGTATGTAATATTTGTCCGGTAGATAAGTACGATAAACCATGTTGTAGCTCGTCAATCACTGAAGGTTCTTCAGACGGACGACATTATACCGATGATAGTCGAAGGAGAATCGGAGACCGGAATCATTGGAACATCGCAGGACAATGTAGTGACGGTAAGGAAAATAGCACATCTGTAGCTTCTGAATCCATGCACAAAGGTAAAAGATAGCTCATAAGAGGACAGCGCCACTATATCAAACGTCATATTCAATACCTTGTAATGATACTGCTAATAAAGAAACCATGGATGCATTTTCTGTTCCACATTTATAGCTAGATAACAAAGCTATTAAATGCTTATTTATGTGATCATGTACATTAATGATTAGATACGGCTTATGATAATAGCGTGTGACGTTCAACATGTGATGGCATATCACTGGCACTGATTTGTATGTATGCTTGTTGTACCAACAAATAAATTCCTTGAATATGTTTAATTGTAACTGCCAAGAACACTCATAGCTGAAGTTTTCAGAACGTTCATTGATAACAATGACAGTAATAACTTTCTAGACTCATGAAACAGCTGTAGGATGAATTCATTCTGTGGCTCTATTGCATCTGATTATAAATTTGAATTTAAATGCGCTATGCACTTATTCTTTTACCATTTTGTTGTCTTGAATCCCAGATATAGATGAGGTACCAGAAGATATGGAAGGTTGTTAAAGAGTAGGATATCGTCGTGCAAACAAGAAGCTTCTATTCCGAGTTCACGTTCACTGACAAGGGCCTGTCGTACATTAGACAATTACGTCATTTGACTCCAAATGGATTAGGTGTAGGTGAAGACGAAGTCACAACTTTCGGAAAAATCTAATGATAATCGTTACTTCATCAACAGTTCACACGGAGTAACTCCATAAATTCCTACTCGCGTGGAAAGCAACGTCATCGGCGACTGCTTCAGTACTTTCTGGCCAACAAGATACTATCAGGGACGTCCCTGATACTATCAAACTATCTGAAAGTCTGATCTGTTGATCATGGATTTATCCCTTAATGCATGTCCATGATTATGTCCATATAGACGAGAAAGCATCTCGGACCTTCACGACACACCATAAAATATGACAATATTTCTGGAAAGGAATAACAAAATCATTTAACTTTGTTCAATATTTTATTGTCATGTGCGTCTAAAGGGACAAATCACACTGACAAAGCCATTCGTTAACAACAAAATGGCATACGACTTATACATTGTCTATCCTTACAACTGCGGCCCGTTTTACCCGACTGTCTTGATACTAACCTTAGTTAGTTACCGTGAAGTCGTCATACGTAAAACTATTCACGATATACATTTTAATTATGTGAGTTCCATATTTGATCCCAGACCTCCAATTAAATATTATGACGTAATCTAATTAAAGCTTATAACATAGCAAGTCTGATCTGTTTTGTGAAATGGTTCACAACGCATATCGAAAAAGGTGTGCCTCTTCATGTGACATTTTGTATTAAATTCTAATTGTGTCATATGTTGCTATGGTGTATTTCAAGATCTACAAAAATTGAAACATGAAGTTCGATTAAAGCTGTAGAATTAGCACTTAAAATATAGCTCGCAGTCTTCAAAAACGATATTACCCCAATCACAGATATAAAATATTGAGAGACGTTTAAAACTTAGGTTCAATCGAGAGTCTGCACTGGTGCTTATTTTCTAGAAATATTGTTCAGCTATCAAATCCAACAAGATGGCACATACTGCATATGGCGACCACATTCAAAGCTTAGATGTTTTTATAGAGAAAGTAGAAGTGATAAATCACCTTAGTAAACCTACAACAAGCGATATTTACAGTCTCTTACCTAATCATTCATTAAATACCCTGACCTGAGGATGAACACATAAAATACTATAACAATTACACAAAATGTTTTGTACATAAAATGATTACTTCATAACTACATACATTAAACATGCAATGTACAAGTCTGATGACACAGGAATTACATTAAATATACAATGTACATATCTGATGACACAGGAATTACATTAAATATACAATGTACATGTCTGATGACACAGGAATTACATTAAATATACAATGTACATGTCTGATGACACAGGAATTACATTAAATATACAATGTACATGTCTGATGACAAAGTAATTAAAAACATTAAACTTACAATGTTCAAATCTGATAACAGAGTAATTACATACTTAAAATATACATCTCTACTCCAATATTACTACCATGATTTATTTATATCTTATCTAATAATCACAATGAAGGAATTACAAATTATGACACAGGAAACATTAAATATACAATGTATGTTGATCACACAATACATTAAATATAATGTACATATGATGATCACACAATTACATTAAATATACAAGGTATGTTGATCACACAATACCTTCCCAAGAATGGCGAGGTATGTTGATCACACAATACCTTCTAATAATGACGAGGTATGTTGATCACACAATACCTTCCAATAATGGCGAGGTATGATGATCACACAATACCTTCCAAGAATGACGAGGTATGTTGATCACACAATACATACATTAAATATACAAGGTATGTCTGATCACACAATTACCTTACCAATAATGGCGAGGTATGTTGATCACACAATACCTTCCAATAATGGCGAGGTATGTTGATCACACAATACCTCCCAATAATGGCGAGGTATGTTGATCACACAATACCTTCCAATAATGGCGAGGTATGTTGATCACACAATACCTCCCAATAATGACGAGGTATGTTGATCACACAATACCTCTCAATAATGACGAGGTATGTTGATTACACAATACCTCCCAATAATGGCGAGGTATGTTAATCACACAATACCTTCCAATAATGGCGAGGTATGTTGATCACACAATACCTTCCAAGAATGACGAGGTATGTTGATCACACAATACCTCCCCAGAATGGCAAGGTATGTTGATCACACAATACCTCCCAATAATGACGAGGTATGTTGATCACACAATACCTTCCAATAATGACGAGGTATGTTGATCACACAATACCTCCCAAGAATGACGAGGTATGTTGATCACACAATACCTTCTAATAATGACGAGGCTAAGGATATGTCAATCAAGACTTTCAATAAATAAAAAACCCAGTCGTGTTCACACATTCACTAACAGATCAACCATTTCTGTCAACATTCCAGAAGCAATAGAACCCAGCATTTGCAGAAGCAGCAAAAATGGCAGATAAAGGATAATAGGTTTACAACAAACCCCTTTAACCAAATAATATACAAAAGAAAAAATCTGGGTTACATATAAGTTTTTCTACACATATATTTACATAAATAAGAATATCTCACTCGCATGTGGAAGGAGGATACATGGTGGGTAGCACCCGAGCCTCCCTCAGGTAGTGTAATGTAAATAGCAGATCCAATGTTATAGATCTCAAACATGCCGCCATCAGTTTCTTTAAACACGGATCTCCAGCTACAATCACTGCTCTCCAATATGCCTCTGTTAGCTCTCCTGTACTACCCATTGTTTCCAGTGTGACTCGCAATGATTGGAACTGTCCAAGAAAACCAAAACATTAATATCTTGTATGAATAATTCTGGATTTGTACTTTACAATTATTTACTACTTGCATTAATTGTAAATTTTTACTGTGTATAGGCTTAACTGTAATTTAACCTATTGAGAGAAACCCTAGCAATATCCTCCATGAATTATCACAAGCCATTCGATATCAAAGAACATAGCGTCCGTGGGCCTCGTATATAGCTTCATGAGAAAACGGTTAATATTATCATTTTTGTAAACACTCCTCTTTTGTGACAGCTTACAGAGTGGGCATGTGACATGAGATAGGAAAATTAGAATCAGTCATCAACTTAATTATGAAAGATATGGAAAATAGAAACCAATACACATGTATCTGTAAAATTGCAAAATATGGGGTTAGTTTTATACTATAAATAATAAAAAATATTGGTTTGTAAAGTAAATGGTTTTATAGATCTTTTTACTCTATTGCATACATGGTACTGTGAAGTGAAGGGTTTTCATACCGTAAAACATAAATCTATTAGTTTGTACTGTTGGGTAGGTATAATTTGTATGATATGTCCCTGGTGCTGTAAAGTGAACTGTTTTATACTATAAAACATAAATCTATTAGTTTGTACTGTTGGGTAGGTATAATTTGTATGATATGTCTCTGGTGCTGTGAAGTGATTTGTTTTACACTATAAATCTATTAGTTTGTACTGTTGGGTAGGTATAATTTGTATGATATGTCTCTGGTGCTGTGAAGTGATTTGTTTTACACTATAAATCTATTAGTTTGTACTGTTGGGTAGGTATAATTTGTATGATATGTCTCTGTTGCTGTGAAGTGATTTGTTTTACACTATAAATCTATTAGTTTGTACTGTTGGGTAGGTATAATTTGTATGATATGTCTCTGGTGCTGTGAAGTGATTTGTTTTACACTATAAATCTATTAGTTTGTACTGTTGGGTAGGTATAATTTGTATGATATGTCTCTGGTGCTGTGAAGTGATTTGTTTTACACTATAAATCTATTATTTGTACTGTTGAACATATAAGGTATAATTTGTATGATATGTCTCTGGTGCTGTGAAGTGATTTGTTTTACACTATAAATCTATTAGTTTGTACTGTTGGGTAGGTATAATTTGTATGATATGTCCCTGGTGCTGTAAAGTGAACTGTTTTATACTATAATACATAAATCTATTAGTTTGTATTGTTTGGGAGGTATCGTCTGTATAATACATCCCTGGTGCTGTAAAGTGAATTGTTTTATACCACAAATCGTATATCTATTATTTCTTCTGTCATGAACATATAATCTGCATTATACATATATTATCCGACACCTGCTCTTTGACCTTACCCTGCAAATCTCCTCCGATATAAACTAGTAATAGTACACTTGATGAACAAGACAGGAACTATTCTCTGGTAAAAGGTACAAAAGACGGAGAGGTGAACCATTCTCTAGTAAAGGCTAGTAAATGTACCGTACACTAGACAAACAGAGAGAAGAACTACTCTCTGGTAAAGGTACACTAGACAGACAGAGAGAGGTACTACTCTCTGGTAAAAGGTACACTAGACAGAGAGAAGAACTACTCTCTGGTAAAGGTACACTAGACAGACAGAGAGAAGAACTACTCTCTGGTAAAGGTACACTAGACAGACAGAGAGAAGAACTACTCTCTGGTAAAGGTACACTAGACAGAGAGAGGTACTACTCTCTGGTAAAGGTACACTAGACAGAGAGAGGAACTACTCTCTGGTAAAGGTACACTAGACAGACAGAGAGAAGAACTACTCTCTGGTAAAGGTACACTAGACAGAGAGAGGTACTACTCTCTGGTAAAGGTACACTAGACAGAGAGAGGAACTACTCTCTGGTAAAGGTACACTAGACAGACAGAGAGAAGAACTACTCTCTGGTAAAGGTACACTAGACAGACAGAGAGAAGAACTACTCTCTGGTAAAGGTACACTAGACAGACAGAGAGAGGTACTACTCTCTGGTAAAAGGTACACTAGACAGACATAGAGAAGAACTACTCTTTGGTAAAAGTACACTAGACAGAGAGAAGAACTACTCTTTGGTAAAAGGTACACTAGACAGAGAGAAAAACTACTCTTTGGTAAAGGTACACTAGACAGACAGAGAGAGGAACTACTCTCTGGTAAAAGGTACACTAGACAGACATAGAGAAGAACTACTCTTTGGTAAAAGGTACACTAGACAGAGAGAAGAACTACTCTTTGGTAAAAGTACACTAGACAGAGAGAAGTTCTCATTACTTACTGATTATAACTGCCAGTATAATTACAATAACCAGCACCAGTATTATCTTCATCTACAACAGAAAAATAAATTGGAATTATCCTCATCTATGATAGGAATCATCTATTTAACTGGTTTAATATCTTCTACTACAGCCTTTCTGCCTTTCAGCAGATAAGAGGAAGATAAGTAGAGAGGAAAAAGTATGAAGTGATGGCAGAGAGTGGGGTACAGATATAAATGATAGCAAATAAGTCAGTATTATCTTAAACTACAACAAGCAAGTATTGATTATCTTCATTGAAATTCGAAAATTCAAATTATTCACATCTACAACAGAAAAATAGGTCGGGATTATCTTCATCCTGTGTTCAGTGGAGATACATAAAGCTTTTTTTTAAACTTTAAAATCAAATGACAGAATGATATTCTTTTTATATATGTGTATGTAGAAGAAAGATATTCAAAGTGAAGAATGACAAAACGTGGTAAATCATTTAGTAGAGTCTCTGGCTTTTTTAAAATCTTTTTGTGACCCTCAAGTGTAATACCGTTCTCCTACATATACCACTAAAAAGTCTTACAATCTTCAACAACAATGGAAAAAGTAAGTAAGGATTATCCTCTGGAATGGAAACGGGTCAGGATTTCCTTCATAAGACAATGAATTAGGTGGGCATTACCTTTACCTACAAGGAAGCAATGCCAATATTATTTACATCTTGGATGACAACAAGGTCAAGATTATCTTCATCATAAAGGGAAATAATTTCAGGATTAATAGCATCTTCAGATGAAACAATTTCAGGATTATCTTGATCTTAATTGGAAACAGTGTCAGGATTATCTTCATTTTAGATCCATATAATGTCAAAATTATCTTAATCTTCAAGATGAAATAATGTCATGATTATCATCATATCAAGATGAAATTGTGTTGGGATTATCTTCATATCAAGATGAAATAATGTCAAAATTATCTTCATATCAAGATGAAATAATGTCAAAATTATCTTCATATCAAGATGAAATAATGTCAAAATTATCGTAATCTTCAAGATGAAATAATTTCATGATTATCATCATATCAAGATGAAATAATGTCATGATTATCTTCATATCAAGATGAAATTATGTTGGGATTATCTTCATATCAAGATGAAATAATGTCAAAATTATCTTCATATCAAGATGAAATAATGTCAAAATTATCTTCATATCAAGATGAAATAATGTCAAAATTATCTTCATATCAAGATGAAATAATGTCAAAATTATCTTCATCTTGAAATGTATCAAGGTCAGGATCGATCTTTTCATATCTATTTTTCAAACATGGTCATACCTTTTCTATATAATGGCAGGAGTTCAAAAGTAAGCACTGCCTATAATTCTTTTTGTCAATATACTAGAACAGAATCATTTGACATCCAGACTACAATATGTATCCTGTAATTATATACATTTTTTATTAAAAATTTCTTAAGGTCAATGCTGTATAGTTATTATATTTAATGCGCCTTATATTTCATGGCCTTCTCAGTCTTGGTTAGTTCATGGGGATTAGATTTCACATCTACGTTCCTTAAGATTTTAATTATTTGTAAAGTATCTACCCTTAATGACTACAAAATTCAATTCCTCACAAATGTTACTTATACATTACTTCACACAAACACATAAGCTCCTCCCATCATCAAGTGGTTGGATACAACTTGTAATCTTGCATCTGTTAGCTATGTTTGGTAACTTTTATCCTCCTTTATATGAATAGGTTTTCACCTACATTACCAAAGGGTTGACATCCAAATAGATTACTTTAAAAAATTGATGAATCAAAGCTGTTACCTTGCAATTTTTCCACCACATGCTTTTTCTCAGGTCACGGGAACGGGATCGAAACAAATCTGAATTGCTAGCCAAATTGTCTAAAATCAAGAAAAATATATGTTATCAAAAACATGTCAGCAATGTATGTAATAGACAGGATCAAATTATGTCTTCTGATGTATTAAAACAACCCAGATTTCATCTGACAAATACAATGCAAATATACATAAGGTCCTGGTAAATGTAAAAGAACAATCTAGCCTCCATCAAACAAAGACAATACATCCACACAGGGCCCTGCTAAATGTAATGGAACAATCACACCTTCATCTGACAAAGACAACACATACAGGGCCTTGTAAATGTAAGTGGAAATCCACCAATCAATAGACTAGTAATGTAAATCTGTATTTACATTTAGGGCCCTGGTAAATGTATTTCAAATTTTCTCTATTACCTGTTCCTTCCATGTTACATCCAAAAGGTACATTGCTAAATCAACTGTTCCTATTAAATATATTGAAAAATAATTAATACCAAAGATACCCTATTAAATGACTTGTATCTGCATCTCTTGGTACATCATTTGTACCTTAAATATCCTGATAAAAGTTTTATATCTTAATTCTGCTACCTTAGTTGCACCTTCATGACATTGCAGATGGAGTTATATCTTACAATCCCTGTTCCATAATTAACTTACCAGATTTGTCCTGTAGATCTTCAAGACGGTCGCCGCGGTCAATCACTTTACCCATATTATCTTTCATAATACCTACAACATCATCCACCTGGTTCTGGAGTCTATACGAGTAAAAAAAATCCTCCAAGTATTTCCATAAACAACATATGTCAGTAATGTTAACAACAAACACCAAACAAATAAACATGTAACAATCAATAATAGGAATCATGATGATAAAAAAATATCACACAACATTATTTATCCCCCAATCTGTATTTTGGCAAGCTTAGATAGCAGAACAATAATATTTATCGTAGATAAATGTAAAATGTCAGGGTAGAAATGGCCTCCAGAACTTTATACACATTACAGTGAGTAATTACATCAAAACCTGGAGAAAAATCACAAGCAAACACTTTTCTTAGCTAAATGAAGTCTGTGGAATTGGCTAAACGGAATACTAGACATAGTTCAGAACTAAAAGTGGGACAGCCTGAGAGACAGACAAGAAAATAACAGCATCCCCTTCTGATCACCAGTTAAAGCAATATCAAACCATTTACAGGCTTTATTTTCAACTGTGTGAAATTCTTTAGCTCAACCAATTGGATTTGTGGTCTAGCTTTAAATGGAGACACTTGGAAAAAGTGACTTTAGTTACATAGACAATAGAGGCCCTATTGAATTAATAAGGAGTAGTCAAAAATGTACTGCCATCACTGGGGATACAAATAAGGATGGCCTTTTCCGACTTCCTACCACTTAACTATGGGAAATTCCCACCATTTGACACAAGAATGACGATCTGACTCTCCTTATTTAGGAATACTTTCTCTAACAACCTCTTCACTTCTAAAGATAACCACCAAGCAGCTTCTCAAGCTCCAATGAATCCTCTCAGTCTTCTATAGCTAGACGGAGTGATACAAATTGCCCTTCCCCTACATGAGGATCAAACTCTCAAGGGGTCTCTGCATTGGGTACTGGTAGGACCGTACCCTACAATAGTTGCTGGTTGTTAACCAATCCATTATCATTGGATAAAATCTTTTTCAGTATAAAGAACTGGGGAAAATTACATTCCTGTCAAGAACCAGGACAAAATTTGAACATGTCATGATGATAAAGAGATTAACCTTCAGAGATAAAGACACAAGCTCCATTCAGCTGAGATACAGAGGTACCCTACACACTTAACACTATGTAAAAGCCACAATGACCTGCTTCTTTCATATTTTGTATGTAGGACAAAATGTGCAAAAAGCTAAGCATGAGTTCACCAGAAAGCTTTCAGAAGAAACCAAATTTTCACCAGTAAACATATTTTCCTTCATTTATTCTTCATGTCTTCATTACAGTGCTATTCCAAGTTAAGATAAAAACACCATCAAGAAATTAATGGATTTTATTCAATCTTGAATAATCTCCCAAACATTTTTTGTTCTGAATTTAAATAACACTGTTCAATACTTGTTATATTGTGTGAAACAGATAAGCAAGTACTGAATGTCATTTCATTTTCAGAAATACCTGTTTATCTTGGGGTCTTCTCTTAGAGAATTGGTCTTCACATTGGGACCTCTGAAAGACGACAAGAGAAACATCAATAACTTAGACTGCCGAGGATACTTAAAGCATATATAACATGAAATAGAAGGGTTACAAATAAAGATTATCATATATAGAAAAGAACTCAACTTAGTGTCTTACTCTCAGGATTAGTTATATATAGACAAGTGTCAGACTTATCATCTTACTCTCAGGATGAGTTATATATAGACAAGTGTCACACTTACTGTCTTACTTACAGGATAAGTTATATATAGACAAGTGTCAGACTTACTCTCAGGATTAGTTATATATAGACAAGTTTCAGACTTACTGTCTTACTAACAGGATGAGTTATATATAGACAAGTGTCAGACTTACTGTCTTACTAACAGGATGAGTTATATATAGACAAGTGTCAGACTTACTTTCAGGATAAGTTATATACAGACAAGTGTCAGACTTATCGTCTTACTCTCAGGATGAGTTATATATAGACAAGTGTCAGACTTACTTTCAGGATGAGTTATATATAGACAAGTGTCAGACTTATCGTCTTACTCTCAGGATTAGTTTTATATAGACAAGTGTCAGACTTACTGTCTTACTCTCAGGATGAGTTATATAGTCAATTGTAAGAGATTCAAAATGGATGTAGTCTGTTATTCTCTAAGCTACATATGTATAAATTTTTGAACTTACTGTAGAAAGAAATCTTCCTCGTCAGATCCTGCCTCTAGTAAAGCCCTCTGTAACAGGAAACATAGGTTAGTCCTCTACACTATAGCTGTAATGTCTGCATTGCTTAAACATTCACTTACATCAGCTCACAGATTATTTGCATTAAACAATGATAACTAAAGTTTACACATACATCAAATAATGGTTAAACTGACATTTTATGATGGTTACACTGCGTGATATTAAATTGTCTGTTACTTACAGTTTCAGCACTTCTTGAAGAGGCATAGTCACCACTGCCAGGGTTACGAACAAATTTTGGAGGCATCCTTCAAAATAACATCAGGATTTCAAAACCAGAAATGCAAATGAGTTAAAACACACGAGTGAAGTGTTTAACCAATATGAGGATATCAAAATACTGCTTATAGTGTAAAACACTGCAGGTCGTATGATATTTATTGTATATGGACAGTTGGATGTTTAGTTTTTATTGGTATTTATTCATATTATAATATCAACTTGTCACAGATACAATTCATGTATATATAGTGACAGCGAAACATGAGCTATACACTTCTAATTTTCATTTAGGATCTTTTATATGTAACATGCCATACTTAGCCTCGAAGTGAATACACGCATCACATTTTTTTGTTTTTTTTTTGTTTTTTTTTTAATAGATTGTTGACCATACTTAAAGGTTGTTGACCATATTTTTGGTTGTTGGCAAAAATTATAGGATGTAGACCATATTTATAGGTTGTTGACGTTATTTAAATATCGGGTGAATGAATACTTATAGAAAGTAACATTCTAAATTGTAACGCAAAAAACAACAAGATGTGCATATGACAACCGCATCAAACATCATTGATTATTATATTACTTAGAGTGACACCAATGAAATTTTACCAGCCATGTCATAAGTTACTTACTTGTTTATCCAGACGAAATAGTGTCTTAAACTTTTGATCGGTGGATTAAGTCATAATATTGAGGACAACGAAAGAAAACAACATTTGACAATTGCCGAACTGCAAATGTGTCAAGCAGGAAGTGGGATTCTCGATAGCAATACTACATACTTTCGGAAGTTACTAGTTTTCACATTCGGAACACATCGCCTCCATTGCAGTACCTTCCAACGACGAAATGTGACCGAAGAAAAACTAATAAGAACTAGGTCCTTCACGCTGACAATGCCAGTGTACAAGTTTCATGTTGAGATGAGAAAATGTCACTTATGCTTCTGAGCCCTTCCCTCCGTATGTTAAAGGTATCTCGCGCCATCGTATCTAAGAAAGTGACGGCATTTTGGTCAGTACGATTCGGCTTGCTTGGCAATGTGTGAAATCGATTTTTAAGAGTTAGCTGCTATATATGGACACCAAAAATATGAACATTAGCACCTTACTGGCAAATAGTCCCTTACACACAAGTGTTGGCTAGAACATTTATCACAGATAAAACAGCAAGATATTCATGAATGGATGTCAACATGTACATATTTCTTTCTATTTGTAGGATGCCAGTGTTCAGTCCCTGAACGATAAGTTGTCTTCTCGTTGGAGGGATTGTATATGTCACTCACTTTTATTCCATGCGTTAATTTTACTACATTAAATTATTTTACATTAAATATTTAAGTCCCCTAAACGAAGTGGGCGTAGGTGGCTATCCTTTTTTCGACCGAACACCAAATATGGCGGCAAGAACCTCTGATTGGTTAAAATGTAATAATTATTATTATTATTATTATGTTTATTCAGGCAAAGGCATAATAAAATTACACATTACAAATATTACATAAGCAATTCAATAACAATTAAAATCAGTAATAAATTATTGTGGATTTCTTAAAATTATTAATTATAAAATATAAAATATCACAGAAGAATTTCACATACCTTAAAACATCACAGTTTAAACTAGTATCGCAGAAATTAAATTACACTGTGCTTGCAAATCTTCTAAGTAAAATAGTTGAAAATTTTAGAAATATCAATAAAAACGGAAGAAATTTGATAAAACCAGATGAAAATGCCTTTGGTCTTGGATTACCCATAAAGCCTATGAAATAGGCTTATTTCCAATGGGGTCCATTAATAGATTATAGTAATAGATTATAATTTAAAAACCGTTGGTCAGGTTGAAATGAAACTTGGAGTGAATATTGATGATTTCTGATTGAACAACGGAGGTGTTCAGTTCCTGAAACATGAAAAAAAAATGTTTAAAACTGTCATAGTGTTTGTCAGTGGGCTCATCCATGCCTAACCACGTTTTTAGGTGTATTAGCATCTGTTTTCAAGTGTTGTCTTCCGTGTGGAAATGCAGCTCGCACGATGAAGATCCCTCTGCGGTCTTCGAAAAATAACAGACATGACAACGTCGCCAGGGCAAGGTTAATAATAGGGACTATATCATTTTGACAGCTTTCCAAAATATTCTGAACACAACGAAACTCACTGTTCCATGAGAAACAATAATCCAGATATATACCTAAAAGCTTTTAATTGTCCACTTGTTTCAATTCAGTGTCGCCAAGTTTCAGACTAAGTTTACCATCTGTAGTCCTGGAGAGTTTCTCTTTTGAAGCAGCAATCATACGTTTTGTTTTTTGTTTTTTTTTTTTGGGGGGGGGGGCATTTATAATCATTTTGTTTTCATTACAACAATTTGTTACATTCAAACGGAGACGGAGAAAGTGAGAGTTTCATTAAATGCTTCCGGAATAACTTAATATATCAACATGTTAATAATTTTATCAGAAAAAAGGAAAGGTAATGATCCTGGTATTCCGGAACTCAATATCACCAATGAAAAGGAAATGATAACCATAGTTCAGTCGGAAAAAATGACCTAGCTTTTGCACCAAACTGGAGAAGCTTTTTGATAGAGAGCTTCATTTCAAATGGAATGAGGGCGATTATATAGGAATGAAAGAAAGTTTATCAAATAAATGGCCTTCACTTCTTGAAGGAAACGTACAGAAAATTTGGATAAAATTTCTGAATATCATTAATTTCTAGTCTGGAAACAATAGCCCTACACAAAAGTTCCAAACCAATAATAATCATCAAACGGACAACATACCACTAAGAAGATTCAGTTCTGAAGAAAAAATATTAGAAATATAGAGCATGACAACGATGTGTAGAAACAAAATGTGGTGAAAAATACAAGGAATTTCCTAGAATTAGAAACCAGCTATAATGGAAAATAATCAAATATAAAAGAGAATTCCCAGGATATCAAAGATCAACAAAGATATTCTGAAATACGTTCATACAAAAAGAAGAGTAATGAATGGAATCTCGCACTTAAATCCTGGATGGAAGTGTCCAAAAGACGACAGTAAATGATAAGGTGAAAGTAGAATAAGAGAATCGCCACAGTGTAACAGTCGATCTTCAAAGGTGTAAATCGGAAGGACCAGTATTCACAGTGGAAACATTTGAAAATCTGATCGGTCTTAATTAAAGCAAATCTCCAGGACAAGAAAAGGGTTTATCCAAAGGTTTTGAAGTAATAACTCAAAAAAATTGTGTTATTCTGTCAAATATTTCGAACAAATCACTTATCTCTGGCAAACTATCGAAACAGTGAAGAGAAGCAAACACTTCACGGTTATTTATAAGGCTGTAAGATGATCAGCTGGACGTGGTTTATATAGACGGGTGTTATTGATAAAGACGGTCAGCTGGACGTGGTTTATATAGGCGGGTGTTATTGATAAAGACGGTCAGCTGGACGTGGTTTATATAGGCGGGTGTTATTGATAAAGACGGTCAGCTGGACGTGGTTTATATAGACGGGTGTTATTGATAAAGACGGTCAGCTGGACGGTTTATATGTTATTGATAAAGACGGTCAGCTGGACGTGGTTTATATAGACGGGTGTTATTGATAAAGACGGTCAGCTGGACGGGTGTTATTGATAAAGACGGTCAGCTGGACGGGTGTTATTGATAAAGACGGTCAGCTGGACGTGGTTTATATAGACGGGTGTTATTGATAAAGACGGTCAGCTGGACGTGGTTTATATAGACGGGTGTTATTGATAAAGACGGTCAGCTGGACGGGTGTTATTGATAAAGACGGTCAGCTGGACGTGGTTTATATATACGGGTGTTATTGATAAAGACGGTCAGCTGGACGTGGTTTATATAGACGGGTGTTATTGATAAAGACGGTCAGCTGGACGTGGTTTATATAGACGGGTGTTATTGATAAAGACGGTCAGCTGGACGTGGTTTATATAGACGGGTGTTATTGATAAAGACGGTCAGCTGGACGTGGTTTATATAGACGGGTGTTATTGATAAAGACGGTCAGCTGGACGTGGTTTATATAGACGGGTGTTATTGATAAAGACGGTCAGCTGGACGGGTGTTTTTGATAAAGACGGTCAGCTGGACGTGGTTTATATAGACGGGTGTTATTGATAAAGACGGTCAGCTGGACGGGTGTTATTGATAAAGACGGTCAGCTGGACGTGGTTTATATAGACGGGTGTTATTGATAAAGACGGTCAGCTGGACATAGTTTATATAGACGGGTGTTATTGATAAAGACGGTCAGCTGGACGTGGTTTATATAGACGGGTGTTATTGATAAAGACGGTCAGCTGGACATAGTTTATATAGACGGGTGTTATTGATAAAGACGGTCAGCAGATGGACGGGTGTTATTGATAAAGACGGTCAGCTGGACGTGGTTTATATAGACGGGTGTTATTGATAAAGATGGTCAGCTGGACGTGGTTTATATAGACGGGTGTTATTGATAAAGATGGTCAGCTGGACGTGGTTTATATAGACGGGTGTTATTGATAAAGACGGTCAGCTGGACGGGTGTTTTTGATAAAGACGGTCAGCTGGACGTGGTTTATATAGACGGGTGTTATTGATAAAGACGGTCAGCTAGACGTGGTTTATATAGACGGGTGTTATTGATAAAGACGGTCAGCTAGACGTGGTTTATATAGACGGGTGTTATTGATAAAGACGGTCAGCTGGACGGGTGTTATTGATAAAGACGGTCAGCTGGACGTGGTTTATATAGACGGGTGTTATTGATAAAGACGGTCAGCTAGACGTGGTTTATAAAGACGGGTGTTATTGATAAAGACGGTCAGCTGGACGGGTGTTATTGATAAAGACGGTCAGCTGGACGTGGTTTATATAGACGGGTGTTATTGATAAAGACGGTCAGCTAGACGTGGTTTATATAGACGGGTGTTATTGATAAAGACGGTCAGCTGGACGTGGTTTATATAGACGGGTGTTATTGATAAAGACGGTCAGATGGATGTTTATATAGACGGGTGTTATTGATAAAGACGGTCAGCTGGACGTGGTTTATATAGACGGGTGTTATTGATAAAGACGGTCAGATGGATGTTGTTTATATAGACGGGTGTTATTGATAAAGACGGTCAGATGGATGTGGTTTATATAGACGGGTGTTATTGATAAAGACGGTCAGCTAGACGTGGTTTATATAGACGGATGTTATTGATAAAGGTGGTCAGCTGGACGTGGTTTATATAGACGGGTGTTATTGATAAAGATGGTCAGCTAGACGTGGTTTATATAGACGGATGTTATTGATAAAGGTGGTCATCTGGACGTGGTTTATATAGACGGGTGTTATTGATAAAGATAGTCAGCTAGACGTGGTTTATATAGACGGGTGTTATTGATAAAGATGGTCAGCTAGACGTGGTTTATATAGACGGGTGTTATTGATAAAGACGGTCAGCTGGACGTGGTTTATATAGACGGGTGTTATTGATAAAGATGGTCACCTGGACGTAGTCTATATAGACGGGTGTTATTGATAAAGACGGTCAGCTAGACGTGGTTTATATAGACGGGTGTTATTGATAAAGACGGTCAGCTAGACGTGGTTTATATAGACGGATGTTATTGATAAAGACGGTCAGCTGGACGTGGTTTATATAGACGGGTGTTATTGATAAAGACGGTCAGCTAGACGTGGTTTATATAGACGGGTGTTATTGATAAAGACGGTCAGCTGGACGTA